TTCTTTGGAGGGGGGGGGGGGGGGGGCATCCAGTTACGATTTATAATGAAAAGTAGTCCCTTGAATCTGACGCAAGATGTCGCAAATCAACTATGCATGAGTCTTCATAAGAATTCCGGCCTGTGAATGCATAAGGTATTGTTTCCTATTTACTTTGTTGAAATACGAAGAATTTTTCACGTGGGTTTCTTCTGAATTTAAATTTTTCGGATATTTATGGAGAATATGAAGAGTAACTGTCTTGTATATTTTGACAAGGTTTATATCTGCAAGACTGATAAATTTCTTAATTCGCGTATATTGGTTGCACAAATGTTTGGACATCAGAGTGTAGTACATCGAGGCGAAAAAATGTTGTCGTGCAATGTTTAAACGTGACAAATTCTTTTTTAACTGCGAATGATTTAGCTAAAAAAATCGGTAAAATATTGTGTGCTTTTTTTCGGAGTAGAAAAACTACGTGCAATTTATTCCTTAGAATTTTATTTATTTTATTTCAGTGACCTCTCCTCGATCAATGGCACACGCTAATAAAAGATCCAGTAGACCGCAGTGCTCCGTGTGCCGTATTCTTATTCTTAGCGCGTAGGTAGTTTTATACCCTGAAGGAAACATTTTTTTTATTGGCGAAAAAGTTTTTCGACAAGGCAATTGTTAATCATTTGTTTTACAGTACTGTACTATCTAACCTATTCAACACACCTAGACCAATAATTCGATAATAAATCATAGAATTCAATAGCGTATTTCATGTAGGACATCTATTTCATGAACCATAGGGTATGTATAATATAGGCCCATAAACTTCTCAAGTACATGAACTACAGTACAGCTGTACCATTTCGCGATATAGATATCCACCATAAGAGTTAAAAAAAAATTATTTTGATTAATTAAACAAAACGCATAATTCTAATTTCACTTCAGGGTAGTCACAATACTTTTTGGTTAAATTAATAAAGGAAATAGTATAGTTATAAAAATCAGTGCAAATTTTACGACTTGACTCTAGGAAATTTCGGGTTCGTAGTTTACTATGATCTGACAACTCGTTATCGTTAACACTGAACTCGCACACTTTAACAAAAAAGACATCACCCACTGCAAAAGTTGTGGCGGCTTGAAGCTGATGTCCAGTCTGTAAGTTGCTTCGCAGCTCAACTTGACGGTTTTTAATTGACGAAATCTTGCGGAAGTCTCCATTTTGCAATAGACAGGTCCAGCGGCGGGTTCTCTCCTTATTGACAGGGTAACCCGGAAATGTCCATCAGCCCCCATTGAACCCCATGCCAGTGAAAATTCCTTCGACAGAATTTTCGTTCACCCTGCACCGCGAACGTCGCGACGCTTACTGGCCGCGACGTCGCTACTCGAGACGCCTCCACGCGCATACCTGCCAATTCTACGTGGGTAGTAGCGAGATTTTACGGTGGTATAAAATTACCATGCATCCCTATGGTAAATCACGTTCACGTAATTATTCATTCGAATCCCATCAATTCGATTTTTATAAATGCTTCCGTGACTGCCATTCGTATATCGAACAGCCGTTTATAATACTCAAACTAGGTGGGAACTATCTGGACAATAATTGGTTCCGATTAAACTTTGGTAACTGGACGTTTCATGGCAATCCATTGATCAACTTTCAGAACTGTATATCTGCATGTAAAATCATTTTCATTAAACTAGTAATTGTTTCGTCTAAGTGCAAGTTAAAAGATTAAACAACAAATTTGTTTCCTAAACACACTCAGTCAACTGAACATATAGTTGATGATTGATCAAATGCAATATCCGTGTACATTCTATTCTCTATAAATAATGCAAAAAAGACAGTCTTTTTCAATTCGCCACAAATATTAGCACACCACTCAAAAATTTCCAAATTTTATCGTAGTATCTTAGTTGTTAATAAAATATTTGTGTATACGTACATAACATCTGGAACTTTTCTATTCCAGTTGGTGAACCAGATAAACGATGCTACATATAATTGGACAATAGTAATGGCGAATCACGAAGAAAACACTTTAACCTCGCAACATCACTAAGCAAAGTTTTACGTCTAAATAACACGCAGCAACAAGTTACCTGTCAAGCTCCAGGCACTAGTAGATCAATACCTTAAAAATATACCGTCATGGCATAATATTACCATTCTATACCACATAACCACTGAATTCTTTGTAGAAAGATTGTCAGGACATTACGTTTGTAGTTGTTTCCATGCACTCGACACTGTTTTCATCGAAATTAAAATCGCGAGACTTTTACGACGAGCTTTGCTTACAATCGTTTAATCGATGACAATCAGTATAATGATAAAGTATAACCGAGCGATGTCCTTCACGTTGATTAGGCGTCTCCTTTTCAGCAGAAGGAAGAGACGTGGTTTTAGTTACGCGGACGTCACCCTAGAATTCGTGTCGAAGGAACAGGGAATAAGAAAATCGGAAATAGACGACGTATATATATAACGTGTAATGACGTAACACAGACCCAAAGAAACCAGTAATATGAATTTATGTATGAGAAATGTCTTTCTTTTTCGGTAAGAGTACAATAACTTCTTATTGTAGGAGAGAAGATCGATTTTATAGATTTGCAGGAGACACACGAAAGGTCATGTTTTCTTAATCTGACGTCCGGTGTACTTGTGTACTGCTATGTGGTTCCGTCAGGTATGTTGATTCTCTTTAATGAAATTGAACCGAACAGTACTTTATATGCTTTTTTTAGTTCTATTTTTCTTATATTACGTTTTGTTCATCTTCCATAAATTTGGTTCACGTATACGCTCTATTGATTTCCGATTAAATGAATGCTTTATACGCGTGTGAAAATCGACTGATGTATATCCTAACTTCATACGTGTTCTATGATACCTAGGCATGCCGATTTATATTTCATGATTACTATTACATAGAATCGACGACTGTCCCAGTTTGACCGTGAAGCCTTTTCAATGTATACACAACAAATGTGTCTGTATATATATATATAACCTACATAATTATTATGTATGCATATGTTGAAACGTCAAGGATAACCATAATTGTTATGATTACCATTTCATTTTCTTTGCAGCCAGCGTCATTAATAAATTCGTGATATACAATATTTAGTACGGAAAAAAAATATTATCCAACCGTCTCACCCTGTGATCATCCCATTATTTTTGGTTAATTGAGCTTATAAAAGAAAAGAATTGGAACGAAGAAAAAGGAGCCTGCGAATGAGATTTACGTTCGAATTTTGATAATCTTTAGAAAACTTATTTAAAACTACAGAATTACCGATGACGCCCAGTACGCGTGGCAACTGGATATTTTCTTAGATTTCTAAATCGTCAAGGTTAATCTTAAAAAAAAACTGGAGCACCCAATAAATGTATCCTGTGTGAGGTTATATATAAGTCTGTATATAAGCGTACGACTATATACTTGTTCCTACATGGATATTGTATATATATACGTATATAACAGACACGCAATGTCAACGAGAAACTCACAGGGCTTGCAAGCTTTCAGTCGAACTTAACTGTTGCTACTGTCCCAATTCCATTTTTGATTTCCTGTGAAAAAGAAAGAAAAAAAGCAAACGTACAGAATTCAATAAAACATTTATTTGACCATCGGGTGGGATACAAATATCAATGGATTCTACTCTCTGTTAAAAATTTTAATTCTGCGATGTGGACGGAAGGATTATGCACAATGCGGACGTATTAAATACAGAGTAGAAATCTACTATTCATTTCTTTTATTGGGAACAACGTGATTACTTTGGTACGTGATTATATCCGTTGCCCGACTCGTTGCAGACAATATTTTCCCACTGTTCCATATGGTGACGTAAATGAAAACTTTGATGCCTTCACATCTGGGAGAAATAAAATGATAAAACAATACTGCTTTGCGGTTTCATGCAACTAAACGTAATTCCTTTTTACGTTTATTTTTACTTTTTCTTCTCGTTTCTCGTACCTTTACAGTAATTACTTTTACACATTGATTATTCACGTTGCTATACAATTATATACGTTTCTATAGTAATACAAAAGAATACGGTGGGTACAGACATTGTTTTATCAAAAATCATGCAGAGTAAGAGTTAATAAGTTCGATGCTTTTATATTTACTTCATCTTTTATCCACGAAATATAAATCCTTGTGGGTTTAGTACCTTTTACTTGTTTTATTAGTATAATTTGTTTCTTTTCTCCAAGAAAATAGTCCAATCTGATTCTTTCTATGTATATGAAACACAGACGAAATTGCACGCTGCACCAATCTCGAACGACGTAAAGGAATTCCACTTTAGTTGAGTTGAAATTGACGAAAAAATAGTCAATGCATTTCAAAGGTTCAAGATATATCGTAACAGCGATATCGTTTGCAAGGTGACCGTTAAAAATGTCTTCATCGTGATTTCAAATCTACCATATCTCAGTATTTAATTCCCTTCGTGAGATCAAGTAATTAAACCGACTTCTCCTCGTGGTATAGGGGTATAACGTGCAGTTGGAGTGCAGTCGCCTAAACCTGCAGAGCTCGTTGACCTACCCCAACTTCCGGGCCAGCCCCTGGGTACCGTAGGAATGGTCACGCACCTAAAAATAAAAAATCGGTTCTTTACATCATGGTCTGTTTGGAAATAAGTTGCATCCTTAAACGCTAATATAATTGAAAATTAATTTTGTTTTTATTGTGACTATATTGATTCACCTTTTGAAGAACCATGCTATTCCAAATGTTAGGAACATCAATAGACAGAGTGCAAAGAAGATCAAGGCCTCTGTGGCTCTTCTATGATGATAAAGATGCAAACCGTCCTGATCGACCTTAGTTAATTCTCCTAACTCGATGAAGGTCATACGAAAACTTCCTCGACTTCTGGGCCAATATGCCTTATCCTTTCCAGGAGTCTTTTCATCGAGTTGCACGCGAGGATTCCTCAGTCGATAGGAATTGCTTTTACACGTAATTGAATAGTCTATTGCTGCATAAATCTGTAGCCTGAAAATTATAATATCGTTCATAATGTATGAAAACGGTAAATTTTAATTCAGATAATTTGAATAGTACCAAAATATTGACTGACCGCTTCAACGTATTCCCGACCCATGAGTTTCCAGTTTTTATCAAATGACCATTACTTTCGATCACCCATACTGATATATTGGCATCCTGAGCAATGACAAGGGCAAGGGTCTCATCGCAATAGACCACAGTTAAAGCTAAGGATGATACGTTCACCGGTTGAAGAGACACGCTTCCCAAATTATCCAATTTCAGTCCCTTATCTAATCCTCTTAATCTAAAAATGTTCCATGCTCCATCATCAGCTTTGCTACATAGCAGATATAGACCAGACTTCTCCCCTTCTGTTAAATCCGCGTGGATTATTGATTCGCACTGAGATAGTTTCTCCAGGTCGTTCTCCGGAATAGTGTAGCTGAGCCAGTGCGGCGAGGATAGACTCAAGGACCAAACAATGTTTGTTGAGAATACAAACATTCGTCCTCTCTCTCCATCACACCAGGATGTTGCATTGTCACTCAAATCTCCTGGAAATAAGGAATATCGATAAGCGTCAAACTTATTGATATCATATGAACCGTGGAACGAAGGTTCCATTTTTTTTAATTAACAAAGACAACATGCTTTATCCTATAAAAGGCCAATATTTTAAAATATCCCCAGTGCCCTGACTGTTATTAAATTTTACATCAATATCCCAATAGCATGTTCCAATTCCAGTAAACCTTAAGGTTACGATCTCAAACTGACTGCAAGGAAGTAGAATAGCAGAGCTTATTCGGATAATAGTTATTAACTACAATCTTGCTGTGGCGAATGATTTCATCCAATAAACCTAACGGGTATATCCTAAAACTATTCGTCGTTATTTCTTCCGAGGAAGATATCCTTTTTAATATATTTTGTAACTCGAATCCTGATCCTGGATTCACGTTACGTATAGTTTTACCAATCTATAACACATAGTATCTCAATCCTGTATGTTAATAGTTATAACGAATAATAAGTTTTACCAGGACAATTATTTTTGGTAGTGACTGTGCTGTTGATCGTTGAACTTCCCAAGCATACAAACGCTGTCCATGCGCTGTCATTAATGTCCAAAAGCCATACTGTATCGCCTTTTAATGGGTACAAGGCGAGTACACCCTTAGATGTACACAGTCCAGCCTTCCTTGGTGGATCTGTTTGTGTCAATCCTGCGGGAAGTGTTATCCCGTTCCAAGGATGGCCATTACTAGAGAGCCAAAGGTCAGTATAATTTTTTCCATTGACATGTCCGCCGTAAATCCATTGTTCACCCTTGCGAGAAAAAAAACTGTGTTCCAGTCTTGGGGTTGGTCCCCAGGAATCCCAGACAGTATTTCGTTCTTCGGCAATCCATCGCCATTCTGTTATGTTATCAAAGGATTAGCGTCAGCCGTAAGAGACTTATCATTTACAATAACAAATCGTGGAATTTAATGTCAATAAAAAAATATTATTTTACGCGTATTGTCCGTGTAAATAAATTATTATTCTTTTATCGTCATCGGGCGGTTCGATAACGTCTAATTGAGGATAATTTAGGAACGGTTATCCAATTTATTGGAACATTCAACAAGTTTCTGTAATTTGGATCGAACGAAAATCCAATTATCTTAATCAATTATTTTGTCATCTTCCTAGCGGTTCCGTTTATACTGTTATTTAGTGTGATCTTTCGAACATTTTTATGAATGAAACATACACAATACATCGGACCGCGTTTTGGGAGAACATGAAGTTTATATTTTGCAGAGTTTATACATGATTTTCATTGATATTAAATTCTTTAATAATATTGACTTTAGTACGTACTGTATATGGTACGCTAAACTGACGGAAATGGTCTGCCAAGTATAACTAATTTGATTAGCAATAATTGGAGCATAAAACACCTACGGCATATACTAACTCACGTTAACTTTTTTTTATTGCACGTGTATTCAGGTTATCGTATCTAAAATCTATAGGTTACCTTAGTTCGCACGAATTAAATAGCCAACTTTAAAGAAAATCTTTGATTTTTAACATCTTGCTTGCCTTGCACATGGCCCTGCGAAAATTCCAGTTTAACGCGACGTAAAAAACTCACTAAATGCTTTATGTGTATGGAAAAATTTGCCGTTGCTATCTTTTTTGCAATATATTTTATATCTACCGAACAGAATTTCTTAATGAGGCTAATTACTTAAATAGATTTAGCGGATCGCAACTAAACGGATAAGGTTTAGTTATATAAATGGCTGACTCGCAAGGTAAGAAAAATGCGAAAATCTATCTCTTCTGGCTAACGAAGCAAAACTTTATCGAAATCAAATGCTGATAAAAGTTGATCAAAATCGCGAGTACGTTTTCTTCGTCTTTATTTTTTAACCAATGGATAAATTTCCTAAGAAGCAGTTCACGCGTTACCTGTAATATAGGCAGCGGGAGATGCATGCGCTGTCGAAACTAAAGACGTTAAATCCGGTGATTCAGTTCCCTCGGAAAATCCGTAGCGGACACATAACGTCAGTATAACATAAAGACAAATGCCAAGATTTTTACATTCCTCTTGGATCATTATTCACCTTCTTTCTTCTATTACACGTGTCATCCTTGAGAGAGCTTTGCCGTAGACTTCGTTACGTTTTGCTTTTAATACGCAGAAGAAAGAAAATTAATTTTACGGTAGACAGTATGACGTTGTAACAAAGGTAATAAAACTCACTGATCTGATTAAAAGCTGAAGAAAAATCAATCCAGACTAATAGGAAGGAATATGAATAGGAACGTGCAGATTCAATGTATTGTCTATACATACGGACGTTTCAATACGATGGCATACTAAATTGATACTGATTATATTATTAATGGGACTACTTGTACGTTTTCTATCCATTTAATTATACGTACTGTGCTCGGCATTTGTAGAAATGTCTGTTAGTGTAACGTCACCGCGGTAATAAGCCTCGTATAAATCAAAATGAAGTAATAACCTGCTCGTAGAACAAAACTCTACTATTCACAATGCTAATACGTTTGTTACTAGAAAGTGAAATTTCCCCGGGGATATCCAAGAACCATTCTTGCCTCAGCTTCCCGAGAGATTCATCCCTTCTTCCATCCCCGGTAAGGGATGTTTTATAAGAAGTATGTTACACCCTGCCATCTGGCGCATCGGATATCTTTTACCACGATGAGCGACTACGCTCTTATCGACGGATGAGGAATAGATATTGTGGTAAAAGAACATTTATCAAAATGTATATATTTATTACATGAACAATGGCACGGAGTGTACAGTGTATTATGTACATACAGATGCAATATGGTATTGTACATACAGCAAAATCGTAATGTTAATGGTCTCTTACAAAGATTATTTAGCAATGTACAGTTTAGTCTTTATCGTCTGTTGTAATTATCGAGGATACTGTCCTTGTTGTACTCAACTCATTTGACCTTGCATCCTTTCCCTAGGTTTAATGCAACTTTCAGATAATGGTTGACCCACTTTGATTGACTGGCCAGATTTTAAGCAAAATCGAAAATCTTTTGGTGCTTCGAACAGCAGAACGATTGTTGATCCCATTCTGAACTCTCCGAACAACTCACCTTTGGATATTGTGGCACAATCCAAATTTGCATCTTCAAAGTGCTTGTATCTTGGCCACTTTTTTGTATTAGTCACAAGGTCTCGATCACAATATACTTTTATAGAACCTACGTTAGTAGCACCTACAGCAGTATACGCCATAAATCCACCTGACCATTCACCAATATAAACGACTCTCTCATTTAGCGAAAATAAATCTGGTAACCAGCTTGCTATCCTAGGATTTACACTTAATAGTTTTCCTGAAAAACAATAAATATGTGTCACCACTTTATATAAGGTCGATTTATTGTATTTCATTCTAGTTGGTGAACGGTTTAAAATCCTAATGTTATTTCGTCATGAAAAAATATTTTAAAGCGCTACAAGCATTATAAATAACACACAACTTGTGAAATAACTCACCTTGAAAATGTCTACGAAAATATATCCGCCAATCAGTCGGACTATGAAAGCGGTGATAGTCACCAGGAGCTAAGTAAACTGTTAATTGATAAAGCTGGTTCGATGGATTTTTTAGTAGTGACCTAACATAGTCATCACAGTCAGACTGTTTCATTGGTATAGATTTATTAACTTGCAGGCCGTTTGTGTCGCCCAGAAAATGCTGCAGATTATAAGTCATTCCCTTGACCTGTTCTACACGACATGAAGTTACAGTTCCAAAATGTAACACTTTTCCGTCTGAAGGGGAAACCTATATTTTATTTACAAATCAGATTTTAGAACTAAAAATAAAAATGATAGAAGAACGTTACTTGTTTAGTATTCAAAAGTAATACTCACAATATTACAATCGTTAGCAATTGGTCTTGCACCTTGCTTTAACGGCCTTACAAAGAAGTCCACTAGAGCAGGAAATGAAGTAAGATCTAGATCGATTTCTTGTAAATCTGCATCAAAAGCTTTTGCATAAAATCCATATACACTGGACCTTAATGGAACTGGTAATTGAATACTAGCTACCCAGCCCCAAACTCGACTTATTATCCTCAGGGGTAAAGAACAGTAACATCGAACCTAACAATAAAAATTAATAATCATCAATGACAATTCTATATTCTGTGATAAGCTTAGTCCATACCATAACGTCATGAACTGGTCCTTTTAGTTGTGCAGCATCGGTAGGATATGGATGCCTTCTAAGATACCTCCACTGTAAAATAGCAAGTAATGAAACACCAACTCCAACAGGAACACTCCATTCCCATCGGCGTACTAAGGATTGCCATAAGCCATTTATCTTGTTACTAGGATGGGTGTTTGATGCATAATATCTCGTACATATTGACCATGGTGCAATCGATGGCGGTTGTACTGTTGTCACGAAGCGTGTAGAAGAAGCATTCCGGCACCTATTACAAAATAATAAGAGGTTAGAAACATTATTTATATAACTCCTATCTATTAACAGTTCGACGAACCTGACATGATAAGATATTCGCAAAATTCTATAAGTTGACATAGTTTACATGGATAAATCGGTCTGTATAATGGGGTCCAAGGTACATTTAAACACTATGTACAAACAGAGGTTATATCGCCTCTCAACTTGGCCAGACAGAAGCCTTATCAAACGGTAGTCAGTAGCGTGGTCAGTAGTGTAGAAACAGGAATTCGAGTGGTTCCAATAAATCAAATTTTAAATGTAAAATTTTTTCTAACTACAAACATACATAGAACATAAATATTCTAACATTGTTCCTCATATCCTGAAAATGAAAACAATCATCACATTAGATAATTAGACACTAATCTCTCAAAGCATACCATTAAAATTGAACCATCACTGAGACTCCTAATGAACCCATAATACATTTATCATAAATCCAATATAAAAGTTGTCTTTGTTATTCAACATTTTAATTATTGAATAGTAACAATAGCAGTCAACTCCTATCTAAGTCATAATAAGTAGGGCATGTAGGACATATATTCCATCGGAAAAACGTCAGAATTGAATATAATAATGACGTTGTCAAAGTCCCTCTCAGATATTGCTCTTCTACACAGGCAGGTGGTAAGTACAGGTTCTCATCAGGTTCCATCCAGTCCTACTCTCTGTCGTGAAATTTCCAGGAGAGCAACAGAGGCCAGACGGGCCAGGCGGAGTATCGGAACTTGTAGTGAGGTAGCGTGACGACAGCAGGTGGCTCCGCGTGGTGGCAGGTGAATCAGTATACCTCTTTCGTATTCGTCAAGAACAGAGTGTGGAGCATTGTTTTGTATGGTGTTGCGATGGTGAGTGCTGTGTTGTGCTATCAGCAGAGCACCGGGTCATTCTGATCTACAAGTGTCAAAACTCGTCAGAACACCATACATGTCGCGCACGTATGAGAAACAGCTGTGACGGGACAGAGTAATCGGTGCTCTATGTCCCGTCCTGTTTTCTGTGAGGTTAGACAAGACTGTGCATCCTATTCCGTATGAGAGGCCGTGGCTCTGGAAAGGTGAAGAGTGAAACGATGCCACCGTCCTCGCATTCAAACTGGACGAAGCCGCTGCTCAAGGGCGGACAGATGATGCAGATGCAAGTCAAAAGAGCCAACTCTATTACGAACCAAAATCAGAATGGCAATGGTGATCACTCTACTTCTGTGGACAAGAGAATTAAAGTAGTGCTAGTGGGTGACGGTGCCGTTGGGAAGACGAGTCTGGTTGTATCTTACTCTACCAATGGTTTCCCCAGAGAATATGTTCCTACAGCCTTCGATAATTATAATGGTTAGTGAACTTGTAATTTTTATAAATTTATATTTACTTCTCTGTAAGTACGTGAAAGTGATATTCCACTTTCCATTATCGATTGTCTTCTTGAGAGCTGGAGTTAGGCCGTATGTTGCTCGTTTTTTATCATTGTTCTATTTAATGTAAATTTTGTAAATTAAAGAATTTCGCACACCTTTTATTCACGTGTTTACTGTGATAAATATCACTTGGCATGCACAAGATTCTCTATTTATATGCAGTATGAAAAAAGTTTCAAATTTAATGTATTTATAAAAATAGTTAAATTACTCAAAACCCTATATGTATCTGCTGTTAGTTATAATAGTATGAGTCAGACACATATAATAGAGATAAATCAGGAACTGCAGTGCAATTACTGCAAAATATAAGCATTACTTATTCAAAATTTATTATTATACGTTTCTAATATTAGGACATAGTATTATAATGTTTATATCATATTCACATCATTTATATGCAGTTAGCAGTTTATGACTAATAAGGACTGTGACTCTTGACCATGACTGTACAGAGGAGTAGACAGACAGGGCAACAGGTGAGAGTACACTGCCACTGTTGAGTGTATTGGCAGCATAAAAGGAGAGGATCTCTAATACTTATGCTAACTTATGGAAGCCAGGGATCTTATTTCTCTGTGTGTAGGCTATACAGCAGCAAAAATACCAGACAGCCAATCATGTGGCATTAAACCACCTGATGTTACTCGTTTCCAGTTTTTTTTGTACTGAGAATTTTTCAACAAAAAGTATCAGTGTATTTTTTTCTATAATTTCTGATTCTTCAATAATTAGAACAGTTAATATTGATAATTAAAACATCCCTTAATTATTCTAGATAGATACCATGTAGTAATAGGATCCTGCTAAAACATGCTTCTTGCCTGAGACTGAATTGTTTGGAAATAATAATACGCTATCAGTTGTAAAACTGTCTTCTTCTTTAATGATTTTACATTGTGTCAGTCATTGTTCAACAATGATATTTTACATTACATCCATAACTGTTGTTAGGTTAGTCCAATTTGTCTTTGTTATCAGTATATGCAGTATAGTCAATTTTAAAAAACCAGTCAAGATAATTTGGAAGTATATCAAATATTTAACAATTTTTGAAATTTTATTGATAAGGAAGAAGGTCATCGTCATTAAACACAGGGTGTTCCGAAACTACCTGACCCGGTGGGTATGGCGGTGTTCGGGAGGCTTCACTGATCACGAAAATGACCTTCTTTTTCTCCGGAAGGTCATAGTTTTTAAATGGGAGCAGGTCAAATTTGACCAATCAGAGGGTGGCGTCAAGAGAAACGTAGGCACCTGCGAACTCTGAGTTTTCTTCCCTCGCTTTTGTTTCTCGGTGGCTTCATGCAGGATGACGTCAACCGAAGATATGCCCATTGAAAATAAGAAACGAGCTACCGAGAAACAAAAGCGATGGAAGCTCTTAGTTTTTAAATGGGAGCAGGTCAAAGTTGACCAATCAGAACGAGGCGTCAAGAGAAACGTAGGCACCTACGAACTCTGAGTTTTCTTCCATCGCTTTTGTTTCTCGGTAGCTCGTTTCTTATTTTCAATGGGCATATCTTCGGTTGACGTCATCCTGCATGAAGCCACCGAGAAACAAAAGCGAGGGAAGAAAACTCAGAGTTCGCAGGTGCCTACGTTTCTCTTGACGCCACCCTCTGATTGGTCAAATTTGACCTGCTCCCATTTAAAAACTATGACCTTCCGGACAAAAGGAAGGTCATTTTCGTGATCAGTGAAGCCTCCTGAACACCGCTATACCCACCGGGTCAGATAGTTCCGGAACACCCTGTATAATGAACCATGAAATGTATTTTTTTCATTCACTGGAAAGATTGAATAATGATACAATTACTGGCCAACTGCAATAATATTAGAGCAGATATTATGAAATACTACTATAGTAGCATGTCCATAATCTATAAATATCCTGCATTCATGTTGTCGCATCAGAATTTATTTTAGTTAGACTATTGATCCAGTAAAACATGTGTTCACAAGTTGTCTAAATATAATTTGCTGAATACTGAGAATTGTGCCAGCAAGGATATTCAGTTGTAGCAGCATATATGAGCTTTCAATTTTATATGCGTGAGTGCTTATCAATGCAAAGAGTATATATTTCATTCATTTTTTTCCCATTATAAAAGTAAGAATAGTCCATAGTACCATATTTATAATTCTCCCAAACTTAGTACGACATTGAATATATCTACAAGCTGTCCTTATCATATGACAGATAGGTACAATCTTTATGATAAATCCGTAGTTGAATCAACGAAATCGTTTAGAGAAGGATATGAGGTTTTCATTAATTTGCAACTGACTCTGATACCACGTGTACTATGTATTAAGACTTTCTTACAAAATATGAATTAACTGTTAAATATATCCTTTCCAACAGTTGACATCGTTCATTATTCATCAACTTATCACTCATTACCACCATTATCATTATGCAAAATCCATGAGAGTTATTGTAATCCACCAAAGAAAATGTGGTATTGAAATCATAACCCATTTCACCATGACACAACTCTTCCGAATAATATAATATCAACAAATTAGAATATAACTGATATTAATTCATTGTATTATTTATGATTCATGTTTTATTGCTAGGCATACAAGAATTGCCTCATGTGTTGCACGTAACGTTGAATGAACCAATAGTGAAAATCTTTTCAATACATGTTATAAGTTAAGTTCATTGTATGAAGAAAATGGTAGATGGCAGTAAAAAATTAAATATATATTTTTTAATTTACAGTTGTTGTAAATGTCGACGGACAACCGGTCAACGTTCAACTGTGCGATACCGCGGGACAAGATGATTTTGATCCGCTGAGATCGTTATGCTATCCAGAGACGGACGTGTTCCTAGTTTGCTTCAGTGTTGTATGCCCGTCTTCTTATCACAGTGTGGCGTCTAGATGGGTCGATGAAGTACGAAAATATTGTCCTAATGCTCCAATTATTTTGGTAAGAGTATTACTTTAACCTTTACGTATTACTCGAGATTATTAGTTAATTCATGCAGTCAACTATGTGCGCAGTAGACGCATTATCATTTGACTAAATGGATGATAATACAGATTCATCCATCATAGTAACAGCACTTAGTTTATGAAAATAAAATAGACTGTGCATCACATGTCAAAATTAAGAGAGTTTCAATTGCACCTCAAACTACGTATATTCTATTATACAATATCAGATCGAATTTTACGAATGGTGTGCCCATATCACTCCTTAAAATCTCTTAAAAGAAATAACAGTTACTGAGTATATTAATTCCATAGAAGACAATCCGATATATCTGTACTTATAGGGATATATATTTTATCCCATTTTCTAATTGACATTCTGATTGCGAAAGCAGGCCAGTGTCATAACGCATCGCAGACTTATAGAAATAATCTATGTAAATCAAATGATAAAAGGCTGCGTTACGGCAAACATTAAAATGTTACCTCAATCATACTTGTACATTCTAAACGCGTCCGCAGCCTATTTCTCCTTCATTGGTCTACTCGTCTCTCGCTAATTACATTTTACTTGCCATTTAAAGAAAAAGAAAAAAAAAGAAACTCGTACCTGCTCCTTGTCGAGACATCGGTGACCTCGAGCCTTTATTCATTTCAGATGTACGTGAAGCTTATTTAGACATAGTTTAACTTCAATTTCAGGTGGGAACAAAGAGCGATCTAAGATCAGATGTACGATTGACATTACAATTGGCGAGATACGGTCAAGCTCCAATCACGACGACTCAAGGACACCAGTTAGCGCAGAGACTGGCTGCTGTGAATTACGTCGAGACGTCGGCATTAACCCAGCATGATCTAAAAGAAGCCTTCGATCAGGCTATAGTTAGTGCACTGAGCACGAGACGCGGTGGTGCCAATTTATTATATCGTCGAAGAAAACCGCCATCGTTATGGCGCAGGTGGTTGTGCTGTAGGGAGAGGCCACCCTCGACGGGCTCGTAGGAGTTTTAATTCAAGCTCTCTAGATTTCCGCTGTGATCACTCGTGGCTGCCTCGCTATCAGAGTCTCATTAAATTATTGATAAATTAACGAAAATTATATTTATCGATGTGCATTTTCGTACGTACCGTTGAACGCGGATACTCTGAATTACTCTGTGACATACAGTGAGAGAACGATGAACTTTTACACGAGAGACCAGATGTATGTCCATCTAGCATCATGAGCTTTGCTAGTATTTTATTTGCCTTGAACGTCCTCTTCGCCCCAGCTAACCCTCACGCACATGTTGAGAATACAAAAATAGTTGAGAGTTATTTGCTATTTTTGATTATATTTTTAAATCTGCAAAAAGGCTACTTTTTTAAATGCGTGTTATGACAGCTTGTACCAATTTTTTTAAAAGCAATTCATACAATTTCATATCATGTCAATGAAGAAACGTCATACTGCAAGGTTAACGTAAATGTATTCAAGATAGATCATTATCGTGACACATTCAAAGCATAATATTGAGATACGACTTAATTTGACTTTTATGACAGACTTTTTAGAACTTTTGTTAGTTCTCAGCACTATCGCGTATATAATGATAATTATATTGTAACGTTATTTTTTTTATCTACCTGAAGCTTTTATAAATTTAATTGAAAAACATATGCTTCATTTTTTATGAAACATATGCTTTGCTAAACTGAAATGCTGTTAGGTAAACAATATAAAAATAACTGATTCATTGTGTGCGTTATGCGTTACTAATTAACTGAACATTACTAATTAGATCTTAGGAATTAAACAAACAAACAGGGTTTTCAATTTCCTTGATTGCTGTGTCATGTAGATTACTTTTATCTGCATTTAAAACTAGTGTTTGTTGTAATAACCATGCACCATGCACAAGGAGAATAGTATGAGATTCTGGTGGCCGGGTCCTAAGTCACTGCTAATATTCCTGATGCCTAAGCTGGCGTAATTTATTCTAATATTAGTTGTATTTTTATTACTATGTACTAGAGTATTGGCAACTCGCCGGTTGTGATTTTATGTCAATGTTTTTCGGGGCTTTTTTTATGTTCACCTTTGTGATACTTAGTTTCGAAATTCGTTTTATCAATACGAGATATGTATAAACCAACACGACGTAACGACAGATTATACATATTACTGGCATGTAATATTGGAAGCAAAGAAACTGGCCTCGTTTATAAAAAATATAGATGTCACGGAAATACTGAATAGAAAAGTATGTAAGAACATGCGTTCTATTTTTGTGTAAATAATGGAATAACAGTATGCTATTAACGCTGTCTGTTTTCTGTAATAACAGGGCAAAGTTTATAGTGACAGAAATGTTATATCAAGACCTAGAATCACTACTACACAAAGGATTTGAGCTTGTAACGATGTTAAAAAAAAAATACTGCTGTTTTGTACCACATTGAACAATAATCAAAGTACAGCTTGTTAGTTAAAAAGATAGGAAATATTTTATAACCAATGTTTTGAAATAGATGAAAGAAAACTTAGTTGCTAACGAACTAGTACACGTTTCATAAAAGTGTTACATTAGTCCCCTTTAGTGTTACCGCAAGTATACTCGGGGTAAATACTATTGAAATACATACTATGAGATACAACCGTAAGTGGGATAATGTTTAAACGTGTTCTAGAACTTATAGATTCTTTTGAAAATATTGACAGATACGTTGAAAATTTCAGTACAGTGGCGTCATCATTGAGCACATTTCTTATGTAAAATGTTTCTTTTGTTTTTATATGATGTTATTTGCATCGATATTTCGATATTTAACAACTATTCTGATATGAGAAAGTATGCATAAGTTTCACAAAGTGCTTGTACATCAGAATTAGACAGCCCCTTGATCTTGCCGATTTCGAATCGTCATATTGGCACGAAATTAAGGCCGAAATAATTGCAATTGATAAAATATTAATTTACTAATATGTATAAACAAAAGAGCAGGTATTTCTTGTTTTACATATAGCTAAGGATATGTTCTGCGTTTATAATCTATACACATGACGCTATGAATATTATTACTCCTAAATATGTTATTGTGTATCGACACTTAGTATTATTAATATTATCGGTCCAATTTGTAAATATTAAAACGTTTATTTTAAGTATTCTCAGTATCGAGAATATACGGAGTAATCAACAATGATTGCGTATTAAGTGAACGCGAATAAACAGTGGTAAGCGAAAAATCAGACTGAGGAGCTGTTACAAGTGAAATACTGTAATATTTAATAGCATTGTTATGTGCTTACCCTTAACAATAAAGTATATGGTATTTTTTTATAGACATGTATCCCTTTTTAAACCTTTTAAAATCATTGTTTCGTATGGGCAGTCAAAACATGTACACTAGCTCAGACGCCATCTATTTACTGCGAGTATCTTTTTATCAAGCTCGTTACCGTTCATTCGTTCCACTATTTATTTGAGGTAATGAGGATTGGAACTGTTAATAAAATATGGAAGGATATTTAATTGTCAAATCAGTTCATGTTGTTAACGTACAGATAAAAGGGTTAAACAATAGTTGCGGAATAAATTTTTAATATAGAGGTTAAGATATGCTCTGCTGTTAACGAAGTAAACGCCATCATTCACAATTATCTCGTAACGATGTTACATTGAATTTTTTATACAACATAACTTGTACTAGTCGGGATGTTATCTAAGATGATTAAAAAAAAATGATAATTAATTAGGAGAAAGGGCTGTCCAAGGAGGTCAAGCAAAACATGAAGACCGCTATAAGTGATCCGTGGAATAGTGGCGCAGAAGTGAATGTTACTTTGGAATGTAACAATCGTTTTGAGGATTGCTTTGTTGAGGATTATTCGGATCCATCGAAATTGCCGGATTCGAAACAATACTTGGAAAGACTTTGTGAGTTGATATTTTATCCTACAGTTCTTGTATCCTTGTAAGAAGTTTATAGCGTAATCTATATTCTATTGAAATGCGGTATTGCTATATGTACTGATCAACTTGTTGAATTTTTTTCAAATACTACGAAATGTCTGCATAGATTGATTATATTACACATATTTATAGTATGCTGTATAAATGCACAGATTGTTACTTGTTTGTCGTTAGATTCTAAACTAAAGGTAGTTCAGGGAGGAACAACCAAAAAAGATCTTGTAAATTCTCTAGCTGTTGTCAAAGAAGAGTCTATTGCTCGATTTATAACAGCTGGACATAAGTTTGAATCTGAAGAAGAAGCAGAACTTATTAGTAATCCTTTAATTCGTCATATTGCTCCACACTTACAGGTAAATGGATGGATACAATCAATCCCGTTGATGGAGTTGTATCATTTAATAATAAATATTAGTATTTATGCCCACTGAAATTTTATAGTATACATATATTTATAATTGACAGGCACTAACTGCTAGTGAATTAATTCAGCTTTTGAAAGCAGATGTACTCCAAGCAGTTACTGACGAACAAAACGATCGCTGTGTAGAAGTATCAAATTTAGGGGAACTGGAAAAAATAGAGTAGTCATACAATATTTTTGATACTGTAACATTATTTTTACAAATATGTCCATTGAGAAACTATCAGGCAAAGTATTTTTGTTGATAACCGGTGCTAGTCAAGGCATTGGCAGACAAATTGCAGAAACATTTTCAACACTAGTAGGAGATGGTTCACATGTTCTCTTATTGGCAAGAAATGCTACTGGTCTAAAAGAAACAGTTGATAAATTACGTACTGATTTAAAAGTTGACTATGCAAGCGTTGATTTAAGTATTGCAACACCACAGGAGTTAAAAAGTAAGAGCAAATGTTTGAAAAGCTTTGAAGAGATCGTACACTGATCATTTTCATAATACCTTAAGTCTTTTTTTTAGATATCATTAAAACGTCGTTTGGAAAAGCTAATCCAGCTGATTTTCAACTGGCAGTAATAATTCATAATGCAGGTTCTGTTGGAGACGTCTCAAAGTCAACCATCGATATGACAGATATTGATTATTGGCGAAAGTACTACGATCTGAATGTTTTTTCACCTGCTATTCTCAATGGCGTATTTCTGGAATTATTAAATGAGAAAACAAATGTTGAGAAACTTGTTATTAATATTACATCATTATGCGGTATTCAAGAAATGAAAACATTGGGCTACTATTGTTCGGGAAAGGCTGCCAGGGAAATGTTTTTCAAGGTAATCTATGTATTATATAATAATAGTCGTGAGATTTTCCGTTTTCCTTTCATTCTTTCATTTTAATACAAAGTTTAAAGTCTTACATCTAATTCATTGTAAAATGTTATTTATCGGTTATTTCTAATAATCTTATAACTGTCATGAAATCAATCGTAATTTCTTTGACGATTCACTTATTTCATAATGATATGCAATATATTTAAATAAACCATTTTTCAAATTCCGTAGGTGTTTGCTGCAGAAAATCCACAAATTAATGTGTTGAATTATTCACCTGGTCCAGTGGAGACCGACATGCTGCGAACTATTTGTCGAGAGGCAGGTGATCTTGAAATTAAAACATCTTTCAATGAGATGAGAGACAAAAATGGTGTTCTATCGACAGAGCAGACGGTAAATCATTTAGTTGAAGTATTGAAAGCCAAAAAATATAAATCGGGTGCCCATGTTGATTATTTTGATGAATTGTAAAATATTCATATTAGGTACATGATCTAAGAATTCAATACTTCATGAAAACTAGTGGATGTGTGATCAATCAAATATTCAAATATAATATTATAAAATACATGACAATCTTTTTGATTGATTAATAATATGCTTAATGTAATAATATTGAAAAAATTTGTTGGTGTTCTTTTATTTTCAAACACTTCGAAATTATGCATATTACTTATTATTACATATTATTATACATTTGATTACAAAAATATAATTTAAAAAATCTATACATTCCAAATGGATCACATTGTATTTCATTCCCCATATAAATTATTAATTAATTAAAATCTGCAAATCTATATAAATTATTGCTTGTAATTCAAGTTGTTATAACTATTCAAAAAATTCGATATCACATATTAAAAAATGGACTGATTAGTAAATTCGAAAAAAAATAAAGTACAGCAACCTATTGTTTGTGATTTTCATTATCACAGATTGATACAGATAATATTAGTTTAGTTGATGTTAAAGTATAAAAGCAAGATTTGCATACTTTTAATTTTTTAAAAGCCCAGTCATTTTATTCTTGATTCTATATATTTATGCTTATATAGTATTATAATATTATATCTAATGTTTCAATGAAACATATCTTGAGCTTTGGCATGTAATATTTACTAGCACCAAATACTTAGTGTCTTGTATTATTAAAGACTTTAAAAAATGAATAAGGTTTGCTACTGGTTTATACTTATTACGTGTTACTGGAAAATATTTAAAATATTAAATCTATCAAGTATCTGGTAATAAGTAGTATACAGCTATGTTCTACATTAGATTTACTGTAAAATGTTTAATTGAACATTATTTCACGTCAAAAATATAATATAAAATACGTAAGTTTCTTATTCACTTTCCGAAATCAGTTGTACGTAAGAAGTATTATTTGACCGGGCAGTACGTCGAGCTATACACATCACTAATAAAATTGCAATACTGTAGAGTGCCACAGAAACTAGCCAAGCTGGACATGGATAATATACAGGTGGCATATAATTTTTATATATCAAAGTATATAAAGGAACTGCTCCAAGTGGAGTTAAAGTTTCCAATGAGGTTGTTAAAGAGAATACCTTACCTATATGAAATAATACCAAAAATATAAGGAACAGATGTAAGAAAACAATTACAGAATATCGTAATAAATATCAGTAAAATTCGCACAAAAAATATTAAAAGCTCATGCATTTAATGTATAGATTTTGAATATGCATACCAACATCTTGTGGTGGTACTGATTTTGATAATATTGCCCGGAGTATAGGTCCAGGAACACCTCCAAACAATCCTATACCTCCTGACAGGTACATATGCCAAGGTTGCCATGCAAAAGATTTGACAATTGCACTACCAAGTAACGACATGAAAGATAAAATTGCTAGTGCTGCATCTGAAATTCCTGTATTACATGATTATATAGTAGTGCTTATCATCTGCGAGTGAAAAAAATATGTTTGCTAATGTTTCCACTGACCTAGAAGATTTGCTAATAGCTTAACAGCAAATAAAGTACCAACAATGCTCAATATTACAGTAGCGCCTGTATAATTAGCGTAGCTTGAAATATCCCAACCAAAATATTCTCTTACAAACAAAAATCCTATAGTAGCGTCTCCCTCCATTGCAAATATTGTAAGAAGGAGTGTAAGTATGCAACACCAGGCTACATATCGGTTAAAACCGTCACGTTTCTTAACACAGGTACTAATGAGCTCTTTCACTAAAGAGAAGTCAAATAAACTCTGCAATGAACTCTGCAAGATGAAAAAATTAAAGGTATAAATTTCGAGCGTATGATATTGTTAAAAGAATTAAATGCACCATATCAAATCTGGTATTCTTGTTTTACAAATTGCATTGGTCTCTTACCTTGGGGCAATTCTTTATAGATTCGGGAACATAGAATAATACGTATAGAAGTGTCAGAGTACAAAATAAAGTTGCAGTTCCAAAAACAGCAGTGTATCCATACTGTTTGTATATGACAGGTCCTGTAAATGTACCAAGAACTATGCCAAATAATAGGGATGCATTTAGCCATGCGAGCTGCCATACTCTATCATTCTCTTTCACAATATCAGAAATATAACAAATTGAAGCTAACATCAAGTTACAAGAACCACCAAGAATGGCAAGAGGAATAAATGCAACTTGCATGAACCAAGGATTGACAGTCCAGTTACACAAAATAGATAGTATGAGAAACTTTAATGAAAATCCTGCAATATAAAATGAAATATTATGTTAGGGTACATAAAAAATTGAAGATGTACACTAGATATATTTACCCATATATCCTGACACTAACAGTGGCTTACGACCATATTTATCACTCCATGGCCCTAGGAATAAGGAAAGCAAAGATGGTAGCACAGTTCGAAGCAAAAATGCATACATCAGAACTATGCTAGCATACGGTTGAACTTTGGCTTCTATAGCTGCAGCCTCTTGGCTACTGCTATTTGTGTGCAAAAGCTGACACAATGTTTCATTTAGTTTTAATGATACTGTACAAGATTGATATACTATAAGATCCGTTAAAACAGCACCTGAAGAAATAATTTTGATAAAATACCTTATTATTCGTTATGCAAAAAATAGCATACCAAAATTACAGACAAAGAAGAATCGATGTACCAAATAAATGTTTATCTTCCTACAACTGATAATACACAATAAATACTCCTTTATCTAAATAATCTTAAATTTAAGTTTGAATTATTATATGGTGTTTGACATACCTGTCATTGTTTCTGCAAAGAGCAGCATCATTATTGGAGGCTCCACCATAATATACCGTCTCCATCCACTTGTCCCTGGCTCCATTGTTATGATATTTGTGCTCACATAGAATGAACTGACAATTCAGTGGATGGTTGCGTTGGTTGTCAAGCGTAGTAGATGACGAAGTAGATTAAAAGGTATGCAACGCATGTAATGTGAGTAGTGGCCATACTTACAATCTTTTATAACTTCGTTGCTGTGATAATGATTCAAAATAATTTTGAATGTTTTCCAAGTTTATATTTTATTCATTCGAAAGAATTATACGCATCCCAGTTAATGCCACTGCAGGTTATTTATATGCGTTTATATTCGTATTATCATTAAATTCCAACATTGTTCCCAATCACAAATGTTATCGCGATAAATTCCGGAGAGCCATTACGGTTTTATGGTGTAAATTTAAGTATTGCAGATTTGCTTACTGGATTCAGCTGACAACATATCAGCTGTTTCAATGTTCATTGCGACCATATGAGAAGTTTAAAGCTCACAAGATTTTCTTATTGGTCAGAGCCTCTATTAGAAACACATAGCATAATTTTATCTTTAGCGCATGTACTCAATATGTACTTATACTGCAATGATACAAGTTTAATATAGTTGATAAAGCCCACGTAACGCGACTATCTATTGTGCACGGTTTCCCTGTTATATGTTGACTTACTTAAGTTTAGCATACTTTATAATAATCGATGAGCTCATCCGAAGAGGATAATGAAAATATGTGCCGTCCAACGACACCGAATGAAGCAGACTGTTGCGGTAATGGATGCGATCCTTGTATTCTTGATGTACATAAAAGACTGCTAGAACAATGGAAAACGAACAAGCTCGCTGGCGTACACGAAAGGCACAAAAGGAATTTATTGAATCTCGTAGAATATAAAAAGTTTATAGTCACTGGCATTGAAACTGCTTCCGCAGACAGTATTTTCATACGATTAAAGTATAAAGGTATAATGATTTCTAGAAATAATGATACGTCGTTACAAAGTAACCTTTCTAAATGATTCGTCTTTTTTACATGAAAGGAAATATTGAGCACTCTGCTCAGTTATTTTTAAATCCGGGACAACACGTTATCTTACATACGCCAACCCTATCCAGACCTTTTACACCGATATTGTGGACACATAATAATTTATTGCTCTTAGTTAAACTTTATGCAAAAGGTAGTTTTAGCAATTATGCTAAGCAACTAAAAATTGATGATCAGATTGATATTAGAGGACCGTACGGCGACTTTTTATATAAGAGTAACAGGTATGTTAATAAAATGATATGCATTAATTCGACGCATCGATCACGATATTTTAATTATTATTATTTATTTTAGTTATGAACAAATTCTTATGTTCAGTATTGGATCTGGTATTGCAAGTCTTTATCCTATAGCGAAATCAATTATTATTGATAATGACGAAGAAGAAACGAAAATACATTTGATCGCAGGATTTAGATCATTAGCGCATGTACCTCTTAAGAAAGAATTAAGAGCCTTGGCAGATTATTGGAATTTTAAATGCACTCTACAAATATCTCAAGATGGTAAAGCACAAATACACGCGTGATGTATGCATCGATGATTGGTTCATTCTCTTTACGATTAAAATTTGTATTTTCTTCAGACGGTGATATCACTTTAAACGGTTTAAAAATGGAGCATGGTCGACTGAAGGAGGGCATTGTTCGTGAATTATTAAAATATCATTCGCTCCAAACAACGTTAATACTAATATGTGGAACGCCGGAATTTAATGATGGTTTAGAAAAAATAATACGGGACACACGCTATTTACACTATCATATATTTAAATAGCAATATCGTCTCTAGTCAAATTAAAATAATATTAAATTAATAGAAGTATGTCTTTATTCATTTAAACATAGCAATAACAAGATTTTAATACATAGTTGATTCTGTAGATAATCAATAACAAGGGATTGAGCATGATATATTTTCTCCACAATTTGGACATTTACCACAAATATGATCAAATACTATCTCATTTCCAGCAACGCCTTGTAACCACTGTAATTTATTTATATTAATAATAAATCTCTTTAAATTGTTATATTTATTCACGACGTTGTTATTTTATTTTACAATCTTACCGTTCGAAGGCACAAAGTATGAAATCTTCTTTTACATTTTCTGTTGTCACATATTTTCTCTGGGGCTTGTTCATTGTCCAACTCATATGAGAAACAAATACAACATTCGTCATCATTGACTATACCACCTTTATCTTTATTATCATCTATCGGTGGTTGTGGAAACTCAGTCAAGTTTAGTAAAGATAGAAGATTTTGAATTATATCATTTTCTGGATCCCAGTTCTGAAATCAGTCAATATATGTTATCCAAATAATAGTACACAATATAATATTATAATCAAACGAAACTTATATACTGAAATCATATGTACTTCTAAATTCTTTGATATAATTTCTGTATACTTTTCTGTTTCTGTATTGCAACCCATAAGCTTGATATGTGGGTGCTCATTTGGATGCAATGGATCAATTGTTATGAGTACGGATAAAATCTGAGACAAGTAAATACGTCGATAGAAATGATGATGTTTTGGTTCCAATGGATCAATCACATGAAAATTTCTAAAATATATGAAAATTAAAATATGGAAAATAGCACTTCATCTGTGTCAACTAAACCAACTATAAAATATAATTTACAGGTAACAAAGTTAATTGCCACTTGCATCTGTATTGTTTACCTGTCTATCAGAAACAATGTATGCCAAGTTTTTTCTAATAGTTGAACATGCATTTGGAATTTCTTTCTTATGTCAAGCAAAGAGGAAACATTTTTCCCCAGTGGTTCAACTCCAGGTATTTCAGGTAAGTATGATGTAACTATTTCCCAAGGATTTATAGAATTGCTGTTTCTGCGTATCACAATTGAAACATCTTTTAATGTGAGCTTAATAAGGTCTAAGTTGCTGTTTGAAGAAAGTTGAACATCCTGCAGAAATAATTATTAATAACATGAACTTGAAAAATATATATAGAAACTAGAAATTAATATGATTGTATATTATTTTAATATGAGAATCTTACACTTGGCGTGTTTAATGCATTTTTCAAATCGTCAAGCATTCCTTTTCCTGTATGTGCAGTAGTTCCATGGCAAATACCAGACTTTGTTTTAATTATATGGCACTGTGTATCAATCAAAAATATAAGTTAATTCTGATTCTCATTTGTCGTTCTCTATGGAGCAAATATCCATTTGTACATACAGCATGCATTTGCAATTGTCTTAAGAATGAGGATACTGTAGATGCACTTCGAAGCAAACTTTGAACAGTTGCATCGAATTTTCTATGATGTAAGAGAGTTACATCAGGTCCAAAATATAATTTTGCATCATTCAAGTATGGATATTCTGGTACGATGAATTTTATCCGTATTCTTGTACACTGATTTCCCCCAATATCCCATGGAATATTCAGTAACCCATCCCATGTAAATGGAGATTCAGAAACTAAAGCCAATCCGGGATGCCATCTTAATACTTCAGAAACTCCATCCATTATGAATTATCCTGTAAAGAAATTGTTTGAACAGGTCAATCATATCAAGAATAAAGAAATTTACAAAACAGAACTGTAATTAATTGATTCTAAATATAATTTATATATGTGATAACTGGTAATTACATTTGACACTTATGTATCGACAGAGTATCCAAAGTTGTACATTCTGATGTAAGGTAGTGCACTAATCGTTTCGGGTATGTCAGAAGTGGGGAGACTTCAGCAAGGGTGGGGGTAATCACGTGACGGAGGACTTGCCGCCTGCTTGTCGCGCGAGCGACCGTGGCCAGCCATTTTGATTAGTAACATGGCGTCAGCAGAGATTAATATGGCGTCCTCGGACATAATAACCGAAGTGGAGATCCAACCCGACATTCAGGAGGTCGAAATCGAGTCGATTCCAGTGGAAATACCTTGCGAGACTGTGGAAACGACCATCGAGGGAGAGGATGGGCAGCCGATGATAGCATTGCAACCGCTCCCAGAGCCGGGCCGCGAGGAAATCATACTGCAGACACAAGAGGAAATCGTCGGTGGGGATCCGCTCAGCGTTTACGACCAAATTCCTGTGCCAGACAACGATATTTATGTTGAATCGAGTCCGGGTCCTTCGAGAAAGGGTCCCAAGAAGGCTAGGAAGGGTGGTACTGCGAGATTCAGGGCGCCAGATCACGCAATCTTCGGTGATATGGGTTCAGAAACCAAGACTAGGAAGTGGGAGCAGAAGCAGGTGCAGATCAAGACGCTCGAAGGAGAATTCTCGGTGACAATGTGGGCATCGGGTACTGACGACGGTAAGCTACGACCTTTCTCTTAACCTTTAGGACACTTTGGATCATCTCAAACCCGCGGTATACGAAAAAATCATATCCGCATATAGGAATTTTCCACGCACACACGCCAGGCACGCACTTCCGGTATGCTCCAATCGATAGAGTGGTTTTGCACGCAATGAGCCAAGAAAACCCATGGAAATTTGAACGTATTTTAATACCGGCGGTCCTGTTGACAGTCCGTGTTGTTTGTTTTGATCGAGGGAACGCCATTATGCTGTCAGGGGGCAGCCATATTTTGAAAATGGCTTCTTTTGCGTGGATCGGCCATTTCGAGAATGATGGCGGAGGTGATTTCTGGCGGATGGACAAAGACTGCAACGTATACTGGATTCGAGCTGTTATGCTGTGCCTTTCGTTATGTTTTATCCCCCCAGTCTGCTGAAATAGCATGAGATAAACTTTTTCGTAACTGTTTGGTAGCGCTTGAGTACAGGCTGGAGCAGATTTTAATAGCAAAACACATGACACAGTAATATCCTCGAACAAAAGCCATCTTGACATTCTGACGCCATTCTAGTCGGTTACCCGTCATGCCCTGCGCGTTTAATTTTTGTGGGTATTTAAAATTCGAATGCAAATATACTTTTATCGATTTCTTTAGAAACTGAACTTTAATATATTGTTATCGAATATTTCATATTTATCATGCCCACTGATAATGTTTTAAATTTGTTAAAATCGTTTACAGATTTGACAACACATGTGATAATAAATGATCTTAACAATATTCTTGTCGACTATTTATTATCACTAATATACTTAACTAGGTAGGACCCCAAATAATATAAGCGTACAATATGCAATGACAAAATAGCTTTCCATTAAAAACTTTTATAACCACGTTTAGACTTTAATATAGACAAGGATCCCATCTATCCATTGCCAATCAACATGAAACATGACTGAAGGATGCAATTACGCTTTAACTACGTAATAAGTATACTTAAATTATTTATTTGTTAAGTTTATTTTATTTAGAAATCATTGATACAGAGCTACATTAAAAATAATAATATATCAATGTAAAAGAGTCATACCATAAGAGAGATAATTAGATGTTTATCATAACATTATGAAATTAATTATTTTATAACATTCGGAAGCAACAAAATTAGGAGACATTACACGCGGTATGAAAAATATTGTCAGGGTTTCGTGAAATCATGCTATTTCCTTATAATGATTTAGTACATGTAAGAATAGAGAAGCATGGTATGAGATCCAAGATCAAGACACTTCCTTACTCTACACCAATTCAAAAGTGATACAAAGCGATAGCTTTTGTTTGGGTTTGCTTGTTTGTTGCTGTTAAAGGGAGTGTCCTATTAGCGTCTCACCTGGTGGATGTTCCAGATGAGGGCTCCAATCCAGAGCCCGATCCAGACTACACAGAATACATGACTGGCAAATCGACGGCCAAGTTCAACCACTCTGGAAGTTCGGTATCTGATGGGATGCCAGGCCTCGACCTTTCGGATCCTAAGCAGTTGGCGGAATTCGCGCGACCTGGGCACAAATTAAAAGTACGCAAACCAGCTATACTTGACGGCGTTGAACGCACGATCGCATGCCCCCATAAAGGATGTACGAAGATGTTCCGGGACAACAGCGCGATGCGCAAGCATTTACATACCCATGGGCCCCGCGTCCACGTTTGTGCGGAATGTGGGAAAGCCTTCGTCGAAAGTTCCAAACTTAAGAGGCACCAGCTCGTCCATACGGGAGAGAAGCCTTTTCAATGTACATTCGAAGGATGTGGAAAGAGGTTCAGTTTGGACTTCAACCTGAGGACTCATGTTAGGATTCACACTGGAGACAGACCGTATGTCTGTCCTTTTGACGGCTGTAGCAAAAAGTTTGCCCAGTCTACGAATCTGAAGTCTCACATACTCACTCATGCGAAAGCAAAGTAAGTAATATTCATTATTTGTTCTTCTTTCTTAACTGTGCATGAATTTTTATCATTGTAACATATATATTCGCTGACTCGTAAACTCATTGAGGAAACTGGCTTTTAACAAGAATTCACTACTATTTGCAGATCGCGCAATGCCATTGGCAGACAGGTATCACAGATTCAGTTACAACAACCTCAATTTGTTCAAGTTGAAGTGGCTGATGTGGACAATCAGCAATTCATTGTCTATGCTGATTAGCCCCCCTAAATGCCGAGTTTCCCCATGATGAGCCTCGTATGAAGTATCATAACCATTAATTATTAATTAAAACAGTGTACATATTTACAAAACGCAAGCGAGTGATGAGGACAGGAGGATACTAAAGCTATTAGCTATCTTAAGGATTCGAGTTAATTAATCGATTAATACCTCTGTGCTTAGATCCAAGAAAGATAATAAAACGTCAGGAGCACTACGCAATCGTGAAAACGAAATAAAGTTACACTAGAGGAAGAGTGTACTTTTTCAGAGACATGCAAGGTAGACTGTCGCGCACCGCTCAATTTCATGTCAAAATGTTATAAAATATCCTAGTGCGTGCTCATAACACATGACTGTATATATTTATATGTAAAATCAAATATTGTATACAGTATATTTTGGAAAAATTCAGATGAGAATAAACCATGAAACGCATCTTTCTCTCCAGACACGGTTATGTAATTTTAACGATTTGATATCAATTACATTTTAATGTTTACCATTAATATGGATACAAATTGCGCGAATATTACTGGAACGTTATCTTGTAAAGTTGGAAATCGACAAGGTACTTTACTCAGAAGTTATCGTATAAAAATATAACTATCATTAATATTCCTAACTGAATGGGTGCAAATTATGAAAGAGCGATATATATGATCAGCAACTGTACAACACTTGCTACAATTGTATTTCAATTGTTGCAAAATTTAGTCTATTACCTACGACTTATTTACTAATATCAAAGCCGCGTGAAACAATTTCGCGTAGCATATATAGATACGAAATTTCGCGATTTCTCTAATTGATTTGCAATATTGTGCATATTTGCTTGAAAATAATTGCCTCTATAATATTTTGTAGTGTAAAGGAAACATGTCGGTGATTATTTTATTTTATTTAATATTTTCATAATGAAGATCAAATGATATATTGTACAACATTTACATGACTTATGTACATGTTCTATACTGAATACAGCAGAGTTTCATGAACGCCATACAATGACGTTTTCATAAGAAAATATAATTTCTTAATAAGGTTTTCTCATTTGAATTTTAATATGTCTCAACAATCGAATAAAAAACGACCTCAGTCTATCTAATATGTCTAGTACTATATGTCTGGGAATGGATGTTCAATGCGAGTATACAAATATATTCTAGTTTCGATATCAGCGGGGTTTAATTGATAAATTGACATTGAAGAAAATATAAAAATTTACTCCCGTTTACGGCGAGAATAATGGAAGGAAGACTGTAAGAGCAAGTTATAAGTGAAAGCGATTACAAGCAAGTAGAACTATAGGTTCGTATTATTTCCATTAAGACATGAATACTTTGTTATATAGTCCTTTAAGTATGTAACAGTTAACGCGAAGTACTTTACTTAATGAAATTTCTAATTGTAACATATGAGCTTTGATAAGCCGACGAAATGCGAGGGCCTATCGATACTAACAGCGAAATATTATTTCGTAAATTATTAATTGGCATTGCCATTGCTCTAGTTAAATTTGTATTACAATTCCAATTACGTGTTTCTTCCGTGGGCGATACAATTATTCAAGGATTGTGTAATACGTGAGATATGGCTTGTACATTTATTCCCAGTATAACGTGAAAAGTCAAGCAGGAGACACCTTTTATCATTAGGGATAAAAAAGTGAATTTTATTGTATGTAATATCATTATTGTCCATCTCAATGGTATATATTTAAGTTTGTGGATTAATAGAAAAACGAAAAATCAGAAAAGAGGGACAAATACAGGAGTTATAAGTTTAGGCTCTCCAACCTTACTTTATTCTTTGTCATCCATCGTGTATGTATGTTTTTTCATCATTATTATATTATGCCTAGAATAAGTAAATACGACTGATTGATGTGTTATTAATCGTTGTACGCTTTACATCTCTGTCTCCTTTCCTTTTTTTTTAACTATAGTAATTATTTTTATAAGAGAAACGGTAATGAAAAATACATAATATGCTGAGACTAACAAAAAGTATACATTTTGGAGTTACGGTTTAAAAATACCGCCAACGGCGCTGAAAGCGCGGTGATTCTCTGTACTAAATTCAGCTGTCATGTGTCAAATCTCCCACCAGAGACCCAGAGAGACTCTGTTTGCAAAGCGAAAGCTACGTTGCCAAAAAAATGCAGGAGAAAAGTCCTGCTGCCAGCATGCGGTAGCTAAATTATTTGATGCTTCAGCGAAATTCTTGCGAAGCGACTATATAGAACGCGGGAGTGACGCTGTGGCAAGGCATTCAATTTATCAGTGATTTTTAATTGTAAAAGAAATTTATTAACAATGGAAGAATCTTGGATGCTGTGGCTCCTTTCCCTGGTTATGTTGGTTGGTTCTTATCTTGCAGGATATTTACCACTTGTTATGAATCTTTCTGAGGTATGTGAACTGATCAAATATTATTTTTTAACTTCAATGTCAATGTAACACTCAATTTTTCAATTCACCTTTATGCTGTATCAATCTGTAATACTGTGCCATCTTACTTGCATTGTTATTCATAACAAATTGTTCTACTGATAACTTTAATACGTTATTGTTATCCATTTCTAGGATAAGTTACAACTGGTTTCAGTTCTTGGTGCTGGACTTCTTGTTGGCACAGCGTTAGCTGTTATTATACCAGAAGGTGTACGAGCTTTATTCAGTGGTGCAAATGCTGGTGACAGCCATGACTCTCACAGTAAGACCTTTGATTGTTAGAATATTTTTTAAAAGATTTAATTTCCTTTTAATGTATTATTTAATGTCTCTGTCACTTCATGTTTCATATTGTCATTTTTAATATCACTTGTGTATCTTACAACAAAAATGATGTTCATAAATGAGTGTTTTCACTTTCTTTTACTTTCTAAACTATAAAACAAAAAATAAAGTTTATGAGTTTCCTTTTTGTCATATTTTCATGATTAGCAATTCAATATGGTAAAAAATGAACTCCATTATTCTCTATACGAATTATTAGAATATTTGTTGTTTGTTATAACAGTTCCATTTAGAAATTATTTTTTTGATAATAACAGATTGCTCTCATACTTTTTATAGATGATCTTCACAGTTTGATAGGTATAAGTCTGGTATTGGGCTTTGTTTTTATGCTTCTGGTGGATCAGTGCTCAGCCAAAAGGAGTGGTGGCAAAGAAAGAAGTGTCACAGCAACATTAGGGTTAGTAGTTCATGCTGCAGCTGATGGGGTAGCCTTAGGTGCAGCTGCAACCACTTCTCAAGCTGATGTAGAAGTAATAGTGTTCTTAGCTATAATGTTACATAAGGTAAGAGCAAATTTTTATATAATATATTATCATTCATTTGTATTTCGTTTACAACATAGTATGGATAGTTCCATAAAATATCTATAAAAGATATCACCTATCTTATCAAGTCTTGTTCAATTTCATTGTATATCAGACACTTAATCATCCATAGAATCAGTGGCTTTCAATATATAAGCAGTACTTGCAATATAATTTTATTAAACATAACAATGTTTTTGCCAACTAGTGTTTCTTGTGAGGACTGCATATTTTATAAATATCTGTAAACAAAAAAATATTGGTCTATGCGAACCCTTAATTTCTACAAAATTTATTTTCCCCACGTACTGATTGAAAAAGGACATGTCTTATTAATTATCATTCCTTTTTATTTTAGGCCCCTGCTGCATTTGGACTGGTATCTTTCTTACTCCATGAAGGAGTAGATAAAAAGCGTATAGGGAGACATTTATTAGTATTTTCTTTATCTGCTCCCTGTCTTGCTCTTATTACATATTTTGGCATTGGAAAGGTAAATGAACTAATATAAATAGTTCGTTCTTTATTTGATATTTCATTTTCTTTCTGTTAATCGCTGTATAATACTCGTCAATTTTATTATAGGAGGGTAAGGAAACGCTCAGTAATGTCAACGCAACCGGACTAGCAATGCTATTTAGTGCGGGCACATTTTTGTATGTTGCTACTGTACATGTTTTGCCAGAACTAATGGCGAGAGGAAGTTCCTCTTATTCACATTTACCAACAACAGAGGGGGCACCTCCACCTTCTTCCGGCCTTAAATTTAAAGAATTAGTAGCACTTGTTATTGGTTCGTTTTTACCTGCACTCATCACCACCGGCCATCATCATTGACACACATTAGATGGCGTCTTAACGGCACAAAATATAGTTACTTATTTTGTACCTTGCAACAAACTTCTTGGCCGTTATCGCTACATGCATATTTATTGTTCAATTGAAGAATATAATTTTGGCGAGTTTCCTATCAATTTTTGAGATTTGTGTTCAGACGCGCATTTACAAGACATTGTTGTTCAATCAAAAGATATCCATTATATTGTTTATATACTTTTTAATTTGACATTACCTCAACCGAATCATATAGAATGAACATTTATATTATATCTTTCATATTGTTTATTGTAAAGGAAAGTACATATATGAACTACATCGGCAGTCCTGAAAACTAGTTCGTTTGGCTTATGATGAGCTATTTGCAATGTCGTAAAAGACTACTAGTTCCTTTTATAACGAATTTTATAGATGTACAAATCGAGTTGTTGAAAAATCCAATATTTACCTTTACTATGGAATTGTAAATACCTTTAGCGCATATTCTGAAATTGGAGTTTATACAGGGACCCATGAAAGTCTTTTAACAGCGAATTATACTAATTGTTTAAAAAGATGTGTAAAATCTCTTTTAACCATATGAACTAAATTTTTCTAACACTTTAATACGACGACCTATACACTTAACGGTGTTAAAAGACAGAAAGACTATAGAATTTTTTTATAGTGTATTACAACTTGAGTTTACAAATATAATAATTTAATCGGAAAAATGATAATTGCGGTGACTTGTACCATACTGGATTTGAAAATAATTGTTATGGCGCTCCTGCGTTTATGTAATTTTTTTTAACGAAAAGATTTATGCAAGGTACATATTTATAAATTTAATTGTTAAAAAAGATACTATAATACAATACATTATATTCTGTATATTTTGTTAAACAAGTACTTCGCGATAATATGAGAAAATGCAATAAATCATATTTGTAATAAACTGATCATATATTTATTTTCAAGAGTATCTTCCAGCTTATTTCTTTTCCTTACTTAGAGCTACATAGTCAATTTCTCTTTGCTCTTTTTTATTATTATCATATTACTTCCGTAAGGAACAGTAGCGCTGCAATAGCAAAAATTGGAACTGTTGAATTATATTCGGAAATTGTTTTGTTGGTCGTATGGTCTGTGAAACGTCATTTTAAACAATTTAGGTTAACACTTGCGTTATTACAATATCTTCACATTGAAAATGGATTTGTCAAAGGTACCTAACGAAAAAAAACTTAACCTTTGTAGATGGTATTTTCGAGGTATGTATAATTACTAATAAATATTGGAAAGTCCTTCTCGATACGTAACCCCATTTATGAAGAAAGGTTATCACATTTTACAGCGGGTTTTGCTTTGCTACCCTTTCTTTGGACTGTAAATGCTATTTGGTTCGCCAAAGAAGCCTTCGTTGCACCTCATTATGAAGAACAAAAGCAGATTAAAAAATGTTGGTATTATCATATTGTTATGTTAGCTTAAACGACTATTAGCCTCATATTTTATATGAATACTTTAGTTTTCTTTATGCAATATTTACAGTATTTGTTCATGCTTCCAGATGTGATATTTTCTGGCATTGGTGCTGTACTATGGACAATTGCACTGTTAGCTTGGATCATTACATTTCAAACACAAAGGGCTGCATGGGGTGAATTTGCAGACTCCATTAGCTACATTATACCAAGTGGCATTCCATGATTATTTGAACTGTGATTAATAAATGCAGTACTATAATTTATTCATATTTGTTTCTTAATAATGACCAATATGGTACTGACAATAAAATCAATGATTTAGTATAATGGTGAGTCACATTTCAGTTTATGACATGTGATTTCCCCATATTGATTTTGACATTTCATCTACTGAACAACTCTGCAAGTTAATCCTGTCATTGAAATGGGAAAACTGTAGAATGCTCGTTGAGATTATTCTTGATCTATTACGTTCTAAATATTGGAAACATATAAGGTAAAAACTTGAACAACAAAATTTTGATTTACTTTCAGTTTTTGGGTTAAAAATTAATTTGTGTACATTATCAAAGAATATTTTTTGTCAACCAAATGCTCATAATTACTACATGAACTTTAACATGGAAATGTTGAGATTCATTCACAATAAATTTGACAGTTAAAGACGATTTCTCATTTATCACCAGATATAACAAACTGCCATTATTAGTAATCAGAAATTATAAATGTTAATATATCTTATCATTACAATTCATATTAAAATTTTTTTACTGAATGTTTCGTGCATCAATGCTATCAGTTATCACATCACAATCTGATAATTAAAAAATTAAGTTGCTTTTGAAGTTGCATAATTAGGACATAAATTTATTTTCACCGTAACCGTACAATATTATTTCTCTGCTTAATGACATGCGTTGACTGAAATCACATAAAATTGAATAAAAAATATATTTTTGTACATTTAATAATACGTTCATGTTGGACGCGTATTTTTAATATACGCAAAACCTAATTTTTGACACATCGATACTATTGTATAATATATACCGCCCCTCTATAGTGTATTAATTGCACTTAAACGGCCCGCCGTCGTTGTGCATATAATCGTAAATCCTTGCAGACTAGTTTTGACAGAAACTGAAAAAAATTGACATAAAATACATATGGATACTAAACATGAATGTATGTTTACCTATTACACGAACAATTAGTTTGGGAATAATTAGCTGTACTAAATAAAAACAAATATGTAAAACTTCTCACCAAGAGTGCCATTAGATCAGCAGCCATAAGCATATAAAATACACTGTGCCATCCAGCCCAGCGTGACACTATTCCTGCTAATAATGGTCCAACCGCAGCACCTATACTACCAGTACCATCAATTATGGCAGTTACAGTAGCCAAGGCTTTCGAATTATCTCCCAAACTAGGATGTGTTCCCAATTCAGCCGAAACGGTAGTAGTAATAAGAGCATAAGGTCCGTTCACTAGTAGTCCAGCTAGTAGCAATAATACGACATTCACTCCAACATTTATAGTGCCGATATAATCATAAATAAATAACTGAAACAAAAACCGTTAGTTGAGAATCAATTGAAGTAAGGGAACAATTAAATATATTAAACATTTTCTAGCCAAAGGAAGTTACCATAGGAACGGCAAGAAAGAGCATTACAGCACAAGTTAACGCACTCATACCGCAATAGTCTGAAAATACTCCAGCAATTACAGCTCCTGCTATTCCACCTACATCAAACAGTGTTGAGAGATCAGCGCTTAAACTTGCACTATACTTTGCTGCAACATTCAACAAACAATTATTACATCAGTTGATATACAGTGCTTAGTATAATTCGGATATAAGAACTGAACAGTTTACTTACTCGAGGAAACAATATATAGGGGAAGCCAGTAAAGGAATGTATAGCTCACTAGTTTTGCAAAAAACAAAGATAGAGAATACTCCACAACACCGGGAATGCTTATAGCTCCAATAAATCCAACGGCTGTCTCCTCGCAATCATTTTGTGTATGTCTATTCACACATAACATTGGACTCGTTTCTGAACGCAGGCTTTGAGTATCCTATTAAAAAAAATAAATAAATAGAATAAGACTTGATACTAAAGGAATAGTAGATATGTATCTAAAAAGATTAAGGTTTTCAGCATGTATGAATGTAGAGTATATTATTTAGAATTAATATAAACAAGCAGTATAATTTTGTATAGTAAAATATTAACAAAAGTGGGTTCTAACGGTATACGAACTGATAGAAAAATAAAAAATATGAGGAATAGTAGCATGCACTTACAATATCAACGTCCTGTTGACGACAAACACTGCGATAGATGACTCGCTAAAGTACAGCAAATAAATTGTTAATATTTAGTGGGCGTTCAAAGCATGCTTGTTACAATATATTACGTCATGTTATCCTGCAGAGTTAAGAATGAATATAACTGCATTCGAGACTTTGAGCAGTGCGTTGAAATGTAAAGTAGTTAAAATAAGATATCAACCACATTAATACGTTTGATAGAGGCATAAGACAAAAGTATAAATTAATTAAGAAGAATATTGTGCAAATTATAATAAATATCGTATTCTTAAACAAGCATTGTTTAACATGCATAAGGATGAAATATAACAAATCTACTTTATTTATATTTCATATCTATTGCATTACGAAAAAGTTTATATAATATTTTAACATTCCAGTGAGTTTAATTTAAAGATGTACAGTCGAATGCTAATGTCAGATTATTAATCTATTATCAACATATTTATAAAATGTTTATATATAGGTATTAATCTGAGATACAAGAAATATTGCATGCTGGGTAGATACTGATATTCAGCTTTCAATAGATAATGTCATCAGACTCACGTCATCGCCGCCTGTATGCGACGCTTCCACATCTTCGGCACAGCTACCCTCATCAGAGCTGTTCGTCGTGTCGAGTCTTCGATACCCGATAGGTCGTGGTGGACTACAGCCAACATCCACTGGATTTGGCACCAGGAATAAAAAGATTACAAATCCTACTATACCCATGATTGCACCTGGTACTATAAAACTGAGACCCCAATCAGTCTCCACGAATTCAGCTGCAATGAGGCTTCCTAAAATATTCCCTAAGGATGTGTGCGAATTCCAGACACCAAATATTAGGCCACGTTTCCCTTTTCCAAACCAATTTCCTACAACGGTCACCACACCTGGCCAACCGGACGTTTGAAAAACTCCACCTAAGGCCTAAAAAACATACATTATTAGTGTCTTCCAACTGAGCATATTTATAAACTCTATTATCAGTTATGTTATTACATGCACATGGTGTTTAATGGCTGATAAATTTATAGAAAAAATCTGCCAGCACGTGATTATCGTGTGAATGAAGACCCAAGGAATTCGTCACGAGCAAACATCTTTATCACATAAAATATACCGGTCATGGAACGTGAATCATATATTGCATGATTGGGACTTATAATTTATACTGTTATCCAGAAGAGTGTAAGCGAGCATACATAAAAGATAATATAATTATATACTGAGATGTATAAAAATGCAATTGATGTGAAAATACTTTCAATTCATTTTGTTCTATAATTACTGACGGAAAATGGAGCATAGTAAGAAGAATAGTAAGTATATAGGATTGTTATAAATTTAAATTGATATAGATTGAGATAGTAATAAGAGAACACAAGATTAATTTAAAGTGTTATTGCTCAATGGGATTTACTGACCTGTACGAGAACAAAATACCACAGACTATGGATGTTAAAAGATCTGGCTATACCAAACAGATAGCATGAGATTCCTGATACTAGCATACCAAAAGAGAGGAAATATCTTAAATTCACCCGTTCTGCCACAAATCCACTGCACAGAGAAAGATAAAAACTACAGTCAAAGCACCCTGTATATATTATCAATTCTGGAAAGTGTATAAAATTATCACCTAAGAAACATTGCTGCAGCATAAGCAAAAAGGAATGCCGAGTCCAGAGTACCGAGTAATGCTGTAGCATCATCGGTATCTTAAAAAGAAATAACAAAGATTATCTTATTAAAAAGTTATTATAAACGCATTATTTTCCTATCTAAGTACTATTAACTGATTTGCATCTACTTTTTCAACAATACTCTATGCATATAATTGTGTCTTAAAAAAGTAGGTTAACTTATAAGTACATTAAGATATCAAAGGATTAGACAGATTCAAGATATATTTTATCCTAACTATCATTTTTGACAAAATCAAAAGCCACTCACTAAATGGAGCCCAATCGCACCAAGTGTCCCTATTAGTAGCATTGATGACAAAATTTGGTGGTGGAGATAATGTGCTGCAATTCAGACTTAATACATTCTTTACCACAGATATTGGTTTTCGAGACATATGGTAGCAAGTATATGCTAAGTATGTAAGGGCCAAAACACACCCACGGTGCCAAGCCATTTTGTTGATTCGATGTTGTTGACAACATTTTGATGACAGCCACTCTACTACTTGAAGACCCCAAGGAATATCTCTCAGTGAACCAGTCATATTGACTACTTATGTTGCACTTATTTCAATGCCACAAAAGTTTACAAATCTACCTCTTTTTAAAAGAAAACTGCATAACAGTATCAATCCTTTTTAAATTGATATTATACTAATTTAATTACCAAAATTTCATTAGTGTAACTCCTTAATACTGATAGAAATAATTTTTTATTAGTTATGTGGCATTAGTTAATCTTTCATGAATACTGTCACAAGATTTAATTTTATTCAAGTAGTTATGTATATTTCTAACTTTTACTTCCTTCTTAAGTTAAATATCTTCCTTTGTGCTTTTTTTGTTTTTAAAAACGTCACGACTCAAATCAACTATACAGGTAATTGAAGAGAAACAAGATGTCAATTGTTGAATTGTTTAAAAAGACAACAATGCAAAAGCCACAAATGTATCGTAATCCAGAAAGAGTAACAACGCGACTTTAAAAGTGCTCTAAGCGTTAAAGCATGTGGGTATTATGTTGACGTTACACTTATTAAATTTATCTTAGTAGCTAGTAAGTCGCGCGTTACGATTTCAGTACTCATATGCTGCTAGATTGGTAACTCGTTGAGTTGAATGTAGTTTGATAACAGAATATGAACCCAATAATGAGTCATAACCTAGAAAAGAGAACGAGTAAATCGCGATATAAACAGACAGAGGATAATAATTAAGCAGGAAATACTTACCAGCCGATACAACCTTGGTCTTTCATTTTCACTAAGGATCGTCGCGCAGCTATTACTACGACAATAAGCCTATCCGTCTTTCCGTTGACAGCAGTTACAACTAACTGTAACTAGCGTAATACCCTGGAACCACTAATCGTGACTCAATAGCAATGTGTATATGTCGAAAAGCATTAGGAACAATGCATCACAGAAGATTTTAAGTGACAGACAGCCTGAACAGCACGTGAATTACTGCGACTGCGCAAAACGGACTTCCAGCAACAGTTAACAAAGACTGTCTCTGGATACAAAGAAACTTTGAATTATTAAGAAATCAAAAATCATTCAATTATCATCGTATGGCATTCAACATACACGTGGCAAAGAAGTCAATTAAGACTTCATCTATTAGAATCTATTTGATAGCATTCTTATTGCCATCGAAAAACAAAGAAAGCAAATTGTGTAAATAATTTAATTTTACATCATCAGACTACCAGTGGATTAAAAAAAAATTATATTTGCCTACGAGACTGTTTGCTTTTTTAAAAATATATATAGTTTTTATAATAATAAATATGGATAATAAGCCAAAATCTTTTAAGTTCATGAATAATTTTGCTGGATTTTCAATATCTTCCGCTCAATAGAACAATTTTGCTTGTATACGTTCTACAGGTTTTCTGCCACTTGATGTTATACACAGGCCACATATCGCTATACATATGTGGCAATTTATCATAAATGCTCTACACACGTGGCGATAAATTTTGATAAGAATTATTACTTCGCGCACAATAAAGCCAGACAATTCTGTGCAAATTTGTTAAGACAGATTTCTAGTAAGGTATTCTTACAAAGGCATGTTGCTTACGTCTATGTAAAGAATTTAGAAAACTTAACATAGTTTACCTCTGAAACATTTTCGGTCATAGTATTTTACAATTCCATATTGTTTATACACTGACTCACGTAGAGATTGAGATAGCAAACCTTCCAGTTGCTTGCGACTAAAATATCATTATCAATTTTTTCATGCCTAGTATGCCGTAATGCCCGCGGAAAGATATTTTGACATGAAATACAGAGAACAATATTGTATCAGAGGTAAAATATAAATGTCTTTACCAAATTGTACATCTTCATTAATGGTATATTCATGTATACGTAATCAGAGAACAACATTAAAAAAATAAACATTCTGGATAATTCTCATTTATTTTTTATTTTCTCATATTCAATCAATATGTATTAATTATGAGCACTAATTATTAATTAGTATATTTAAAAATCACAGTCTTAGTTGAAGAATTGACAGCAGAAAATACTATCTGTACTCTATCCGTATATTAATTATTTATAATATACATAACTCCTCTCTGCATATATATATATATTTATATATATCTATATATATATACCTAGCAGTATATATATATATATATATATATATATGTTGCACTTTTATGTATTTTTTGTGTTATATACAATACTTGATTTTTATGTTACGCTATCTTGTAATTGGTATGCACACTCTTGTGCGTACTTGGTAGTATTTTCCATTTTTATCAATGAAATTCATCATTTGATGATAATGCTTCTAGAAAAAGCTTGAAAGAATACCAAATACTAAAAACATATGTCACTACGTATTGACCGGTACTTTTGGAAATATACATCTTTTTCGGCAGCTAAAGTTTCGGTTGCAATTCTTTTTTTCGTTGCACGTATTTTCGTATCATGTAAATTTCTGGATTAAATTGACAAATCGCGTCAAGAGTTTGTGTAATATTTTTATAAAATTTTTGTTATGGTTTCCCAAGCGATTTTTTTCTTTATAAATTGCGCTTTATAGATTCGACCAAAAGATGCGTATTTCAGCAAAGGTGAGTATTAACTAGCAAGACAATAAGTTGAAGAACAAAAAAACGAAACAAATAACTGAGCAGTCTAAACGTGTAAATATTATTGATGGAAACTGGACTTTACAACTTCAATTTCATGGCGCATGATATCAAGAGCTACTCCATTTCAACTAACAAAATGTTATAATAAGTATTACCAAGTATAGAATTTTAAAGCACAAAGGCTTTCCACATTTCTCTTTGGACTTGAAGACAGTATATTTTCGAGCATAAATGCGAAACCAACCATGTCCTTTTGCCTTTATGCAAATAAAACTGCATACAACTTTTTTCCAATAACGAAATTTAGATTTATAAGATTTGTAATGTTGATCGCAGTTGCAAATTGTTATAAAATATAATAGTCAATCTACAGAATGCACTGATAATATTTGAAATATAAATATTGTTAGTTTCAATTGAGCAGCCTTTAATTGTTCACAATGTACGTTGCAAATGTTCGCTAAGAATCGTATGATATATTTACAGCTATACTTACTATTTACAGTGGTATGATAATACAATGAATCCTAAAAAGTTTTCCTTCATAATAATCGATAATGTAAAAAGTACCTCGAACATTGCAGTATGAACCATAATTATATCTATACCGCGCACCACCATTTCTTACAGAAATATTCGACATCGGGTAAAATTATTTAAAAAAACCGAAGTTTAAAAGATATTAAAAATTACCACTCTAATTCACCTGTGAAATCACGTATTTTTCACGGGTGATTAAAGCAGAAATTTAAATTTTACAAATTGCCGAATGGTTTAATTGTAACTTGTGAATCTTTGAGCACATTAAGAGAGCTGATTAAAAGAAACATATCGTACCTACGTACATACGTACACGCGTCAGTCTACTGGACTGGATTTGTTCTGGCTTGAACAGTGTTCTGAGCTATAGGTATAAAAAGTTCATAATTGCAATGTAATGTACAATATGACATAAAGTCCAAATGTAATTCTACCATTATATATTCTATAAAAAGCATGTCGTGTCCACTTGAAATATTTTCTGAATTTTCTAATAAAGTAAAATTTGTGATAGGAACGCCATAGCTTTTAGCATCGCAACTTCCCAGCACCTTATGGGGTGTCGAAAGTTTTACAGTATCATGGTAAAATACAAAATACACCTAAAAGGACTTGCCATACTTTCTTGAGTATGTGCGTAGCATAGCCTTTGGACTTTCATGGCATAATGTAAAGCACGTTAATGTTTTTGTAAAAGTGTCTACGTGTCTGAAGTCTGTTTGACTATATGCTTGCGCGCTCACTCGTATGGACGTGTTGTGTCTACGTGCGCGCGTGCCTTTTTCCTTTTCTTTGCTTAATATCCTTTTAGCACTGATAATTCATTAGCTCAGTGTGAATGTACGTATTTTCACAAATGCGATTAAACGCAGATACTAGGACTTTTCTAAATAGCACACTGTATCCTTGGAGTCTTTGGTTACACAAAGTGAGTAAGGTTGCGTATCTCCCTTTTTGAACCACGTCTATTAAAATTAAATGCTTTCTCAAATCGCGCCTTGGAAAGTTTATCTCCCCCGTTGCAATACACCGATATGTATACCTAGATAGTTACAAAGAAAGAATTGCTGATCTAAAATTATACGTTATCTCATTTTCTCTGTATAGGTCGTAACATTGCTATTGAAAACAAAGAGAAAAAAAGAAACATGTAATGTACAATCGTAATTCACTTTGCTTACGTGTCATTTAAGCCCAAGACGTTTGACCGTCAAATGTTTAACACATCTAGAAGTGTGCAGGGGGCTAAAAAAATTTTGTTAAATTAAAAAAAAATTTTTTAAGCTGTATAACTCGTGCGTGAGGGAGTGCGTAAATGGCGTATGTAAAAATATATGGGACACTTTCGATGCATTGTGCAAAATAAAATAAAAAAAGAATGATTGTGACCCAGATTATTTTTTGGCAAATTGTCAAAAAGAATAAAAATGACGACCTTTTATAGTACACTGCTAATATCTGTCATGTTGTGCGTAGACTTTCCTTCCTATATTCTATTCCACTATTCTCTATGGAGAAATATGGTTTATTCATGTAGCGTAGTAAGGTGTCTATAATGTATGATACCGTATATAGATCGTGTCGATCAGATTTGTTTGCTTGAAATTATTAGACTCACATGAGAAACATACTAATGTCCCTTTTGTATATGAAAGGGTTACTTGGACGACCTATAGAAGGAGTAAATGATCATTTAGATTAAAAACTTTAAGTCTGAACTGTTGATTACGATAATAATTTCTAGAAAAAGGAATGCCACGACGCGCAACAGCAGTAAAACATGCATTTACACGACTTTTTTCTTTCTTATAAATTTGGCTCGATACTTCGTAGCTATCGTAAAGATCATAAAATAGACATCCGAAAAAAAAAAATAAAATAAAAAGATTGCGATACGACAGAGATGATCTTCAATAGTCCTCTAGTATTTAGGATCCCTCTGATTACCTCGCTCTATTATGCATAGATCAGTACAATGCCATATTTGCAGTACCATGCTTTTAAAGAAATTATTTTCACTGTAAAATATCCTAGACGTATCGTGTTTGAATATATTTATATGTAACAGAGTACTCTAAGAACGGTGTGGATGTATAGAGCATGTGTGTGCAATACTGTGACGTGCGGTGTGTGTGGCACCAGGAATGTAATGTAATGTAATATATATACATACATAAAATATGTATATGTATATATATGTATATAAAAAGTTATATTACGTGCTGGCTTTCGTCAAACGGTGATGCACGAAATCAACTGTTGACAAAGTTGGCTGTACTGCAATTGGTCCCCGCTGATTCGTCGCATCTTAATGCCCTTGACTTCTCTCTCCTCCGACTCGCACACCCTCAGTTCTATCTGTACTCCACCTGGATACTCTAAACTCAGTCCACCTCCTTCAACTTCCTCCCTCGAGAAGATGAAACCTTTTGGCGGCGCCCTTGCGTCAATTATTTGTTTCACCCGGCCCAATATTGCCTCTGAGTTCAATCTACTCGACTCATCGGACAAAGTCACCTCTACCTCTGTTGGTATAGGCGTGCTGAGTGGTCTCCCTATGCCCCGAGTGATACTTGGTCTCGACGGGTCACAAGGCTCCGATATAATGAAGCTTGGAAGTGGACTATAATGTGGGAGCGCATCCTCCAGAGAGTCTGGCGAAGGAGACGGAGAAGGTGAACAACCGATCAGCGTTACCTGCCCACCAAGTACATCTGTTACTGAGATTTGTGGTGGTACCTGAAATAAGAATGAGTTTCCTTTTGAGCAATGACTTCACTGAATTTTGGCTTTATATTAGCTGCGTTACATGACTCTTACCCTGGATACGTCTACAGGATGTTCTTCCTGTATCATATCCAACGCCGGACTATTACTAGGTGAATAACTAACTGGTGTTGTGGCTGGTGATCTGTGATGTCTCAATGGACTTAAATCCAAAGGTGCCGCAGGTGGTTGTGCAGGTGTACCGTGTACAATACTACCCTGCACAGGCGCTGTGCTTAATCCACTAAGACCTGTAATCAAAAGGAAATACAATTAAAAAAATGTTTGACGCGTATTCGAGCTTCATAAGAGATCAGAAAATATCAGTACCTTGCGTAATAGCAGCCACTCCTCTCTCATGAACTGGTGATCCAGGAATACTAGCAGGACTGTGAGAGGGCGACGCTAATCTCTGGAGTTGTTGATATTCCTGTTGGAGTGCCTGGATACCAGGTCCTGGAGGACCGGAACCTTCTGAAGCACGACGAACCGGGGAATATCGTTCTGTGGCTACATGGATGCTTGGCTCTTTATATGAATCCCTAGTGCCTGCTGTGAACAATTTGAAATAAAATAAAGTTCCCATTAGATGCAACAGTGGATGGAAAAAGGAAGAAGGGTACTGAACGTTACTGTAACAATGCCGTGATTCATCAGAGCAGCAGGAAGAATAAGTAACGGAACACAATTTTTGTAAATGTCTCCGAGGTTATTTGCATTGACGTAGCAGATGTTGAAAAATTACCAGCTCCAGCAGGGTAGAGGGACGTTTTCCGGTGATGAGGGATTGTAGGTCCTCTAAGGTGGGATGGCAGCAGTCTCGACGGGAGATACGCTCTATTCATTCTAGCTTCCACTTCCATGACCAGTTCCGGATTTATAACTACATGCATGTTACCAACCAAGGAGGAATCGCAGTGCAGCGGGCACAACAAAACCATGCAAAATCAAACAAAGAAAAAACAAAATAAAACACTATATCAATTGTGGATTTGCGTAATTAATATCATAAAATAAAACATCAAACATTGAAAATAATGAATGCTGTTGATGCATAAATACGACGAAATGACAAACTTATTTAAGATCATTACAAATACTAAAAATGATTTTTTTTCATACGAATATAATTAATACCTCAAATTTGTGTAATCTGTCAACAATTTGTAATAATAACGAAACATCAAACATGGAGTGTACAAGAGCGCGCTATGCTTTTAGATTACTAAAATATTACACAGTGAAAAAAATAACTATTTACTTTACATTCAACAGTGCGTGAGAATTCAGTGTCTATTTGCCATACCTGGTCGTTGCATTACTGCAGTCAAACCACTACGTCTTCTTCTATCGGTTCCGCTAGTACTATTTGCACTGTTGCCACTGTTTCCTTCACCGCTGCTACCACCAACGCCAACCCCAACATTAAGTGACTGAGAACATTGTCCCATTGTTGGACTACCGGTCTGTAACTACACAGAGTTTCGTATAGATAAAAATCTGCTACTTACAATCCTCGTGCAATGTAGTGAAAGTCAGGCAAAATATGTACAAATAATATCTTACAGGTTGTAAATGCTCTCTGCTACCAGGTTGACTCCATCCACCGTCCTCTCCATTTCCAGTACCACTGTGTTGTTGTTGGTAGAATACATGAAGATTTGCACCACCATCCGAAGCCCGCCTTCCGAAACTACTGGCTACAAAATAACATTTAACATCTATATTACCTGCATATCTAAAACGATCACAAGACAAAGGACCTTGTAGATGAACTTACTTGCCCCCATAACAGTAGGTGGTTTTAACAAGTGCTGATCCTTAATTTGAAAATTCTGTGGCGGCTGGTGTTGTACCAGGGGAAGATTTAACGCAAGATTCGTATGGGGTAGCACTTGATGATCAACATTACATTGCAGAGTGGGAAGAAGAGGTATCGCCGGATATCCAGATGAATAAGTGCAAGTGTACGGATATGGCGACTGGGATTGGTGTGCAGTATCTCCTGGGCCCACTGTGTGTCTTCTTGTTGCGTGATAAGGAGTTCCTGGCGGTAATTGAAGACCGCTTCGTTCCTCCGTCTCTGCTTCGGCCTCGCCAAACTATTAATACATGATTAACATTAATGATCATTGACATTTGATACCCGCGCATACTGGGTAAGTTGACTTAGTGATAAATAATTTAATGGACCTTCTCGAGCTGATGTGCACCGTCTGGCATGTAATCACCCGGTATAGTTTGAATGCTAGGTAAGCTATTCATGCTAGGTTCTAGCCGATCTGCTAGTAAATTGTATATCGCTGAAACATGATCAAATGCATTCCCTTGCACAGCTTGCAGCAATGTATCTGCGCTAAGTCCTGGCAATCTGAGCATGTTCTCAATCACAAGTTGATTTAACTGTGGCTGTGACGAGGTCTCTGGACTGCACCTAAAAATACAAATTACTTATTATATTAGAAAATGAGTTTCCTGTTATTTACATAATTGTTTAGAAAATAAACATAAAAATCAAATTATTCACATACGTGTTCAATGCAAAAAGAGTTTAGATACTCTAATACGTACCCCCCTGGCTCTGGTTCTAATACTCCATCTCCACCCATCCATGGATGGGCAAAAATTTGTAAGATACTTAAACGACGTTCTGGCTCTACTACCAACATATGCCTAATTAGTTTTTCACAATCTGTAATGAAAAATGAATAAATGCATCTATATATAACTCTGCTTGGTTGTATTTCTAGCGATTCAATAATTCCAATAATCGTCGCTGACGTATACTACGTCCCCCGGTAATTAAAGATACTAAATATAGATCTAATCCGGCTTAAGCATTGTCCATTCACATATTGATTAGTGCAGATTACAGTAACTCTCACCTGCAGACATAAAGAAAGGTATCCTAAACTTCCCTGAGATCACCACAGAGCGCAGCAACTGCATTGTAGGCCCGTCGAATGGCAGAGCGCCGCAAACTAACACATATAACACTACACCAAGGCTCTGTAACATTATTGTATAACAAATGCTGATTTTAAGTTATTATGAAAATCAGCCATGGGAGACGGAACACTTTTATAGATTCCGGCTTATTTTAATTGAACATTCATAGAGGTGATTCATTAAAGTTTAACGTTAAAAATTATATTGGTCTGCAACAGTGTCAGATGCGTAAATGTATAATTCTTCACGTATGACTGTCACAAATAATATTATTATGTATGTTGTTTACTACGTACCCAGACATCGGCTCTCGGGCCATCATAATGTTTGCCTTCAAAGATTTCAGGTGCAGCGTAAGGTGGCGATCCACACCAGGTACTTAGTGGAATACCTGGTGTGTATTCATTACTGAATCCAAAATCAGCAAGCTTTATGTTATTGTCTGCATCGAGCAGCAGATTCTCAGCCTAAGAAAAATCAGATAAAATCATTTAAAGCAACCACTCGCACGCTTATTGTACTTAATACTATTATTGATATGCCTTTTCAAATATTTAGATCGATCTAGAAGATTATAGTGAAACGAGATACCTTAAGATCTCGATGAACCACTCTCTGCTGGTGGAGATAATGCACAGCCTGAACAATTTGTCGAAAAACTCTCCTCGCCTCTGGCTCGGCCATTCTACCATTTCGAACCAGATGGTCAAAAATTTCTCCACCAGGCGCATACTCAGTGACCAAATATATCATTTTTTCCGTTTCCATAACTTGATACAGTCTGATAATGTGCGGGTGTCGCAGCCTCTTCATTATGTGCACCTCGCGGAAGATCTTGGCTAGATTTTCCTCGTTCAATTTTGTCTTATCTATTATCTTGATAGCCACCTGCAACATATTGCAAATTTAATTTGGTTCAGAAATAATTGCTCCAAATTGCGATTTGTCATATCAGTCATTACCTAGACACTTGATAAAACTGTTAGGTAGCTTGTGTCTGTGGCGTCACATATATGGTCATAAAAAACAAACACGCCAAGTACCTATGTAATACACAGTCAACGAAATCATGTGACAGACATGCTAAATGATACCAAGTGGTTAGTACCAGGCACTCCTCCCTACACATGTTCGTCACTTTATATTTTATAAGTGACGATTCCCCTTTAGATCTCTCATCGTGTACCTCCCTGTGTGCTAACTTGCTCTCTCAATAATTCTCATTCTCTCTGACACTCACTGGTACGGATATCGTGCTGGCGCGCGACTAGTTCTGTTCTTCCAATATTCACTATTCATTTGAAAAGTCCTACGGCAGACGAGCGTCTTGTTGTAATTACGGATATGCTTTGAAGTTTAAGTTAACGAGGAAATATCATCGTAAACTAACATAGTGACGAATTAAAAAAAAACATTAGTTGTATAAACGAATAGACTTTAAAGGGTCTTTTAACTGCTAATTGCGTTTATGTAAATGTTCGAGTAATTGCACATGATTTTTTTTTGTTCCTTCCAGGAATTCGTACAATATATAACGAGTTGAAGAGCTCTTTTAATCATGGAAACGCAAGTACGGAAACATCGTGAAGGCTTTGGAAATTGAAATAGCATTTTTCGCTGAATAATACATTTCCGTTTCAATAGAATAAATGTCTATCTGTTGAACTACATTACACTTGCTATGCTTAAAGAAGCATTTTGTGTTGTTGCTTCATTCAATCCCGTGTTGCATATGTACGGGTCTAATGATCTACCTAAATATTGGCTCAGTGTATCATTTAATCTGAACCTAACGGATAGTTGATATGTAATTTAATGTTACGAGTCTGACTTGTTTCGTACGTAATTATAATGACTTATATTAAAGTGAATATATATTTCGTTTCAAGTTTTTGTGAGTAGTATAAGATTCTATTTCGTATTGTGATATCTTATCAACCCATAATACAAAACGGGTACAAAATTTTGTGATATACTTGACTTCATCCAAAGCAGTTGATTTGTGGTAATTGCCGCTAATTATTGTCAAGTTGTCGGCTTTAGCAGCATGGTTATTCTACTTGAGACAGTCACTCGAAAAATTAAAGTATTCATACTGGCAAAATAAATAGAGAACTATGTATGTATGTGGCACAGCGATTAGTTAATTTTTTGTTGAAAATAATTAATAATAAAAATATTGTCAAAGGTGGTCTTGCGAATATAATTAAGTAAAAATATTGATTTCAAAATTAAAAAATAATTAAAGATCAATATATGAATAACTATTAATTATGGCATAAAAAATAAATTGGCAAATTTTCTTTTGTATATTATCATGAGCTATAGTATATCATGGACAAAGTTATAAGAACCATCTCACGTGATTAAAACCTTTTCATTTCTATCTATTTTTCACTAATTATTCTTATTACTTCAATGGAAAATTGATTTCATCTGTTATCTAATGACATGAACAATTAACTAATTTTTATTGCTCAGTACAATACATCATATTATTCCATATATTAATCATAATAGGTATCAGTTAATTAAAACCACTGTGCTGATAATTGATACTGCTGATCATTATAATTAATTTTATGATCGTGGTAGTGAAATAATCAAACTAATATATATATATATATATATATATGTTTTTAAAGCAATAAATCAACAAGTTAGAATCTTGATTGATTTACATATTTCTGGTGTTCAATGACATTTTATTTCTAAGTTAGTAAATTCATAATTGTCTGCTTTGCTAATCTGGTAAAACCAATAATACAAAACAACATTCATGATAAATTCAGGTATGTACATATGCATATGTCAATATTAAATATATTCAAATTAAGTGACTTTAGCAAAAACAGAAAATTATCAATAGCCTGTTACTGCATATAAATTATTTTCTCTTTAAAACGTTCTTATTTTTCCATACTTAAGTATCAATAAGTACAGTGCAATGATTGTTGATGCATCAAATAGGATAAGTGGAATAATAGTTCTCCTATTTATCATTAAATACAAGAGTAACGGATTGAACTGAGAAAATGTTATTGGAGTATTATTTAAAAATGCATATTTTTTCAGTACGATTTTTATATATTGTTGTCGAAATTACTGTTTTGTTCTTGTGATCATGAAATTCTTTCAAATTCTTCCACAATTAGGAACGTGTGACGTAAATGAATTCTTGCGTTAAAATATATGTACGTTCTAAAATTTCCGTGTACAGATATGCGTGTTTTACTAGAAATGGTATCAAAGGAATTGAACGTTACGTTGAAAAATCATGCTATTGTAAAAAAACCATATAAACAACATATTTAAATCGATGTATCAGCGAACAGTAGCAGGGGTAGTTTTAGAAAAGATTTTCATACAGTAAAGCTATTTATACAATATGACAACTTGTCGAATAGGATGGTAGAATGAGAAGTGGATGAATTATCGAAAATTTAAATTTGCACAGTTTTATACGGAGATATGACGATAAAATGACGGATTCCAGACTGGTAACGGGAAGGTTTTGAGCTGGAAGAAACTGTACCTTGGATTTCGTCACGACATGAGTGGCCATTTTGACAACGGCAAAGTTTCCTTTACCGATGGTCTTCTCCAATTCGTAATATCCGACGCGGATGAGTTTATTGACGGAAAATTGTTGCGAAACCTCATCGTGCGACGTCCTCGCGGATGCCATTTTTTAATCACTTGACTCGCTCGACCCGTTGCCAATCACCCATAGACTTAAAAGATAGACTGAGACCGTATGGGGGAACTTCAGCCGAGACCAAACGACAGCTTTCCATAGTCCTTTTATTTCGGATCGACCCAATGTTGTAACGTACGTTAATTCTATTGGTTGGACTAATAGAAGATGCCAATAGACTGGCTGTATAATGCCACGATTCGATGAATGGAAAGCGTGCCTAAAGTTCTCTGACAAAGATTTACGATGAAGTCTGTAAACTGATTGGAGAACAACAATAGGATATTGATGCTGTTGTTGCTGAAGAGACTCCAGTCGGTGTCCAGTATTTAGTTATAATTGATTTCTAATTTGTCCACGATTTCTTTGATAGTTAAATTTGAGACGGTTGGGCAGAATGTATAGAAAGACAAAGCGATCTATTATATTTCATCCTTTGACTTCATTCCTGTAGTATGTGCTTGTATTTTTTGTAGTGTTTGGCGGTGTGTGGATTATAAAAAAAATGTGAATTTACAATTTTATCTTGTGTAAACCCATCTTGGTAAGTTTCTGTTATTAATGTTATTTAAAAGCATTCAAAGCATCATATAATTATATAATTATGAAAATATTACACACTTTTGACTTAGAAAGGAATATTTTGTTGGTCTTACAAATAACTGAGACCTATACATATGTTTTTTGTATTCACTGCTTCATAGACAATAATATTAACAATTATTTTTGGTTGCTCAGGTCTATATAGCTTTTTTTTAATAACACACTAACTTCCCTGTCGTAAACAAATGACTTTCTCATTGTTTTGTTATTGTTATACTGAGATATATTTTTTATTGTATGCTATTTTATCAAGACACATTTTTTATGGGAAGGCATTGCTTGTATCAGAGAACATGTTCTGCCTTTATCTACATTATTCATAATGTGAAATTTGTTCTTTAGGGTTAATTTGAATAATAAGAAAAATAAATGTAAAACATTATATCTGCATATTACAATGGCAGAATTAAAAGGTACTGAGGTGATTGAGCTAGACTCAGACGAAGGAGAGATACAAATAAGAAATGAAAATCTGAAAAGGAAAGACATTGCACCGTGTCATGGAAATTGTATTAACTTTGTTTGTACTTCTGGTTTAAATATGAAAATCGCACCTAGCTTTGCTTGTGCTTATTATGGAGTTAATAGATGTAAGAAAAAAAAACGCTTAATATGTGAAAAATGTTTTGAAGATTCTATTACTCATCAGCAGGTAATTATTATTATTTCAATACAAATTCATTATAATTCTTTTATTAAAATATAATGATTACATTACGATTCTTATATATTTGATATTTTAGCAACTTGTGTCAGCATTGATAGCTAAAAAGCCATTGTTACAGTGTGATTTTCCTGATCATACTATGGAAGTTGAAATCTCTGATAGTGATGATTCTGATGATGAAAGAAGTAAAGTAATGGAACAAGAAGGTATAATTTGAAAGACAGACAGATTTGAAAACTTGATAGATTTATATTTCTTTTTGTAATTTTTAGATAATTATTTACCTGAGAATGTATTATCTGACATAAAAGAAAAAATCGATGATGCTTTATTATCTATCTTTAATAAGTATGACATTCAACATCAAATAGAAGAATCTCATAAAATATTAAAAGAACGATGGGAAAAAATTGATGGTATGAAAAACTATATTGTAAATGATTATCAAAATTGCATACAATATCTTAAATTTTGAATATTCTAAAAATAAAATTGTATTACATTTATACAGCAAACACTGTGGAATTAAACAAAGACATTCAAAAGATGATGAGTGATGCCGATTCTTTGCGTGATAGATTCTATGAGGATTTTAAACCACAAATTCAATGGCTCAAGGAACTGCACATTGATGATAAACCGCTAGAGAACCATCTCTATCCACTAGTTGCTACCAAGAAGGTCACTCAAGTACGAGTGTCTCCGAATGCAGCACAATCCGATACACAACCAGAAATTATGCCATTGGAGCGTGTTGACAACAAACTAGAACCAGCAGACATTCCACCTCTTGGTCCTCTTATAAAACCGATACCAGACGTAGACAGCATCGTTTATGTTATGAAAAATCCTCTCATGCCGTGGGTCAAAGGAAAGGTAAGTGCGAAAATATGATTAACCCATGAAGGATTTTGTTTTTGAAATGACATATTTGAAAACGATATGTTCGTCTAAATCTACAGTCGCCTGATACAATGTAAACTATTCTAAATCATCTATCGATGATATAACTTTAATTCGATAAACAAACAAGATATTTGATTATTCGTTAGGTACAAAGTGTTATATCCAAAACACCAGTACACTGCCGAGTGAAATTACTTTCAAAGAGATACAACTCCATGGTCAAGTCTGTATATGGCAAACAATTAGCAGTAGATGTTCTATGCCCAGTTGTTGTACCAGTTGGAACTCGTGTAGTCGCAATTTTTCATGACATTACTGGAAGTGACTATCATAGTGGGGTTATTGCCGAACCACCAAAGTCTATAAACAAATATAGGTATACAATCTCACGTACGAAGCGTAAAAAATATGAGAAAAATAATGCATATATTTTCGTTACAAATTGATATAATATTTATTTGCTATTATCCATAGGTACTTAATATTTTTTGATGACGGATATGCACAGTACGTTACACACAAAAATATTTTTATCGTGGCAGAAGCCTCACCACGAGTTTGGGAAGATATCCCTACAGATTCTCGTGAATTTATTAAAAAGTATATGGAATCTTATCCCGAGAGGCCAATGGTCAAGTTACAGACTGGTCAAATAGTGAAAACAGAATGGAATGGAAAGTGGTGGGTCGCACGAGTGAATCAACTCGATGCAAGTTTAGTTCAAATGCATTTCGATGCCGATGGAAGGACCGAATGGATATATAGAGGATCGGCTAGACTAGGTCCTCTTTTCATGGAGTTACTAAAAGCTAATGCTAGACAACATGGTTATCATGCCATCAACACTCCTAGCCGTCATTGTCTTCCAGCCACAACTAATGTGAGGGTTTACTTGCGATTACTATGAGTCGATGTACTGTTAGGTTGACAAATACTTTTTGTTTCACTTTCCTGTAATTATTTTTTCTGAAATAATACGTACTTTGCAGAAAAATAATTTACCATATGTTGAATATACTTCCTTTAATCCTGAATTGGATGACGAATTAGCGCCAGTCTCAAAATCTGATGTGCTTCTGAAAACTTTGTTGAATACAAGTGCAACAACGACGACTCGCAGTGTGTCCATTACTTCTGTACCTCAACAATCTCGTGCAGTTGCAAAAAAAAGTACAACCAAACGACCACCTATCAGTAATACAACAATCCAGAACTCTGCAGAAATTAAGCCGTCGCATAGTATTGTTGTCAGTATTAAGATAAAATAAATTTAAAATTAAATTAATTTTTAAAGTTCCTAATCTTACTGCAGTATATGCTTTTCTATTTTTTAATAGTATTATCAACCGGAAAACAAAATCAAAACGAAAAAGTACATTCCACATAAATGTGGGCACGAATGTGTCGCAGGAATATCGTTTACACCGGATGATCTTCGAGGATATTCTCCCCTTTCAATTCCACTTCTCTGTGGATGGAATCGGCAGATTTCCAAGTTTCATAAGGGCAGAAAAGTGATCCTCTATCAAGCACCATGTGGTGTGAGACTTCGTAACATGGAAGAAGTACATCAATATTTACGTATTACTGGAAGTCCTATGTCAGTGGATCTGTTTGATTTTGATCATTGGGTTAATTGTTTAGCTGAATTTTCTTTGGACAAATGCTTTGTGAAGATAAATGTAAGTATATGTATGCAGATGTGAAATATTGACAACAGAGTAGCATTACTTGATTTACAAATTGACATCAAACAAAAGGATCTGAGCTATGGAGTTGAAAATGTGCCAATACCCTGTGTCAATGAACTTGACCACGCGCTACCAGATACAATCAGATATAGTACACGAAGAGAACCAACAGAAGGTGTCAACCTCAATGTAGATCCTGAATTTTTATGTTGCTGTGATTGTGAAGATGACTGTCAGGTAAGAATACTTTCCTTACTTCTTCTTTATTTAATGTCTATTTCTATTAGGTCGTAGCGTCAATCAATATCCTTTTTTTTCTCATAGGACAAATCAAAATGTCAGTGTTGGCAACTGACAATACAAGGTGCGACTTTAGGCGGACGAGTGCTCAATACTGCTGTTGGATATGTATACAAGAGATTACCTGAACCGGTAATTACAGGAATCTACGAATGTAATAGCCGATGTAAATGTAATATTAAGACTTGCCTCAATAGAGTGGTGCAGCATCCTCTTACTTTAAAATTACAAGTTTTTAAAACAGCACCCAGAGGATGGGGAATAAGGTGCCTCAATGACATTCCGCTTGGATCATTTATTTGTATTTATGCTGGAAGATTACTTACTGAACAAGTATGTGTTTACTTTTGGTTGATAACAAAATTTGACATTACAAAAAGTGTAAAGTGACAAGTTAGATGTATGTAATCCATACAAAACTCTTCTAGAGCGCTAACGAAGGAGGAAAAAATTATGGCGATGAATACCTTGCGGAATTGGATTATATAGAAGGAGTAGAAGGTATTAAAGAAGGTTATGAAAGCGACGTTCTGGAACCAGAAGAAGTGGAAACAAACACTACGGACGATGAGAAAAAATCAAAAACTGCAGAAGCCAAACGTGGTTCATATGAATCAGACGAAGATTTTAATGTTGATATACCCGTGAACGTTAACGAAGCAGAAACTGCGTCTATCAGGTAACGATAAATTATATTTTTATTATAATCTAATCTTCAACAACCGTGATAAGGTGGAGGACGAAACGTCGTTATAATCTTCAAGTGTATGTTGATTTCCTGTCAACCACATAGCGCAGCGATTTTTATTTTAATGATTGCTAAGTATGACGTAATGTATCTTCCCTATAGAAAACGCTTGAGAAAACGTAAAACAGGCGATGACATTAGTGAAAATGCGTCAGAGGATCCTAACGAAGATACAAATAAAGCAGCAAAAGGCTCGGATGTATCTCAAGTAAAATTATCTACTAAGGAAAGCAATCCAACGGATGATGATATTTATACTATAAGTGATGAGGAAGACAGCGAAGATCGTAGACGGGAACCAAGTAGATTTGATCCGGCTGTCGAACCAGCCCAATTAGAAAGGTCAAAATTTAAATCGGTTAGGGATTTCTTTGGGGTGGACGAAGCAGTATATATTATGGACGCTAAGACTACTGGAAACATTGGACGATACTTGAATGTATGTAACATATGTGAAAATATTGTATTTTGTTAAACATCTGTATGAAGCAAGATTAACAAACGTTTTTTCTTCTTGTAGCACTCGTGCGATCCGAACGTATTTGTTCAGAATGTATTCGTGGATACTCATGACGTTCGTTTTCCTTGGGTCGCTTTTTTCGCTCAAAACTATATCAGAGCTGGTCAAGAATTAACATGGAATTACAGCTATGACGTCGGTAGTATACCGGGAAAAAGTATTATTTGTAAATGTGGTGCATCTAATTGCAGAGGTCGACTTTTATAAATTAATACAATGATTTTATGATTTAAAATATCAATGAATTTGTATACATAAAAATTCATAAAGAACAATTCAATAATAGTAGGATTTAATACTAGCTGAAGTTGACGAATTACATAAATAATGTGTCACGATCGAATATATGAAATGTATAATAAATATCTCGATATTATTTTTGGTAATTTTGAGATCATTTCCTACTCAAACCCTGCGCATTCCTGTTAGACATAAATTAACCATGTTCAATCAAAAATATACTGCTGATGTGAATATTTTTTTATTATTAAAAATACGAAGTACATCAATGAAACTACAAATATTAATAAGCGTACTATTACACTGAGTTGTGGTAAATTGTTTACTGTTTTTGGCTCTATTGAATAGAACAGAGATGTTTCTTAAATTATGTTATTACAATTTGTTTTTTCAAAGTAAATTACCAATCACATCAAGTATAACCCCTTGACAAACAATTAACATATTTTGTTTATACAATAAACAATATTTATATATTCTTACACGACCGCATGGAATATGCGAGTGTTTTATTTACTTAAGAAATACTGCTATTCAAAATAAATTTCTCTCTAAATTCTGATACTCAATTATTGAGTAAATAAGTTTGTCAGTAAAAAGGACACAGTAATAAAAAAAGATTGTGTACAGTCAAGGGGTTAATAAAGAACAATGCTTTATAGATATTAACAATCAAATCTATATGTTTCATTACTCTACAGCACAAGCTCATAGTATCTTCCCATATTCACATGGTAGTGGTGGCTAAGCTTTCCTTTTTATAATTTAGGGCATCTTTAGATTTGATTTGATTTTATTATTACAACCTTAATATTGCAATTGTATTCTTATGTATGTAGCACATAGACTTCTAAAATATGAAACTAGCGATTCTCGTAAAATATATGCAAACGATTTCGTAATTTGCATTTCGTATACCCAGTTACCCTAACGGGAAAAAGATAAGATTCTATATCAGCCCTCATATAAGAGTATGACAATCAGCCAACGTAACTCAGCTATACAATTTTACATTGTATAGTTCAATTCATCACATTGATGATAGATTACAAAATATAATAGTGGTTCTCATTAATTTATTTTAATACCAACAATATTTTACCAGTTCCGTTAACAGTCCAGCAAAATCAAGAATGATAACCACTGTTAAGTTTGAGAATTTATCCTTGGTATACAATATTAACTTAATATAAAAAACAGCAGAATGGTATTGAGACGGTATTCAATCACAATTTAGACATATCTCTGCCTAGTATCATTAAAAAAGTACATAGTAATATGAAGTTTGATCTTATACTCGCATCGTATAGTATATTATAAAATCTACTTTTAGCATAGCTATTTTCGTTTAAAATACATAAATATTGTAGTCTAGTTGTATGCAGACAATTAATAAAAGAAAGCAACAATAATATCCTACAAGGAACATTAAAGTACTAAAGTATTAAAATTAAAATTTTAAACACTGTTTGGTTTTGTGCTAGCGAAGTTCAAAAAGCTCTTTGATTTCCTCCTTCTCAGCAGCATCTAAGTAACTAGTACCATCAGGTGTTGTCCCATCAGGATTTGCTCCCTTTTCTAGCAATAACTTTACACACTCTGTATGACCTTCCCAAATAGCTGCTAATAGTGTTGTTATGCCATGTTTGTCTGTTGCCTATATATATACATTTAGACAATCAATATTCCATTAAAAGAAAAACATGTTTTTCAACATTTTTATCAATTTAACTTACATTAACATTAGCTCCTTTTTCCAGCAGATATCGCACAACCTCCCATTGACCATAGTCTGCTGCATAATGTAATGGTGTCCTTCCATCAATCATTTGGTTAACATCTATGTCCTATGGATTAAAACAGAAAAACCAAGAACGTAAGAACAGAATGTCACAACTCTACAAAACATATCGGTGTCAATAAATAACAGTATATAATGCTATTAATATTCAATATTAAGTACATCTTGATTAAATATCCTTTCATCTTAATTAATATAAAAACAATGCAATTCATATATTCTCAAGGAACCATTAAGCTGAATTAAATCAAATTTTAGATTCTAGAATAACGATCATACAGCACGGTTGAGGTGAAAGAAAGATGTAACAACATTATTGAATTGTGCAATAAAATTGTGACAAAAAAAGCATATGACACTGTTTCATGATAATGTAACAGTTACTTATAACAATACTCGTATTCATTTTCAATATTGCAATGACAATTTGTAATACCTTCTTTTCAACGATGTCTCGGACCTGTTCCAGATCACCATTTTTTATGCCCCAAACTAACTCACTCATTGTTAATAATAATTAAAGCAATTTATTGTAGTTTATAAAAACAGTATACTGCAGTGTACTTTTAATACAAGTACTCTCCACTACTCCTATTTCCTCCAACTGTAGATCATTCAACCATTAAATTTGGTTATATAGTGATTTCTCCTAGCATACGTAGAACAGAATACCAACACAAAGATCTCGTTACTTCAAAAAATTTGGAAAATTTACCATTTTGCCTGCAGACTGAAAAACTGACAGTCTACAAGTATTTCAGAAGTTTCATCAATCTGATACGATAAAAATGACGTTCAATGTACGTACAACATCAAAGATAGTGCGTAGCACAAGTACATATGGATTTGGGTGTTATCAGTGGTAAAAAAAGAGATGGAATTTGGTTATTCCTAGGGAATTTGTTATTACTCATCTGTCAACGACCATATTTTCAACGTACAGAATTTGATCACTCAACCAATCAGATGTGAGGCTTAGAAAGAGTACAGTGAGGTGATTGGTTAACTCTGTTTAAATCCAATTTGGTTGAAACTGTTTGAAACAGTCAACCTTGGAGTGACCAGTCTACAGCTATAGTTCATTATGTTCATGGTTTTTAGTATGGTCGCAATCTTCTAGATCGCTCTAGTAGTTCAGGCGCGACATCTATCGCCAGTGGAAGGGTGCAACCTGTATGCATGGTTTTCCTAGTGTCGAAGATTATCCGTAATTCTGCAGTTTCTGAGATAAAATCCATTGGAGATCGTGATCGTAGCGTGACGCGTGCAATTCGTTGGCCGTGGGAGTGTGCCCCCGAGGCGTTTAATGGATCCAACTATCGGTTGGTATCAACCGGAGCAGTTCGGCCCCGCGAAGGACTTGTGGCTGCACATTTGGGAGGCCGAGAAGGGACTCGATATCCTAACGCTGAAGAACGACAGCTCCTCGAGTACAATGGGCAACAAGGTCCAGCAGGACTACATATCCCTCGACTCTGTGAACAATCGTATCGGCGAAGAGCGATCTGCCACTCGTGGACAGCACAATACCTGCAATAGCTATTATAATCCGTCGCGCAGGAAAAGCGATAACCGCGCGAGCACCTACGGTATGAACTACAATTACAATGCTCTCGTCGGTGAATACGGCGGTTGTCCCTGGCGTCCGCCCAACAAAGTCTACTCGAAAGGTGTCGTCGGGTGAGTAGACATCTTCGACTGCTTGCATCTTCTTCTGGGCCATGCCTTCTTTCTATTCTTCCTACCATTCCTGTTCTCAACCTTACGTACGACTTGGGTCTCTGTCAACCGGCCGTATGGGGGCGCCCTTAGTGAGGTTAGGAATGTCACATGTTGACTTCTTTCAAGGACTTTCATCCTCTTTCTACTCAGGGACAAATTCAAGGACTCGCGCGCACTAAAAACAACTACTAGAATTTTGTGCTCGAAATGACCATGATTTTCATAGGCTTTCTATTTACGTATACCTGTTTAATTTTTGAGAATGGTTTGGGAGATCAACCACGTTTGATTCTCGTTGATAATAGACACAATATATCATATTGATGTATTTACGTTTCAGTAATTATATCGAACCTGTTGGTTACTGTTTGTATTCTAATATTGTTGATTGTTTTCTCTGTTGAATCTTTAAAAATATTATACTTTCATTAATTGCCTTGGCCTCTTACCAATACCAGAATTCCTTTCAATATGCCACACTGGTATAGTTGTGCTCTCTGTAACAATATTGTATCGTTTCCTTTACCACTTAAATATACTTTTATGATGTTCAAAAAAATGATCTTAATATGTATTCTATATTTTCTTTTCAACATAAAAATAAAACAACCAGGTATTGTTATACATTGAACTAATTACAAATGTTTTACATATGAGACACAACAGACATTATAAATATTACAATATTGTTCTTTCTACAGGTTGCATGAAGAAATAGAAGACTTCTTCACATATATGTGTCCCTCCAAAGAAGAGCATAGTTTACGTGTTCGTGTTGTGCAGAGAATTGAACAAGTCATTTATGATCTCTGGCCCAATTCAAAAGTAGAAGTTTTTGGAAGTTTTCGTACTGGTCTTTATTTACCAACAAGGTGTGTATCCACTTATTCTATAATAACCAGTAAGGTTACATTGTGTTAATCTATATCCTTGAGATTATGATATGTAGATCTTTATGGAAACAATAGTATATTCATTATATCTTTATTTATTTGTATTTATTTGTATGACCCTTTATTTTATATGACTGTCACTATGGTTTGTTTACTACCCTATTGGCTGCTAAAAATCAAATGTTGTATGTCAGTACATTTCATGAAGCTGGATCATGAGTATATTGCTTTTAGGTATTCTTCATTAATATGGTGAGCGCTGTGTGAGATCAAAAATGATCATGGGGGGTGGGGCACGTGGCGTTCAACATATTAAATTACATGAAAAAATGTAACAAATATTATCACATATTAAGCCAGATAAACCTTTTATAAATATTAATCATTTATATGTATTTTAAACAATTTATTCTTTCGGCAGTGACATTGATCTGGTCGTAATAGGAATGTGGACAAATCTTCCATTACGCACACTCGAGCGTGCACTATTGGATCAAAATATAGCTGAACCATCCTCAATAAAAGTCTTGGATAAGGCTAGTGTGCCAATTGTTAAGCTCACCGACAAGGAAACCGAGATTAAGGTGGACATCAGTTTCAATATGAACAACGGTGTTAAATCAGCGGAATTGATTAAGTCTTTTAAGCGGCGGTACCCTGTGCTGGACAAACTGGTCATGGTACTGAAACAATTCCTATTGCAGAGAGACCTTAATGAAGTGTTCACTGGTGGCATCTCTTCATACAGCCTTATTCTCATGACCATTAGTTTTTTGCAGGTAAGGATTATTAGTCAGACGTTTTTCACATAGAAAATGGTAAATTCGTGTTAAGAGTATGTTAAATCAAATTATAAGTAGTCTTTAAAATCTATTTAAACCTTGATTGTGAAGATATATTAATTGTCATATATAATGTTGTTAAGTAATCTGACATTAGCTAGATATCTATAAATCTACTGTACTACTGTCTTGCACTCCAACACATGATATCTGATGTTGTCTCAAAGAGTTTGAAATGAAGTCAGTTAATAGATAACACATGATAAATGACGATGCGTTGTTTTTTCTAAATCTACGCGTCAAACGAGTGTGTTATTTTCTGTATGTTTCAGTTACATCCTAGACAGAACGCTTATTGCCCGAGCGCTAATTTGGGCGTATTACTAATTGAATTTTTAGAACTGTATGGTAGAAAGTTCAATTACGTTAAAACAGGCATTAGAGTAAAGGATGGAGGTACTTACATATCTAAGGAAGAGGTAATATGTTTTGTCTAATGCTAATTCAAACAATAATATAATATATAATATCTGATTCGGTAGCAATCGTTCAATCTGATATTGCATCAATAATCTGTAAGAAAATCATGACTTACATATTTCGTTAGTCTTAAGTTCAATGAGCTCACCTCGAAAACCTTAGGGTGAAGATAATCAACATATCTTTCTTTCTTTATACATTTTCAATATTTTCACACTTTTATTTCTGGTTAAGTTCACCAATTGTGATCACTTACAAAGGATCGTATTACTTTATTTTATTTGTCGGTATAAAATGACGTTGCTTGCATTATACTTGTCAAATTTTGTCATCAATTAGTTAATTCTTCGATGGCATTTAGGTTCAACGCGATATGATAGACGGACATCGACCTTCTTTACTCTGCATAGAGGATCCACTTACTCCTGGTAACGATATAGGTCGCAGTAGTTATGGTGCTCTTTATGTAAAGGATGCCTTCGACTGGGCCTATTATGTTCTATCCCAGGCAGTCAGTCCTCTGAACATTCTGATTAATGATGCGAATAAAGTGAGGTGAGGTTAATAGTCGTACGCCAAGGATGTAGTACAATTAACGCGATAGCCATGACCATAGCTTAAATAGGAACCTAGATCTCGCAATGATCTTGAGTCGCAACAATAATTTGAATGGACTTTCTTATTCTTTAATCTAGTATATTAGGGAGAATAATTCGAGTGACGGACGAAGTAATAGAGTACCGGAAATGGATTAAGGAAACATTCCCACTGCCCCTTGGCGAGACGGATTCTCTTTCGAGCTCAACTGGTTCCGATGCATCAACACTCTCTGCTCCAGCTAGCGACACGGTAATTCCCCAGGATGTTGCATTACATTGGACTCCCATCGTAATTAGAATTTATTTTTTAGCCATATAATCTGACTGTTTTTGTCTAAACGATTTTCATTAGCATTGAACAAATGTATGTTTCAGGACTCCGAGTGCAGTCGTGGCAATTCTCCTAATACCGGAGGTAAAGCTGACGACAGGAATAAAGACAGAAATATATACGAGAATCAACAGTCTCATCATCAGCAGTGGAAAAAGTCATACAAGCCGCCCTCTCATGGTACGAACCGCCCAGTTATTATTGGTAATATACTTATAACTCTTTTACTTACTACGATAATCATAGATTTTACATGTGAATCGTACAAGGCACCAGTGTCCATTATTGCATTATCATCAGCCAGTAGCAATTGCATTCTCTCTATAAATTCATTGCTACGTAATCGGTACATTGTTAGTAGACAATACACTGGAGCCATGCGTACAGGGATTGCACATTATTGGTCGTAATTTATTTTTGTCTGACTTGAAACTGATGGTTAACACGCTTTACTTTGAAATTCACAGTAAACCATCAGCACAGTTCGAGAGGAACTTATCAGCGTGGAGTAAACAACAATACCGGTGGACCTAATAAAGGAAAGAGTAGCCAGCATCACAGTAGCAGTAGCAATAACAATAGCGGCAGCCAAAGTCCAAATTCAAGAGTGTTCACGATGAAACGTAAGAAGCAACACGTGACACATCGTAGCCCCGGTGATTGTGTACGGTGATGAAGTATGGGGGCTGGTGGTGTTCCTGCATATTAATCTTGTTCATTCGGTAACGAATGGCGACACCAGCGCCAAATAGCAATTGGCAATGTCGCAGTGTGAATAACCTTAGCAATACTAGGTACAGTCCAAATCTTAGATAGTAGCTAATTTGCTGCGATCGATGAAGTTTTATAGAATTGTCTTAATTTTCTTTTTTTTTGCGAACCTAACACCGAGAATGTACGGGAGATTACCTTTTGAAGCATTTGACATTTAACGAATTATTTTTATCATTGATCGGTGCGTGTGAAACATCCCTGTGAAATCGTACGCGAACCGTTTTTTTTTACTTCCCGAACAGGTAATCATCCAGATCATTGATTTTTTTTTGTCTCTTTGAAATTAACGAGCTCCTGCAACATCGTGATATCGTCGATTGACCGTTTTTTCTTTTTTTTTTCTTCTGTTTTTAAAGTGTGCATGTGTGTATGAATGTGGATGAGTATCGGTACGCACGTCGAGTGAATAATTTTGTCCGGAATTACAACCGTCGTAGTTGTTTCGGCTATTATTCGTCTAGTATTATGCACTTATCTCGCCAACTTTAAATAGTGATTGTGTTCATAGAGTCACACGCCAAAAATTGTGTACGAAACTCGTAATTCTGAATTCTTCATATAATAGTTACGCTATTCGTCATAGTACATCTTTCCTGGGGGTTTCACGATTAACGTAAGGCATACCACTTGTAGTTACGACAAAGACTTAGTTTTCTATATGAAACTATATTCTTATAATACAAGAGCATAAAAGAAAATTTGGTGATAATGGGACTTGCCCACTGTAAATATTGTAATATACTCAACTGCTGAGATTTTGAAAAATAAGCGTAACAGTTACCTAGTACATATTTTTATTTTATGCGTGTCCGAACGAATATTTCATACGATAGTCTCGACGTATTGTTTAAATATGGATCCGATCCATATATATATATATTTGGAAGATTTAACATTTTTGTTTTGTAACATACGTAGTTTTCTAATAGCTTCGAAGTTATTTGTACAGATATAGCGATGTACCAGTTAATTTCCAACATTACGTGTAAATTTGTATGTAAGAGCAAGTCTGAATGTTTGTTCTCGCACGAATGAGCCTAATAGTAATTATTGCTCCTATATAACTTATTGTAATTTGTACAAACTTACGAGAGACTGTATACATAAATTTAAGCGGTCTTTGTGAGATATCACTTTATTTATATACAATATTGTATCATAATCTCAAGTACAAACATATAGTTCATTACGTTTCATAATAAAACAAAAAGCTCGAGCCTAAACTTTTATAAAAAATTTTTTCCATACCTATGCTTATGTGAAACTATTATGGAAATAATACTCTCCGAAGATACGTTTAATCTTGAATTTTACTCAACTGCAAGGACTGGTATGGTGAAAGCTGAAGAGGATTCACGATTAACAATGTGATTGGTTTTTACATACAAATGGCATTTATTCAGTTGTCTTGATGCCAGCCATTCATATACATAATACTTATATTAAACATTTCTTGCAATGCATTATTGACGCTACCATACATTTACACTATACATGGGACAGGAGCATTACTTGCGTGAGGTAAGACCAGTAATTGGATTGACCTCTAGAATCTTCATACGCTCCAATTGAGCCAGTTGACGTTCCTCTTCAAATGTAACAGGTAGTGGTGGATACACTAAACATAACATTCCATCAAATATTATTGTCTTAAAAATATTTCTGTTATCACATTTATATTATTGATCTTACCAGATATAATTTTTTAAATTAAAAGAAAAATATCTAATTATACAATACAGTTAAGTACTTTAATTTATTATTAGCTTGCAAACAGGAGAGCTTACCAAACTTTTTCATGAAGATAAAGAGCCACAGAGCTCCACTGATTCCCATCAAAATAACACCGATGGAAGACTTCCACCTTCCAGTTGGAGCATTAATTTCTGCAAAGGTCTGACAGAAACTTGCACGGTACAATGCTTTCTTTTCTTCGATAGAGAGTTTCTTCCAATCACCCTTCTCTTTTTCTCTAAGAGCCTAAAATATAGGCAGTGAGTCAGTGCCAACTAAATGTAATAGATTATCAGTAAATTAATTGAATTACTTGAATATCTGGGTTGTTCTCCTTGTAACGGATTGCAGGCATTGGGAAATCCACACGGTCAATGTAAGATTCAGTTCCATTCATACCAAAACCAACAACCTCGCGGTTTCCAATGACGGCTTTACTGTCCGTGGTCATAGTTACTCTTTGCATGATGCAGGCTCGTCGCAGGCCGGTGATTAGAATCCTATTGTTCATCTTGACTGAAACAGTAGAAATTGTTTAGTAATGTTGATTAGCCATGTAACAAATGAATTAAAAAATACATTATCGATTATACGTCCAGAAGTTGGTTTCGGTTTCAGCAGAAGACTATTATCTAATCGATAAGTCTATTATAGAATTACGTTTTATAATTATGTCATCACATCATAAATGAATTACTCATTAATCTTGAAAGTACAATATGTAAGAACATGTGTAAATTACCCAGGTAAGGCTCAAATAATGTTTTAAATGGGAAAGTTTCGTGAGAGTACTTACTGGCTGTTCTACAACCTTTGCTCAAGAGCACGGAGTAAAATGGCTGCTAGATACCAGCGTTTAATAGGTCAATGCTTATGAGTACATCACTATCGAGTTGGACAAATTGAATGTTTTAAATTTGTTATATTAAATAAAAAATGTAATTAAAATAATAAGCTTAAAGTAAGTATCTCTTATAAATTACATTTCAGTTAAAATCTCGTATTAGTTTTAAAAAAAATATAAAACCGTATTTTGATATACGTTGAAAACTTATGTCTATGACAAATAATTTTATAAAAGACAAGTTATGCTTGAAAGTGATTGAAAATTAATAATTTAATTCAAATTAGAAAATAGAATTTTCTATAGTAGTTACACAATTAACTATGGACAAGCTTTCCAAAATATTTTATGAGCATGGAGAAGAACCTTAATGATAAAAATATATAGTTTTCGGAAAACATAGCAACAAGCTACTAACTTCACGCGGGTTTGGTTCTCTTTCACGCGAACAGCGAACACGGCAAGGTACGAGTTTTCGTAAATGTGAATTGTATTTATTTTAGAGCTATTTAATGTATGAAAAAACTATACACTATGTATTCTTGAAAATTTCGTAATTTATCTAAGCTGTGCATTGTTTTCTGTGGATGCTTTCTCTTCATATTGTTAGTGATCGATTCTCATCGCGAAGTGAACATGTAATTTGATGTTCCAGATACCGACTTATATCTACGTGTCGTAATTTCGTTAATACAGCTGTTTATTTGTGTTATTCGACTAGATCTCAAAATCTTTAATCCAAAATTTATTTCATCTCATAATTTTCATAAGTCTAACTGGCAAAACGAATGTAAACAACTTCCTAACCTTCATAATTTGACACGAGTCCTGTTGAATATTTTGTTAACAGTGAATTTCTATGATTAAAAGATTTGTGGGAATACTAATCACGGGAATACTTAATAGCATTACAGTGCAGAGGCCTTGAAAATTATACTGTAAAAATAATATTAACTGTTTCGTACAGTGTTTGTGTTAGGACTATGAACATTATCTGCTTACATTCTTACTTATTGTCAGTACGTTATAGATGTTCACAGCAAGCGCCAAAATTATGAAAAGTGGCGGGGCTGAGCCTGATCAGTTTGAGGCCAGCATCTCCCAGGCTCTCCTTGAACTTGAGATGAACAGTGATCTTAAATCCCAGCTTAGGGAGCTTTATATCACTAAGGCCAGGGAAATTGAAACTAACAATAAAAAGGTGAGCTTCAGATCAGTTAATTCATACATGCAGTACAATGCATCGAGGCACTTTTTTATTACTTAATTAGTATATTTATCTGTATGTATATTCTTACAACAGCTCCTGAAAAAAAATTGAATATTTTTGTACAGTCCATCATCATCTATGTCCCAATGCCAAAGCTGAAGGCTTTCCAAAAGATTCAGACCAGGCTAGTACGAGAATTGGAGAAGAAATTCTCTGGCAAGCATGTCATGTTTGTTGGTGAGAGAAAAATTCTTCCTAAACCTACCCGTAAGACCCGCACCAAGAACAAGCAGAAGAGGCCTAGGAGGTATGAAAATACTGTTCATTTTTATAATTTCTCTGAGAATTAAATATTTAAAATAAAAAAAAAATATTAAACCTTTATAGCCGTACCCTTACTGCCGTATATGATGCTCTTTTGGAGGACCTTGTATACCCAGTAGAAATCGTTGGAAAGCGTATTCGTGTTAAGCTGGACGGTTCTCAGCTGATTAAGGTTCATCTTGACAAAACTGAGCAAACAAATATTGAGCACAAGGTAATTATGACTGGTAATCATTATTCATGAATCTTTGGTATTTCAGCAATTTTTTCAAACTTTAAACTTTAATTTCAATTGCTTACAGGTTGACACCTTCGCTTCTGTCTACAAGAAACTCACGGGTCGTGACGTGACGTTCGAATTCCCTGAAACCTACGTGTAATTTACACTTTAATAAAAATAATTAAAAGTGCATTTAATTTCTGTTTCAATACCCTTCATCCACGGCACAATTTTTTGTAGCATGATTTTAGAATATAAGCATCTAGTTTCATTATAATAGCAGTAACTTGTTTTGTACTTTACTTACATAATTTTAATTCAATGTAAAGTATAAAATTTCAACATAAATTAATGCAAAGAATAAATCAAATGCCGTATGCAAAGCATTTTTATTGGAACTCAAATATATGGGCATAGAGATACATAAGCGTTGTAAATATATTATAAAATTATAGAAACTTTGATCATATATGTACAATGTTACAGTAGTGTAAAAAATGAAGGCACGATGGATCTAAGCTTAAGATCTTATGCAAGTAACAGAATCAAAAACTTTACAAAGTAATACTTTAAAGGCATTTTCTCATAATGGCAATCTTCACGCACAATATTATCGTTTTGTACTAATCCCTTACACATATTGGTACAACCATCATACAAAATACAATAAACGCAATGAAGCTTAGCGTACAAAAATTGCTTCTGTTCATTTCATCGCTCAAAAGTTCAAAAGTTGATATCACCCGTAGTGCGTATGTTTACATGAAATATTATATTTTTTCCGATTGCAATTGAATATTATGAAATGAATATTTTTACCATATTAAAATTATGTATCAAAGAAACATGAAATTATACATCAATTAATCCTGCATCCTATAAATCTTCCGTTTTCAAAATTACCAAGCAATATATCAATTGACCTTTACATAAATTAATTTAATCATTAGGAAAACAAAGTGTCTAAAGTATAGACTGTAAGCGATCCATCAGATATTCCTTTGCTACTTTTTATGTACGGCAGATATGCAGATATAGATTAAATAATGAAACGTAACTGTAATAGATATATAAATAATTTCTTTCTCTTTCAATGAATATATATGGACGCTCTGTTTCCTGTACACGAAATTACTTATATCCCTATCAAGTCCAGGCTAATTAATTATACAATTGAATCATATGTATTGGACTATATTAATATGAAATTCTAGTATTTATATATTTATAACAAATGATATTTAACAGGAGTTTATGCAGTTTGTGACATATAAGGATATTAACAACTAGTCATAGCATGGTGTTCTTATTTTTTTGCACTGATATCTTCGTTTGTAATGAAAAGATGACGAATGGTGAATTTCACTGACCATTTCACATAAATTAACGCTTACTCCGTACTAATAGCTGATTCTCAGTCGATCAATTTTGAACAGTACCGATTCTTCGGAATCTAACGGTTACGAGATCACCGCTTTTGACTTTTGAAAGACTTTTACTCATTAAGAGTGCCAAAAATAATAGTATGGAATAAACGTTAAAATATAGTTATAAACAATGTAGTAATCGCACTACTTTCTGACACTCTCTACCGTTGCAGACTATTATACCTATTATTGAACTGTTACATTATGTTGAAAAGGTCTTCATAATGAAATAAAATTAGTTGATTAACAGTTATGTTCTGACTGATATGTGTCTCTGTACCTTATTGCGCTGTATCAATCTTAATAATCGCTATACATTATTAAATTTGTAGTCACAATTAATTTCTCCTTAATGCTATTAAGGAATGTTAAATGGGTAATTTGAACATAAACATGATAGAAGAATTAACCGTGCACTGTAATATTGTTCAGCAATCTTATGTGGCATAATAATTTGTTCTGTCAATTTAACGTTTACAATAATATACGCCTAATAAATTATTTGATTAAAGTATGATTGTGGAATAAAGAAAAGTGAAAATCAGTCATTTTTTGAATAGTGAATTTGGAAACTGACTTCAAACTTTGATCACACATTTATGTCTTAATTTAACATAATACTCTAATTTTTCTTTCGAATTTAAAACTATGTATTACAAAATTTAGTGTAGTAAGCTCAAACATAATTACTAATTTGGAATTTTTTAAAGGTGAAAAATTTTTAAATCATGATTTTTATTAGAGGAGCTGATAACAAGAACCCTGGTAATTAAAAAAATGTGTAGAATGGTCTAGCAAAAAATTCCTTAATTATATATATAATACATATTAATTATTTATTATATATATAATAAAAATAAGCTAATAGTTGTTCTATTTCATAAAGATACCGGTAGTTAGATTTACTGGAACAATACTTATCGACCACGGTTCTCAATGGGTAATGTAATTATATTCATTAATACAATATATTGTTAAAAATGGAAAACTAGTCAAAATTAGTCACAACAGGAAAGCTATTGATACAATGATAGATTAATAAGACAATTTACATGCAAAATTAAGTTAAGTAACGAACACATTATTAACATTCGAAGAAAGGTAATTCTGGACTGTTTACAACGATGCTTTACGTTTATTGAGGAAAAAGCGTTCAATACCTGATTTATATATGTATGTATCTATTGAGAGAAGTATAAATTAACTAAAATTATAACGTTTTCGTGAAAATTACAATAAGGAGTATTTATTATTAGAAGAATGATTCACTGACAGTGCTTGTCGAGAAAAGCCCAAAGATCATAGAATATGGGAATATGCTTTACCCACAAAGAAGGATGATGAACCAATTTAATATGATCTGTTATTGAACAATGCGTATACGAAATTCTAAAACGTATCACAAAATCCCGCTAATTTTAGTATACGTGCAGCACTCGAATACAAGAACACCAACAGCTCTTCTACCGTTTCTATTTATACAAGATGCGTTGCACCTATTCTTAATATTGCAAATTTATTTTAAGTGTCAGAACTCGATCAGGATGGAAGAGTCATCATAATATTAATATCAAATAAATAAAAATTTCTATATAAATTTATAAGGAAATAAATCTGGTTTACGGTGCACAAAAATTATATTTTTCCAAACCATAAATCAAACTCTTATTATTCCTTATATCATGCAGTCGATAATATTCATTCATATCACAATGAAATTTGTTTTGTTTAACTGATAGCAAATTATTTCAATATATGTGCTTGTGCAAGTTACTCTCTTTACCTTTGGTTTAACTTCACATAATAATGTCAGCAATGCCCAAACGCGATTACAGTTGTTATACGATATACTGATTATGTAGACAAAATATTACAAGAAACATTGATTTGGAACAATCGATATCCATTACTTGATTATAAAAAATAGTTCTGACTGACGTCATGTATTTAGAGGATGCAAGCCCCTAATCACATATTATTATGCATGGAACATATATGATATACAAGTTCAAACATTGATTTTTGAGAAAAATTTGATAAACAAAAAAAAATAGATTTCTGTAAATGAAAATATCTTTGGTTCATACAATGACTTAATAGATTATGTTGCATCAGAAAAATTTCTAAATAATAATATTCGTACCGACAATTCCTTGTACAAGGATAATGAATCAATAATCTTTTTTATATAAATACTTCCCAATAGGAGATGCACTGAGTATAGTACACAACAACATATACTAGAAAATAAAGTCATCCGTCGAAAAAAAAAAGAACGAGTTGTCAAACTTCTCATTTAACGTATATTCCTTTCAGTGTTATGTGTGCTGCAAATGCTGTATTGTAACGTTATTGCCATTGAAATAGTTGCCGTTTCAGTGTTGAATACAGAAACAGTATAAGTGACAACACGAGAGTGGAACAAATCCGTTAATTATTTACGTACGTGTAAATAACGACTAAATTAATAAGAAAGGATACCCTTTCTACTATACATCCGTTTGCCAATACCTTGAGGCAATGTTTAACAATAACGTGGTACGACTGCCAATGTTATAATACACTTATTAATCGTAGCTCAATAGCGATCGTACCTTTCTTTAAAACCTAAGAAGACACTGCGATCAGAGAACAGAACGCACGTAGCTTTGATCAGCACCTATCGCTCTTTATTTAATTGGAATGAAAGTAGGAAAGCAAGTGCACTTAATGGCTAATATAAGAAGAGAAATGCTCCACGTCTCTGACCTTATTCATCCCTGAGTACCCAATTGTTCGGTTTATACATAACGTAACTAACCATCTTACTAGCATTTCTGTAACCTGGTAATAAGGATGGCTGCTCTTGAAGAATACTATCATTAGCTGGTACATCTGCATGACAATCCAGGAGGTCATACCGAAGTAGATTCAGCACTGAATTGAGTCAACATGTGACACCGTTGCTCGAGACGTTCCACATTGGCGAACAGACACGCATTCTCAACGTATAAATCCTTCGCGAGTAGATCAGCTCTAGCTAATTTTTCACTCTGGAAACACAGTCGCATAAAAAAATATTTTTCAATACGTTCTAGTGAAAGGCAAAATTGTGGAAATTAATACAACATGGAATTGTAAAATAGCAAGTACACGGTGAAGAGTGTTACATACTTGTTCCTTGTATGCTTGAATCTGCTGGTGCAACTTTTCTTGTGTGCTGCGAAGCACAAATTGTAAATCCCTTAGCTCCTTTCCATTTTGTTTCCAAGTTTCTGAAAGAGTAAGTGATATAAGCATCGGAATAAGATGATAGATGCAACATTTTTTATCAAATTAGATAGAAACATTGACGTACGATGCAATATTCGCTCAGTGTGTTTTTGTTGTTGCTTCAACGAGTTTTGCAGGTGTTTACATTTTTGTTCTTGTGCCTGCAATCGTGTATTCAAAGTCTGCAGTACATTTATGTCAATCCTGCATGCCAGCTCTCCAGCATTAATTTGAGGACAATAACACGTTACGCTTCTTATATTTTGCAAATGGAGTATTTCTTGCATTAGCATTTCTTTTTGCTTTATCAAAGAATTGCATTCGGCATCAATGTTCATTTTTTTCTGATGCAGCCGACGTATTTCGTCTCTGTGTGCTTTGCAAAGCTCTTCTGCAGAGGAGTACGTCTCAATCTGATGACAAGTGCACCCGTAGAGGCAAGACGTAAGTCTAGTAGTCGTGCGCGACACAGTTAATCCAGTACTTGGTATAGTTGTGTGCAACGTATGATTTAATTTAAATGAATCGATCAGTCCATTGTCATCTACAACGCTCTGCGTTGGCTTTGGAAGTAATTGCGAGGGTGATGGAAGACTGACGATGTTAGGCATAACTTTAGTATATTCCTTAGAATAGGGTACTAACGGGATGTAATTTTGTGTGTCGTTGGTTCTCGACATAAAGTCTGAATCCTCATCTGGAAATTGTGTAGAAAAGTCTGACTGCATCGACTGCTTTTCTTTTCTTATTTTTTCATGTAGCTCTTGAATTTCTTTATCTCTTTGGCGTATCTCATTTTCTGCTTGCCCTTTCCACTTTTCAAATTCCTCTTCAAGATCGGTATACTGAAGACAAATAGCATGCAAAAGTTTTAAATAAGGTTAGCTATTTACTTGTATCTCTTTGATAGTACGATATTTAAAAAAAATATATGATAATTACAGAATAGAAAAATTTAATTACCTGCTGTTCAAGATTGAATCTTTCTTCTATTGGGGATAACCTGCCATCGTTCCGACCTTTGTCTCCCGTGCCAAACTGTTCTTCGTATTCAGCCATTTTTGCTATTAATTCCGAAAACTTTTCATCGCTGACTTTCTGTTCTTGTTCGAAAAGCTGCCTCTCTTCTTCGAGTTTATTTCCCCAATAATCCTCGCAATGTTCATATTCGGTTTTTATCAATTCCAAACTTTTCTCTAATTCGGCGCATCTTTCTAATAATTGTTTTCTCTCGTTAGCATGTTTAATTTCCTGCTGTTGAAGTTGCTGATTCATTCTATCTATATTTTCAACGTATTCCTGCCCAATGGCAACAGATCTGTCATTACAAGTCTGTGTTAAATTAAATGAAATAATTGCTCTATCTATTTCAACTTTCGATTGATCTGCAACAGGTTCCTCTTTACGCGGTGGGTAATCTCGAAGACTAGTCATTTTGTTCTTCGAAACACTTTTTACGTCCAAGTTATTGAAGTTCCTGTCAAGATTGTGAATCATATCGTCGCTGTTAGACATCCTCTTGCCAAGTCTCAATTTATCATTTTTATTTATCACTAAATCTCGTAACGATTCACTTGTACGCTCCTCGCATTCTGCTTCAAGTTCATTTGCAAGGCTTTTTGATGACTCCGCTTCTTTCACTGAACACTAGAAAAGACACGTTTTATTGTCTTCCATACAAGTGTGTTTCCTTATAATTGTAACAAGTGTGTCATTGATATGCTTACGCTTTCGTATTTTTTTAACAGTCTTTCCAACTCAGTTATTCTGGCATTCAGAGCTTCATGACTTTGACCTGTATATATACGTTAAAAGTAATTACATATTTAACAAGTGAATATAGTCGTATTAAAAAGTAACAAATAACGTTTTCATATAGATTACCTTCATTATCTTCTGCTATCAAAGTCTTGATAGGCGAAGATGACGTTACCGCATCTCTACAATAGGATTAAATGTTTTTTCTTCAATTCTATGAGACGAGATAAACTCTATATAATAGCTGATTACCTGGTATTTTTAACACTTTGATCACGAGTCTTCAGTAATTCCAATTCGGATGCAAGTTCATCGTTTTGATCCCTCAAAAGTGATACATCTGATTGGAGTCGCTGTATGCGGTCAATTAAAGAAATAACTTGTTCGTTTTCTCTTGCTTCGACGTTCTCAACCTGATAACAAATTTTTTATTAATTTCAACTACAGACATGCTAAATTGTTCTAATATATCGTACCACATCGTGCTCTGCTGCCAACGTTTGAATTTGTAATTGCAGTTGATTATTAGAGACTTTCAGACTGGAAACTTGATCAGAAAGGTTTTGGTTCTCCACTTCTAGAGTTTGGTTTTCCTGTAAGACATTTATAAGTTCGTTTTTTAATCTTTGATCTTCCTGCTGTAGGGTCTGCAATCGTTCATCCATCAATTTCAAGGTCACAACATTTGCTTCGCGTTCAGAACGCAACTGCTTCGTCAATTCTTTAGTCTCTTCGGCGTGTTTTATTTCCAATTGTTTTAACTGATATCGACTTGATGTTTCTAGTCGTACATGATGCTCATCAATTTCCTGGGCTAACAAATTTGCTCGTTCGCTAGCTTCTGTTATATCAATGCGCAGTTTGTCTCTTTCACAGCTGAGGTGTTCAACCAATGTGCTGTAAAATTAAGTATACCTTCAAACTAGAATACATTTCGAATTAAGCAAGATCGTCTAACTGTCTGGAGTGTAGACTCAAGAAAATGCATGTCATATGAATAATAAAACTCACTTGAGACTCCGAACTTCCTCTTGATAAATCACAAGGGCAGCCTTCAACAAACTAACGTGCGTCCCCATGACTCTATTGTCGGATTCATCACGAAGATTTTTAAGTTCTTCACAGAGAACATTCGTTAATTCTGTGAGACTAACATCTGGACTAGTAAATCCTAAGTCCGATAAGAGAGTTGTTGCTTCATGTACACCAGCAACTTCCCACATATCAATGACAATGCTGCTCCGCACATAACTGTTATATTGAAGACTTACAAATTAGAGTTTGTATAATGTTTTTGTTCTATGAAATAGTGTTGATAGAATGATTATACTTTACCCAGTCTGAAGAGGACCAATCATTTGTACACTTTCCTTCTGTGAATCTTGTTTAAGCATATTAATATCGGATCCATCGCTCCAACCAGGACTTACTTGTTCCTGCAAGGCTTTCTCGTTGCGAAACAATAGCGAAAAATCGTCAAAACTTATTTGACCGTCGCGATCTATATCCAGTCTTTCAAAGATTTGCTGGATTGTCTAAACAAAGAGATTCGATTAGGTAACTGTTGTACAATAATTAAATAATATACCATTTATCTGTCTTTTGAATAATAACCTGTCTAGATAATGTTGGAATTCCAATACATTGAGATATAACACATAATTCAGAACGATCGGTATTTCCATCAATATTAGAATTGAGCTTACTCCATAAATCACGCAGTCTTTGTTCATCCAAATTAATATCTATAATTTAATTTTTTAATTTTAGTAGCCTTAATTCATATTCACCCAGGATTATTATATCATAAAAGTCATATTACCTAAGCTTGCATGTTGATAATCTACCATATCAGACTTTTGTTCCTTCGACTTTGTTGTTCGTCCATATTTCTTAGCTGTTAGTTTGGGTGCATTAAGAGTTTGTAGTGAGTCGTTAGCAAACTCTTTTTCAGCATAGTTAGAACCTCCTTCTTGTGATTTACCCAACAAGGCTAGCAAGCCATCCCGGAATTCAAGGAAAGACACAGACTTTCTCACTGGAGTTCGTTCCAGGAGACAAGATATCAATTCTTTACCACGTTCTTCTAGTTGCAACTTATCACAGAGTGAACGTAACCCATTCTCATCTAAGGACGTTTCTCCTTCACTCAGGCAGCTCTCAAACACAGCTAGAAGCTGCTGCTCATATGGATCGTTACATCCTCCCTCCATTGCATTATTCTGACTTTGTTCAAGATCCCTTCTGTCTGGATTTACACTGTCTGCCTAAAATGATATAGTCACAAAAATATAAATATTCATAGAATAAATATAACAAGATAGATAAGTAATTAGAGCAATACCAGTGATATGAATAGTGTTATATAACAGGTAGTGTTAAATGCAAAAGAAAGAGTTTGATGTATCAGTATAACTAAACCAACTGTGTATTAAATAATATGATAAACTACTGTCCATTATACATGTATGTTTATCATATTTGTACTGGATGCAATATAATATTATAAGTGATATTTTTATAGATTTTATAATTATTACGAAAGAGTGCTTGATAATTATTACAATAATATAGATATTGAAGAAAAACTAGATTTACATTGGATTTCTAATGTTGATTGTAGAATTTTATATATTTGAATACACGAGAACACCTGTCTGTTCTAGGATGGGAACGTATATGATATAGTACTGTTAGAATAACAAAATAATTCAATAACAATGAGAATAATTCAGTTGAAAGAATAGTCTTAAGTCAGAGAATTCGTTTGTATAATTGGATAAATATCTAGGGTCATTGCTAAGGTCATTTAGTGATGGTCAAGAACAAATTCAAAATCACTACCATCTCTAGTAGTTTTCACTTGTTACAACGGACACAAAATACCGTACTATGACTTTACATATTTATTTATAGACAGAATATATATAATTAAATTAAGGACCACAGTCAAACTACGCGCATGCATCTAACAATAATGTGTTATAAGGGCGACTTACAGTATAATCTACTATCATAACTTTATACCGACTTATAATAAAAATTCACGACTGTATAACGTATTCGTAAGTACAAATAAAAGATGATGGTCAATTGCCAAAAAATTCGTTCTTATCTAATCTTCTTTACAAACGATGATAGCGCATACAGCTGGCGTCTCGGTCAATCACAATTATGGTTTAACTGATAGAGGAATAATAACAAAGAGCTTACCTGCCGTATATCTAGAAGGATGTTAGCCGCACATAGGAAATGTGGCTATTATTGATGAAGCGCAATGGGAGATTACAAATACCGCACTAATGGGGGATCGATAGTCAATAATTATTATAATACTTGTAAAAAATCGTTACTTCTTGTTTAGCTCGTCGTTGGCAGTTCAAGAGCAATCAGCTGATTGTACGAGCGACACGTATCCATGGTTCACCAGAAAAGGTTGTTGTACATCTATGTATACAAATTTTACATGCTGGGAAAATATTTCAGGATTAATTTGATTAGCGACTTATTATTTTTATTTTTACAGTATATAAAGACAATGTCATATATTCAATCAGAGATAATGAAATTCATCGGATCTGCGTCATGTGATTTATCGACGGAATTCAAATGCTCTAAAAATGTTGTTGCGTTTCAAGTGGTTTTAAGTGCTTTCGAGCACTATAAAACTGTTCGAAATCAGTTGACAGTACTCGGAACATCAATATGTCTCTGTTTATTGAATACAATCAATTGAGACATAACAATGTTCTCAGCGCTGTGGGCTCGTTTTCGAATACACCCATAAAGCTCCAAAACACTTTTAACCGCAAAAACGAACGGTCCTCTTGATTGAAGCATAGATTGGCGTAAAGGTGATAATATGTTCATCTTAGTTAATAATATTTTTCATCCGTTCCTAAGTATTTTTGAAGTATTTTACATTAATTAAAAACGAAGCAAATTAACTGGATAATATTGACCAAAATATAAAGTTCTGTTGGATATAGTATCTTAAGCTTTAGACTGTAGTATGGAGAATCACCACGTTAGCAGCACCTGTTCTTTTCCACCAAAAGTGTAATCTAATCTATAAAGTTCTGCGGTCAATCGGAAGAAGGATCGAGTAAAAGGTTGAAGCAGTAGTTCTTCAGCAAAATGGTATCGCTTTGTGGCAGAGCTGTTCTTCAAGCTTCCCGTCGTTCACTTATATACGCTCAAGCGAGATGCAAATGTAAATACTTTAAGTGTATTTTCACTTAATTATTGAAGTACATATACACTTTATTTCGGCGATTTTAAAAATTAATTACGTAACATGTCTGCCGCTATTGGAAATTCGTCTGTTACGTTATAAGAATGTGGCCACTGTGACAAATTGTCCGACTTACGAGATGTTCTTTCATTTGTAGCATACGAGATGCCAGATCCTATTGACCATGCTACTGGTATAGAGAAGCGTCAGCTACTTGCTGAAGCTGCAGGCAACGACGTAAGTGTTACCAGCTATTTCGGAAAATATAACGTAGTTTACTGCTGCACCCATATCAAGCTTAATTTTCAATGATTTAAAGGTTTATCAGCAAATTGATCTTCATTGTGTCAACATCTTGTTGAACTATTTTTACAATTTTCAAAGAATCTTCATTTATGAATCAATCAATTGGGTGCTTTCAATATATATGTATGTTTGGATTATTACAGTTCATCACTGCAGTTGTAGGAAATTTCTTAGATTTTCTTATATAGAACACATGCAGGAATACAGTTTATAACCTTGATATCAGTATATTTGTCTGTATTTTGAAGTCTATAACATGAATTCAATTAATGACATAACTTTATTTTCAGTTAGGTTAATATATGTTCAATAATCATAATATACAATGCATTGATTTAGGGTGAAGAGTAATATCCTATGCTATTTATGTATTTAATTATAAATCTGGAGTTGTAAAATTTTTTGTAAAATAATACCGTATTTGTTATAGGATCCATTCAATATCAAACCAATTAAGCGTGGACCTAGTACGAAAGACTGTCCAACCTTAGTACCTAGTGCATTTGACAGTCGTATTGTTGGATGTGTTTGTGAAGACGAAGCTACACATGTTAACTGGATGTGGCTGCACCAGGGCAGTCCCCGTCGTTGCGAATGTGGACATTGGTTCAAACTTGTCTACAAAGCTCCTTTATAAAGTTAATTGATGATAAGTTAGTCGATTGTTTGTAACATCTCTATAGAGTCAACATTACATTACATACTTGTGGATACTGGCTTTATTTATCATCTATCCAGAAGAGAATTATCAGAGTAAATTATCTAGTACACCGGTATGCAAAATCCTGAAATACATGTATTACTTGCATTCATTTTGATGTACATATGATTTTCCACTAAATAAAATAAAACTTGCGTGCCAGTGACACAAAAATACTTTTAATTTGTGAAAATCCTTTGTCTGATTAGAATTGTATAATCTAAATGCACTTTATTCATTGCTCCATATAAAATGTCTTTCTGAACGCAATTCTAAGCATATTGTTATCCATTTGTGATAAGAACCGTCAGACGGCAGCATCATCGGCCAATCAAAAAAACAACCCGTGCGTATTCTCCGAGGAGGAGACCACAGTCAATTTCCATTGTATTGGTAAGACTGCGCCTTAGTATATATGTAGCATACCGAAAGTGACGTTCGTTTGACTTGACTGTATTAATGACAGTAAATAATTGTGATTCGATTGTGTGTAAATAGGTATTAAGCCAGTGATCGTAGGATTGTCGACATAGTCGTGCGTAGATTCTACGTTCTTTATCTTAACGTTAATCGAAACGCATAAATCGACGGGAGAGCACTCTCGGGGATCCGCAGGGAAGAAAGAAGTTGCTGTAATGGCCGCCGTGTCATGAAATGAAGGTGCCCAGCCAGTTTTGCGCTTCCACCATGGAGGATAACTCCAGCTCTCCCTCGCAAAATCATAACGGGCAGCTATCTGCTGGAGCGAACGTGTCCCTCGCAAATAACAAGCACCAGGGTAGTGATAACGGCACTGCTGGAGGTGCCGGAGGTGGTAGCGGTGGTGGAGGTAGTGGAGGTGGCGGAGGCAGCGCCGGGGACGAGAGACCACAATATTCTATGCCTGGAATTCTTCACTTCATTCAACATGAATGGGCTCGCTTCGAACTCGAGAGGTCCCAGTGGGAGCTGGACAGGGCAGAGTTTCAGGTGTGCTAACACATCCATCCTGTCTCACCCGTATGTAGCTTCCTTACAGATCACTGCAGGACTCTGGTGTAACCAAATCGCAGCCAATGGCCTGATGGTTTTCTTTGCCAGATTTTGCATCTACATTTATTGTATTTCAGATGGAGTATATTGCAGATAATACACATTGTAATATAAATTTATATTTTAAGGCTTCAGAGTTGTGCACAGGATGTGCCACTGCTTTGTCAGTTCATAGATTGTTCACTGCATATTTCCTAAATTTCTTATATTTCCCACAACATATAATTTGCATAAATATACAATTTTGGTTTAAATTTAGAAATACACATGCTAATTCAGTATTGTAAATGTATTACCTTTATTTAAGATACATGCTTGATATTTTGTTTTGCAATCAGGCTATATTATTATCCTCTTAATAGTGTATTAGAGAAAGAGATAGTATCGTGAAACAAATTATAAAAATACAGTTTTATGTTAATTATACATATTTTGTTAGTTATATATAAGTAGAGTTATAAAAATTAACTTTTTGACATATTATTAAAAAAAGTCACTCCAAACTATATAGTTTACTCCATTACAAAAACACCATATAGCATGATTTATTACATAGAGGTACAACCATATGGTTGGATTCTAGGATACATAGAAACTCTCTCTATGAAACTAAATTGACTGTAATTAGCACACAGAATTAGATTGTGAGATATGTTAGCATATGTATTGTAGTGCAATATATATTATGAATATAATATACTTTATATTCACATATCTAACATACCTTTGTTTATATTGATCTTGATATCATACAGTATAAATATATTTCATATTTAAAAAAAATATTATTCCTAAGGAAATTTATAAATCAACTTCAAATTATGTTTAATATACTTAATAATGTTGCAGTAATAACATTTGTCTTAAAGGATATAGCATTTCATGTTTTATGTCTTATATGTTTGTATATCTTTATTAACTCAATCATGGGAATTTTTTTTGTGTTATAGGCCAGAATAGCTTTCTTGCAAGGAGAAAGAAAGGGACAAGAAAATTTGAAGAATGATTTAGTGAGACGGATAAAGATGCTGGAATATGCACTAAAACAAGAAAGGTGAATATAGATCTATTTTAATCCAACTTTTTTATGAGCTTTTGGCTTCAATTGATCATTACCTCACTTTCTTAAGGATGAATGATATGATGTAAATTAAGCAAGTTAGTTTCGCTAACTGCATTGTAAAATAAGTACTTCAGCAGTGGTGGTTTTGATATTCAGATGTTTCATTTAATACTGATTTAAAATAAATGCAAAACATTATATGGTTAAATGAGCGAGGTAGAAAACACTATAGCTTTTCTAAATAGAACACTACATTTCAAAACTAATTTACAAAAGGAGTACTGTTTTGAATGCAAACGTATTTGGCCACCACATTATTCTAAATAATACATAATTGAATATCGAACGTAAAGCGCGTTGTTTTAATGTGTGCAGGGCAAAGTACCACAAATTAAAGTATGGTACTGACCTGGTAGTTCAAGGAGATGTCAAACCACCTATATACGAAGAAGGTAGTTCCTGTGGTGGTTCTGACGGAGGTGGTGGTGATGGGGAAGCAGTTAGTAATATCAGCTGGAGGCAGGGTCGACAGCTTTTAAGACAGTGAGTAAAAAAGGACGAATTATTTGCGTAAAGAGAAAGGGTGGGGGAGGATTGGTAGCTTACATTACTTATAATTCGCCTGTGAAATGATTTTGTCAGTATGTATATAAAAAAAATAATGGGTCAAAGTCTATTTTTAGTCAGTATCTCGATTATCTCACATGTCTTTGGAAAATAATGCCAAAAATCGAGTAAGAGTAAATAATAATAGAATTCTTTAAAAAAATTTCAAACTATCGTGGCGATACATAGCTACAGGATGGCCTTATTTCTTTTAGGTACTTGCAAGAAATTGGGTACACCGATACTATTATAGATGTCAGATCAAACAGAGTTCGATCACTACTTGGTTTAAATAATAACACAGATTCAGATGATCTGAATACTCCAGCGCTCAATGGAAATGAGTCTTCAAATAAGCGAGCCAGTGAGAACCAGGGTCGACGAATCCCAGCCAAAAAGGTAGAGGTAAATAATGATTCCTAATTGCTTCCTTGCAACAGGGGGATATAACAAGTCACAGAGGAAATTGTAGCATCGAAATATGAATTTTCTATATAGATGCGAGATTAATTAAATAACGTAGTCGGTCAGTAGTATATGAGTTGTACATTGATGTACACTGCTTTGGCATAACAGTCACGTGAGATGAACACGATATTAAATGAATTCAAATCCTTCGAAAATTAAAGTATAGTAAATTATAATAAATATTGATCTAGCAACAGCCATCGTCTATTGCCGAAGCAATGGTTCTTGATACTGAAGCAGCAGTGATGGCGAATTTCGAGTTCCTAGCTCAAGCCGATATTGATATGGAGGAAGAAGAAGGCGATGTTGAAGAGGAACTCTATGACGCAAGTTCAGGATCCAAGCCAAATAAGGTAAACACCGATACCTAATTCCTTGGTGTATCAAAAGTTTAAATGATTACTCTTCTGTTTCATGAAACATATTCAGCCCATATTACTAACCGAGGACGTTGACGCTGAAGCGGAAGAAGTATTAAACGAATTGAATCGTCTCACAGAGACTGAGGAATCACTGCCTGGTATGATCTTACATAAAAATTTAGAGAACAAGGAAGAATACTATTAATATCAGTTCAGATCAGCTTATCACTTCATAATATTTCATGTTTGACAGTCTGAAGTTATTACTGTTTGGATATTTTCAATTAAGTTCATTTACTAGAATAACATGCTATACTTCAATTTGAATACTGAGTGTTAACTTCTTCTTTTACGCAAGTGATAAGCCAAGTTTTAATAAAGACCATACTTTACGTTTACAGGTTCTATGCATAGAGGTTTACAGTCCGATCTACGACGTCCGTGTGAGGAAACCGATTCGACATTGGGTTTAGGGGAATTAGCGCAATTGACAGTCAACAATGATGCAGAAGTAGCGTATGACGTGAGTTTCCCTAGAAACACTTCAAACCCATCGATTCCTAGTCTATAGTCTTCTTTCTCATAATACGAAATCGTAAGCGTTCATAGAAAAGAAATATTAATCAAGCATACATATAAGAAATAAAAAGCAGACATCTCATGCGATGTATTTTCACATAGATGGCCGCGAACACAAAGGAGACATTCAGAAAGACATGGAACGCAAAATATACCCTACGCTCACATTTCGATGGTGTCCGAGCCCTCGTCTTCCACCCTACCGATCCCGTACTTATTACAGCGAGTGACGATCACACACTAAAATTGTGGAATGTTCATAAAACCGTTCCAGCCAAAAAGTATGTCTCATGAGTTCTCAAGTAAACGTTTAAAGCATATTACTGTTTACATATCTAGTAGCTAATGGCAAACGTGATGGATCTTTTGTTTCATGCAGGTCGGCATCCTTAGACGTAGAACCCTTGTACACGTTCAGATTGCATACTGGACCGGTATTATGTCTAGCTATGAGTGATTCCGGGGAAGATTGCTACAGTGGTGGTTTGGACGGAATGATTCACAATTGGACACTTCCGCCAGCTACCATAGATCCATACGATTTCTACGACCCGAACGTGCTCAAAAATACCCTCACAGGACATACCGATGCTGTTTGGGGTTTAAGCATGTATCATCCGAGATCACAATTACTTTCAGTTAGTGCGGACGGAACAGTTAAACTCTGGAGTCCACAAAGCAAAGTACCATTGCTCAACACGTACACTTCTGAGCAAGGTTGGTGCTATTATTAAATATATCATTAGTTGATATCCACTTTGATTATATGCATCAATTCACTTATACGTAATTTATTTTACGGCATCATATATAGTACGAATTTTTTAAACGTACAGATGGAATACCCACGTCTGTCGACTTCGTGAGAGACGAGCCCCACAAGTTGGTCGTAGCCTACGAAGGGGCTTGCGTGGTATTCGATGCAGAAACTGCAGCTGTTGTAGCGCGACTAGAAGGCAACGGCACAACAGGCGTTAATCGTGTGGTTGCTCATCCGACTCTTCCATTGGTAGTAGCAGCCCACGAGGATAGACATATTCGTTTCTATGATCATCGTTCAGCCACTCTTGCTCACGCCATGGTGGCGCACTTGGATGCTGTTACTAGTCTTGCCGTAGATCCTCATGGCTTGTACCTACTTTCAGGCAGTAAGTATGATAGTTAAGACTACCTAAAAGTAATTGAGTAAAAGATGTGAGGATAAAATTGCAATGTTCAAAAAATGAGACTTTATTCAACTTTTTGGACTTTCGTGTGTGTGCTTCAGGTCACGATTGCAGTATAAGATTATGGAACATGGATAATAAGACTTGTGTACAAGAGATAACGGCACATCGTAAGAAATTCGACGAGAGCATCCTGGACGTTGCGTTCCATCCTTCGATGCCGTTCATCGCGAGCGCAGGCGCTGACGCCCTCGCCAAGGTATTCGTTTGAGCAATACCGCGGACAGGAGTTGTTCTTCGATCCGTATCGCGGAGAACGGTTTTTGTACTCATGCTCGTTTTACATAGTCCCCCCCTCCCTCCTTTTTTCTGTACGTACCACACTTCCAATTTTGTTTCTACTCATTAGTCGAGATTCGGCTGTGAGATTGGTAGTATAAATATATCAAATTACATATTCAGATACTCATATTGTAGGACTCAAATGATTATTCCGTAATGTTTCATTAAAAATAATTATAATTTGAGGTGTAAACGTTATTTGTCAATATAATCGCCTCTAAGTAGATACACGACTTATTGGCAAGTCGATTCATGGGGTGAGGTGTGGGGGGGAGGATGGGTCACGGAGGAAGGGGTATGGCGTGTAGAATATTAATTATTATAGTACCTATAATTAAAAGATTAAAGGAATCCCCTTCTTATCCAGAATCCAGGGAGCACACTGCCGCGGTAGCATAATATTTATCATTACGTTAACTATTTATTATTGAAATCACAGTTACTGCTGCACAGCTACTGGGGGTTATAATATGATGATAACGATGAGTATAACGGTATCACGATAAGCTCTGCTAATTAGTCTCCCATTACAACACTCTCGTGCTACCTTCTGTATTAGTTGAGCTCAGCGTATGGTTATAATAATATTAATAATAATAATAATAATAACATCAACAATAACAGTAATGATGACGATGATGATAATAAGAATAAGAATAATAATAGTAATTCATAAGTCGAGTATATTATAGACATAATATTAATAACAATAAATTATAACTGTGTGTTTCTCTGTAATATATTGTATTTAAAAATAGACAACTGTGTAACTTACTATAATCAATTCTCTCTATTTTCTTTTCGTTTCTTTTTTCTTTACCTTGGCAGAGTCCCTGCTGAATTCTCGTGTATCATTTCGCATAGTATAATAACGATTGACAAATCAGCATTAGCTGCAAGTCGTTTCTTTTTTAGTACTCTACTGATTTGTTATTACGTACTGCATGGTATTGTTTTATATTAGAGATTGATAGTTGCTAGATGCAAATTATTATTATTATCATTGTTATTGTTATTATACCCCCTGGATACCAGTGAATAAACTTGTAGGAGAATTATGTGATCGTTTCTCGCGAAATTAATAAATTTTACGCAAAAGCTGTCACAGACGTATTTCACTGTTATTGTTGTTAAAGCCATTAATATGGATATCACTGGTAATTAAACATTAAAAGGTGGTGCGTTCCGGTAATCTTTATAATACTTAAGATGAAGGTGAAATTAAAGTAACAGAGGGTAAGTAACGTAACTTTATAATGAGTAAAGAGAAGTTTAAAGTTGTCCAAACGCTCATGTATTTTATACATAGTCTTGGATTGTAGATCAATCAGGTTATCGAGCTTGATGATGCAGAACAACCGTATGGCCACGAACGTCCTTCACAGAGAGTTGAAATTGAGTTGAAATTGAGAGTTGTATTGAATCCAATTTCATGTTAATTGTCATAAGAATAATTTTTATGTACTTCTAAACGATTCCTTCTTAAAAAGGGGATTGTAGTAAATCGTTCGGAAAAATATATTACAACACGATGCAGCTTCGTTCCTTTTTTTTTCTATGTAAGATTTATTTAGAGGTACATCCCATTAACCAGGTAATCGGCATCGTGTGCATATGGTCCGTGACCACGACGACCTCGCCGTCTTACAACTCTCAAGCGACATGCAATTAATGCAGCCATCATCGCTGTTGCGGTTAATCCTAAAGCCAATGATATCACTGCACCCCTTGGCCTCAATACTTTACTGTCACTATTAATGTGCTGCAAATGCTCAGCCACCATGTGACTCTTCTCGAGCTCCTTGTGATTATCTTCCGTAATTTTTGATTTCTTTTCGTGTTCTACAACTAGTCATAAAGTATATAAGAATTAAAATAGTTATTGTTCAGTGTGAATCAAGTTTGTAACTGGGTATAAGACGCTACCTTGAGTTTCGAGAGTTTTCACGTAATTTGAATTTCCTTGATTTTTAGAAATTGAATTTGATTTCTTGTCGGCGTGATCGTTTGATTTTTCAATATACACAGCTTTCTGGGTTTTGACGTCTGTATCAGTACGGGGGTTGGTCCTTGATGGAATTTCTTCTTCATTTGTGGATGGCTATATGGAAAAGTGATGTATTGAATATTCTAGACTGTTGACTGAGATTTTTAATTAGGGACATAGCCACTTTTACTTACTTTGCAAGGTGGGGGTGAAGCTGTATTTTCGAGTGATTCGTGCTGTGCAATGGACTGGCTGTGAAGGGAATTTGGGATTGCTGATGGTGCTGGTGGTGGTTGTGGTTGACCTTCTTGCCACATTCCATGATTCGGTGATGGGAAATACGGCGCGTATTGTCTATTTGCATCTATGTAAACTCCACTAGGCGTAAAAAATTTAATTTAGTTTATAATAGTCATCATTTAAGAATATCTAAGCTTATGAATAGCATGTCTAACATATTGATTCATGTACTATTAAAAGATATTACAAGAATCAGAAAAGTTGTATATACTAAATTAACTGATAAATAAATAGAAGACTTCAGAAATTAATAAGATTATTTTTATCGAACATACCTCTCCGCACCATTTTCCCCAATGACACCTGGACCCTTATGGTTAAATATATGCGATTGCTCCACTAAAAGTGATATTATTAATTATAATCCATATTTAATCCATAATAATTTCATAAAAAATGTTCTTAGGATTAGCAACATACTTTCATACGGATTCAAATTATTTTGTCCATGAAATGTATTAATGGCAGCATAAGCTGCCTTATTCTGTTCATAGAGGGGCTGATATTCCCATTGATATCCTTGTGATCCAATATTTAATTGTGGTTGCGGCATTACGACTTGCTGTACAGGATATTGAATATTCTGTGGCGGAGGTACACCTTGTCGAGGCGAACCTGACGACTGCCAAGTTTTCGAATCCCTTTCCTGTCCATGAGTATACGACGGAACTAATGATTTGTGATGCTGCATCATTTGCCATTTCATGGAATCTGGAGATGACAAAGGTAAAGGCTGTTGCAGTAATGGAGAAGCAACTGTAGGCCTTTCCGTGGGACAACCAAGTTCCGCAGCTTCGTCAGATGCGTCAGCGCATTGTGGTACTCCATCACAGGCATTGTATATAGCTATACAATCACCGGAAGTTCGACATTCAAATTGGTTGCGACTGCAGCCTATTACGAAAATAATTATAATATTAATGAGATATTTAAAAAATTAACTATATTAACAATATATATTTGAATTTCACCTTCTTTCTTTGATATTGGCGTTGTTATCACTAATGATTTTGGTGTTTGAGTTATGGCAAGTATAGCCGTCGATTCTGACACGGTATATTCTATTGATGGAGGATCAGCAAGTTTTCTATGATTGTACATCATTTCTTGTTAATAAAAATATATTTTGTGATGTAATTCGGAGAAAGATTGTTTGCGTGTTACCTGAGAGATTCAAGTTCGTGCTCCTGTTGTGTCCTGCGAATTTGTTCCTCCAGCTCGGCTGTACTTGGTCCATTGCGATTACTATTAAGTACAGCACTACTGTAATTAGCGTGACTAGTAAATTTGCATTTAAAATCGTTAGGTGGCCCACAATGGAACAGATAACAACTGCCTGGTCTCTGAAATTGGATAAATAAATATTTTTTTATTATACGGGTCATATATGCTGTTACGCAGTTTACTTAGGAAACGCGCTATATATGTTTTATATAAAATATTAGTAAAATTAAACATAACAAATTTCTTAGCGTTTATTACTCCAAACTCCTGACCTTTTCTTCAAAAACAAATACGTCACACTGATCAGTCTCGCAGCAAAGCTTCAGACATTCTTCACGCGAGTCCAGATCTATCTCGTTAAGATACTTGGCGCCCAGTTGACGCGAATCCTCAGTCCTGATGATTTTATCCTTGTGGATGTCGAAGCTCTGGACGCACACCTGAAGGTTAAGCTCTGGTCGCTTATCATTTTTCTTCGTGATGCTATCGCCGCTCGTTAAATATAAAAATATTATGAAATTTAGAAGAATACAGAATACGCGATACGGCATGGCTGTTTGCCATGGAAGAAATGTGCTGAGGGTAAGCGCGCATGCTTTTCAACACTGCACGACTTCGATCGATTGAATTAGCTATATGTTTTGTCTTTCTTTTTCACTCTTCTGCGGGAGTTCAGGAGAGTGTATATGTAAGGACGTAAATTTATACGTTTTCATGTTACTCAATGCCCCATTCTTTCTTTATTGGACAACACATTTTCATGAGAGTTGTAAATATTGTGGACCCATTCTTCATTTTTAGCTATACAAGCCTTATTTAAAAATATTTTAGGATAAATACAAAAACGTTCTTTAACAAAATGAGCTTATCGTTTTTTACAGTAAAATATAAATAGACCACGGAAGGAAAACTTTACATTTTCTTATTTATGCAATATTTGTCAAGCGTGTATGTGAGGATATAAATAATAATGTAAGGAATAGTATAATAAATAAAATATATATTTTTTTAAGCTTACAACGCTTCACCAACTCGATTTGATTTGCTTTTCTTTACATTTTAATAACCGGCACATAGCAAATATTTACTGTCCAGGATATAATATCAATTAGCATAATAAAATCGCGTCTGCAGAATAAAGTTTATCGGCACTGTTTGCTGTGATTTTTAAATATTTTGTCTCATTAAATCTTCAGTATCAAGTTTGAGTTGTATACTCTGGTAAGGAGTAACTCTAGCAATATGTTTTTGTATCTACTGCAAACAACAAATTCTTCTTAGGGGATAGGTTGACAATTCAGGTTTTTTAAGTAAAAATAATATGGGGATATCAGGAATTACTAAGTATATATACAACAATTCATATTTCTATGGTATTGATTATTACAATAATTCCTTATTTTCTTTTAATGTGTCTCTTGTCCCAAGAGTGACAATTGTTTAAGAAATTGTCTTGCATTGATAAGAGTCGATGATCCGTATACTACTCTTCTGTTGGCACCACCACCGGCTTTTTGCTATAAGGAACATAAGTTAATTTTATAAAAATTGTTTATGTAAATAAGGCAGAAGTTTTCATTTACCTTTGCGTAATCTACTAAATTCTGATACTCGATATAGTTGCCACCGCCCACAATGAACACAATTACTTCTTGGAATGTGGTTCTATTTTTAGGAACTTGGTCAATTTGTTTTAATTGCTTGGGATCCAAATAATGATAATCGTCGGTTTGAGATGACTGTCTCATTTCGATCAATTCATCGACGATCTTCGTAACGGGAAGATTCTGCATAAGAATTAATAAGGATGTGTTTAGTTACCTTTCCTAATGATTATGTGCACCTTTTTTCATACTTACATGTCGTTTAACAACAAGATTCTTGACACCTTCCATAACGAAAGAGGAACCTTGGTTCATGAGCTTCGAAAACATACTGACTGTTTTTGTACCGCCACCTTCATAATTATTTTGTATTCCAGCTATTCTCGTGTAGCCTCTGACAAGCAGTATTTAAGTTTTTCATATATTTTTATTTGTACGACAGTCATTATATTAAAAATATATTAACGCTTTGATTACTTAGCTCACCTCCATCTTTTGATGTACGTTAAAGGATTTAAATCACAACCAGCATTGGCCAAGGCTGCTTCGTGCTTATTATACTCGGCCTGAATACATAAATAATAATTTGAAACTTTAATGCAAATATCAATTTCGAGTCACGTCTCATAGCTGTTTTGTTTAAACTTACATCTGACATATTTGAACAAAGATAATAGATTACAAAAAGACGCAATTTATCCTCAGGCGTACCGCACTCTGGATCGTTAATAATTTCCAAAATGCTTCTGTCCAATGTTTGTTTACTCATTATTTTCTCTTCTATTTCAAAAAAAGTATCAAGACGTCGAGATTTGATGGAATTAAGAATACCTGCAAAATTCAAATACATTTGTTGAATTGAATATAATTCCACCTATGAAAAAAAATCTCTGGTACGCAAATCAGCCTTCATTCTTTAGATATAAAACTGCCGTATTAGTGTGCAAACACTTGAAAGTACCTGTAGCTATAGTAGTATGCATGTCGATCAGACGTTTCATTTCCAGCAATTGTGGTAAGGAATTGACAGCACTGGTAAGACGAGCTGTATTATTGGATACCATAGAAAATGCCGCATCGTTATCATTATCGATACCCTAAAACCGTTTTATGTACTATTGAACTCTATAAATTTTCAATCTGGTCAACAAATTAAATGACTTTACCATTGTCGATTTCAACTTCTTCACTTCTTCCTCAGAAGAACGATACTGTTCTAGTTCTTCTTGTATTGCCTCAGCTACTAGAGGAAAAGGACTACCTTTATGCTGAGACCAAAAACGATCCCTATTATCCAGCTCACAAGCTCGTGTCTTTGAACGTGCACCACCAGCAGGTGATCTTCCCGCACTCTCTTCGACGACAAGTCTGTTTAAAGCTAATTCAAGTACATCATGAGCGAGCGCTTGATATGTCCATGTATGGTGAAGAGGCGTAGCCATGTCTATACTGCGATCAAGTACTATTAACAGTGGTCTCTGAAAACTGTGAGAGTAATGCCTTCTTAGTATTTCTAGGGACGACAATTCATTTTGTTGGTACGTTTTTTACCTGAAGTGGCCTGTACCAGCAATTTCCCCTTGAAATAAATTATTTCTCGCATCCCATACATTTTCTCTCAGCTTCTTATCAAGTTTCTTAGCGACCATCTCAGCAGCGTTTCCTCTTGGGCACCGAATAATTGGAACGGTACCAAGTGTGACGAATACGGAGAAGAGACTATCAACTATGACATCCATTATAGATTCCATTTCTGTGTCCTTGATTTCACCCCGATTAATAGCTGAATATTAACGTGAGATAGGTATTAGAAAATTATGATTTTTAAAAATAATATAGAATATTTCTTATGTTTAGAGATTACTTAAGTTGAATACTTGTATTTACCATGATACGATATAACATCGCTGTTTTGATGTCTTAGAATAAAGAGATCATCTTCCAATGTTATAAAGTTGAGATATTGATCAAACACCTGCAATAGTTATAATTTGAGTAAGCTTCGAATTATAAGAATTATATTTTAAGAATATTTACTTTATGAATGTTAGCAACAGCTCCGGCTAATAAGGCTGCAGATGCTAGATCTTCCATTTTTTGTCTAGATATTGGAGATATAAAATTAAGGTGGTAAATGTCATACAATCCATTTTGTAAATCTTGACCAATGCGTCCCAGATTCTCATCTGTTGGTGCACAAAAATATATTGCTGGTACTTCAGGAATAGAATCTCTGTCAGAATGTAACTGCCTATCAACAAACAAGTATTAGATTTGTTATTTACATTATTTCTAAGAAATAAAATTGAAGAACTTAAACAAAAAAACATACATGTGTAATGTTATTCCAAGCTCACGTAGCTCTTTTATAGATATTAGTGGTGAAATGATATCCTGTCCTACACGATCGTAAATCAGGATTTTCCATGTTGGTACTGCAATATCTACCCTTGAGTCAGGCTCATTTAAATTTAACATTTGTTTTAAAGCATCTGAAATTGATTTCAATAGATAAAACATAACTATTTATATCAATAAATTTTCATTTTTCTTAGATTCATATTTATACATATATATGACACATAAAATATTATAAATAAAATATTATGCAATGTATTAAACAAATAAGATAAACATTATGAGTAATAATAGAATAAAGATACTTTAATATATAGTTATAGGAATTGTAATAAGTGTATGATACTGTTTTATTCTACCATATATTTATTTGGACGTCGTGTCGGTGTAAAAATCATTGGTAATGTATATTTAAGACATTTTGTAATATTGTTACCAACAAAAGTAACAATATGTAACAATTACTTTAAACGTATGGAATTCAAAAGGAAGCACATAGAAAGTCATACTTAATAATCTGAATTTTAAGATTATTTCAAAATGTGATTACGTTACAATCATAAATGAATTATTAAAAACTGTATTTAATTTCTTCCTGTTTAAAATAAAAGTATGCATATACAATCCTAACCTACAGAAATATTAATCTTGAATGAAAAACTTAAACGTCAATAAAATAATCTTAATTTGTCTTCATACTTATTTGCTTATCCCGTAGGCTCATCATATTTACAATAGAAACTTAATATCACGCCGTTTTAACAGAATATCTTCAAATAATTATGCTGACGTCAATTACAGTCTGTCAACTTTTTCAGGAATTTACTATTGTCCGTTGCTTATTCTTGATTTAAGAACTGTATGCATTGAAGATGTCGAGATTGGAATAAATTGGAATGAACTTTTGTTGGACAAAGATTAACGTTGACGAGTTCGACGGTTGTTGCGCATGTGAAAGTCATTCAATAGCCACGTAACCACATTGCACATATCTATTACGTAATTTTCTGAAACTCTGATTTAGTATTAGGAAGAGTTACTTCTCTTCTCTGTTCTCGTAATTCATGCTCAACCGTGCTCGATCTCACGTGTGTGTACGGCCATTTGTGCGCTTTCGCCTTTTTCGCTGCCGGTGGAATCATTCTCAAAATATAAATACGTTGTTACTCTTTAATTGATAATGGCAACAATTTTGCGGTCTTCGAGGTATATTCGAAGATTATCTAACCTTTCCAGAAGAATAGCATTTACGAGTAATGATGCTAATACTGTATCTAAATTAAAGTTAGATGCATCGGTTTGTTCTTCGTCGCCATCGTTCGTTAAGTTAGTTTTTCTAAGTCTATTAATGCATGATTTTTGTGGTGAAATATTTATTCATAATGAAATTTTTGTCACACAGATCTTATGCAAGTAAGGTGGCAGTCAAAGAATCATCGAACCTTGATATTAATAATGAGTTATCAAAATTAAATGAAGATGCTAAACGCTTTGGAAGGTTACGTAGAGTAGATGTAGATAATGTTCTGAGGAATGTCAAAGAGACAAGTAAGTATTATACATGTCTTAAATATTAGTGTTTTTGAATTGAATTTTACACTATTTCATGTTTATTTGATGAATTATTACATGTCATTACAGAAAAACTATCAAGCACACAAGCTCTTATGCTGATTAGTTGCTGTGGCAATTTATTAGTGGATGAAACACCTGATACTAGGTTGGCGACTGTTAAAGAAATATGGAATCTTATTGAGCATTTAGGTATATATTTTAATATTGAACGTTTATTGTTTATAAACAATATATTTATCTATGTAATTTATATTGTTTAATAGATGTTCCAGTTGATATTTCACATTACAATGCACTGTTGAAAGTATATCTTGAAAATGAATACTCTTTTTCACCGCTTAATTTTTTGGTTGAATTAGAGAAAAGAAATATTGAACCAAACAGAGTTACATATCAAAGATTCATTACTCGATACTGTAATAATGGAGATATTGCTGGAGCAACAAAAATATTAGAATTTATGAAAGAGAAGCAGTTGCCTGTAAATGAAAATGTATTTAATTCATTGATAACAGGACATGCAAGAGCTGGGTATGCTCTCCACTTATCGTTACACTATTCACACTGCAGTGCCAGTATATCAGTAATTCAAAACATTAATATTAAAACTACTCTGTTTTATTTATTCTTTTTAGAAATTTGGAAAATGCTGTAAATGTATTGAACGTCATGAAACAAGGGGGAGTGAATCCATCGGCAACTACATATGCAACACTTTTATGTGCATATGCAGAGAAAGGAGATATTGAGGCTATCAGAAATACACTTGCTACCTGTCAGTCTCAAGAGATATTCTTGATGGACAAGGATTATATGGATATTGTTTATTCTTTAGTTTTAAAAGGCCATAAACAATATATTGAAGAAGTTAGTTAAATTGAAATAATTGATTTATTAATTATTGAGATTTTTCGAAAATACTTTAGAAGGCTCATTACCCACTCATTTGAATTGAACAAATTTTAATATTTTAAATATCAGATTTTTATGCATACTGTAAATATTTGATAAACTTTTTTTAATCTTTAGATCATGTCTCTTTCGCCAAAGAGTGCGGGATATGCATTCGATGCTACAAATTTGGTGCATAAATTAATTAATATTGGCGAGATCGATATAGCATTACAAGTACTTTTGTCCGTTCCAAGAAAAGTGCGTAACGATGGAAGAACATCAACAGTTGGAACATACTTCGTGAGGAAGTTGGTGTTCTGCAATGTGGTAAGCGTTAAATTAAAGCAACATTAATCTGTAATCATTGTTGCATTGATTCTTAAACGTCTGTATATTCTAGTCACCTGAGAAAATCATTGAAACGTGCAAGTTTCTAGAATCAAAAGAACTAAATAATCAAGCTTTTTCCGTTGCCATAGAAGCCAGTTTCTTAAAAGGTAATGCTGCCCTGAGTATTCAATTGCTTGAAGCTTGGAAGGAGACAGGTGCAACTATAAAGCAGCATTTCTTTTGGCCATTATTCGTTGCTCATGGAAATCAATCAAACTTCCAAGGTGCTCATTACATATACAGTGTGCAGAACAAATTTTATTAAAAACAAGAGAATAGTAGAATACATTTTTATTTAATTTTAATATTTATTAATTATTAGGTATTCTCGACACGATTGATGTTATGATTACAAAATTTGAATTGAATCCTTCAATCTACACCTTGAAAGAGTACGTTCTGCCACATGCTGTTGGAAGTATAGAACAAATTGCGAATGCTCTGATGGAACATAACATTCAACCATTAACGATAATAAATGCTTTCGCTTATATGTTACTTGAGAGTGGTAAATCCAAGGAGGCCTACGAATTCAGTGAGTAACGTATTAGTTTATTGAATACTAAATGCGACCAGTAGTTATTGAGATAATTTTATGTATTATGTTTCAGTGGTCAATTATTCAACACGACTTCTTACCAACATCCTCATAAGGCCTCTTCTTGATGCATTTATTATTAATGGTGATGTTGAATCTTTTGTCAATGTAACTCGACTCTTACACGAATCAGCTGATTTAAAAGACAAGGATAATGAGGATGAAATTGAAGAAGCGCAACAAATAAGATTCAACGTTCCTGATACACTGCTGTTTCGACTTCTCAAAATGAAATCCACAAAAAAAGTAGAAGTTATAGAAAAGGTGAGTATCTTTTATGGTCTTTCGGATCTCTAGTGCCATTTACGTGACAGTATCGATTTTCAAATTTTGTTTATAGATTTTGGAAGGGTTTACGCAGCAAGGGTTTACTATTTCTGCTGAAGTTGCCAATGCGGTTAAGGAAAGTTTTTCTGACAAAGTTACTCCAAAAATGTCAGAACTTCTCAGCCAGCTAACATCAGGCAATTTGGCTCTTAATGAAATACCAAGACAAAATAAATCGCGTCATTCAATATTTGTAAGTAATTGTATGAATACAGAATTTTTTTTGAATATTACGACCGTTTGTTGCAATGTTTATATGAAAAAAGTATATATTGGATGTTTTTCATTTACGGCATATTTCGACACATTCCGGCACAAAAATATGTTTCTTTTACACAAGGTAATTGTGTTGCATCTTAGTTGCGTTTAGTTGTATAAACCAATGATCTTGTGTTCTTGTGCAATTGAACTTGGATAAAGGAGAAGTTGTGTCCGAAGTGTGTCGAAGTGCTGATTTGTGCCCTAATGGAGGGGCAAATCTGTAAAAGAAAAACGCCTGTTACTCACGCATCTTCTTCATATTGGATGTATATAATATGATTGATATGTTCATTTGCATCCTAAAAAGTTGAAGAAAGATCTCGAGAATATTAAAGCAAAAGGTGGGTCCACGAATGGCTTAAGTAAAAGGCTTCTTATTGAATATATAACTGCTAAAGATGAGGAAAATGTCAGCAAATTATTAAAGGTAATTTTTCATAACAGTGATTAACTTACAATTACGGCTACGAGAGTTGATGTGGTTCCTGAAACATTTAGCAATTTTATTTTGTTAATTTAGGAATTGCATGAAGGCGATTTTGTATTTAATGCAGGCCTTTATGCACAATTGATCGATTTTTATTCTGCTCAAGAAAACTTAAGCGAAGCTGAAAAATATTTCAAAGAATTAAAAAACTTAGATTCAAGTACTCGAATGGATTTTGTGAAAACTCTAAGATATGCAATACTTCTCGTAAAGAATGATCGTCATAGTGGTGAGTATGGTGCTTCAGTAATGTGTAAAGTTTATCATTTTACATAATTGTGTGAACTTTCTTTGTGAAGCTCATGTAACTCGTGCGTTATATTTGTTACAACAGAAGCACTACAGTTAATCAAGGATTTACCGACTTTCGAATCTATGAAAGAAGATAAAACGTTTGGAGAAACGTTTTTAAAACGATCCGTCATGCTAACGAGACAATTATTGAATCTTGTAGCAGAGAAAAGTGATCCAGATCAGTTGAACGAATTTTTCGAGGCAATTGAATCAAAGCATTTAGCTCAGAACGTGAATGCTATACTAAATTCATTAGTCAAGGTCCATCTTATCCGGTACGTATAAATATCCCAGTAATATAATTATTTGTTCGTAATGATCCTTATAAATTAGAATAACAATGATATTGAAAATAATTGGGTTTATCGAAAAATAGGAATGATCTAGAGACAGCGTTAAATACATTTGAGAAACTTGCTCTACAATATAAGTGCACACCGTATAAACAAGAGTTGGCAAAGAAATATATATTAGCGGAAGATGCTGCGTCATTACAACGTTTAACAGACATTAGTACTCAGGTACACGGTGAAGTAAATTCATTGCAGGACCTTGCAATAGCTTTTATTGAATGCGACCGTATTCGCCAAGCCAAGAAGATTTTTGAGGTAAATAAATGATAAATTTTAAGTATTAGGGATAATTACCCTCAACGTCATGTAATGCTCATGATACGGTGCCCTTATAGACACCTGGATTATTTGCAAGAGACCACAGACTTATTACAGCTGCACAGAACTATGCTCAAGATGAAAATAAAGAATATTTGCAGAAGTTATTAGAAGCTACAAAGAACACACTTTTTAGTAATAGATCAGAATTGTACAATCTACTTCTTTCTGTACACTGTAAGTATTGTGTCGATTACTTTTTTTTATTGCTTCATACTGGAATAAAGTATCCCCGTTCGGTATAGAATTTTCGTTACTTCTTTCTATAATTCAATTATGATTATAATGTTTCTATAAAATTTTATACTACCCACAGATAAGGACAATAACTGGACTGAAGGATTAGCCACGTGGACAATGATGCAAGAAGAGGATATTCAACCCTCTGAGAAATTTTTACAGCAACTAGCTACATTATTGTTAAAGAACGGGCAAGATGTTCCTTTCGTTTACGAAAAACCACGATTGAACTTTGATAATAGTAGCAGTAAGCTTATTAAAAACATAGAAGAACATATAAAGAGACGGGAATTTCAACGTATTGCGAAAATCCTTGACAGGTAATCCAAAGTAGATGTAAGGTTATCTGCAAAAGAGTGATCATTAATGTATGCACTAACAGAAATTTCATTTGTAGCGGAAAATCAAATGCGGTAAAATCAGCTTATGTCGTTATGATAGGTAGATTACTCGATGCGGAGGCATTGGACGACGCTATAGAGTTTACTAAGTGCGTAGTTACACGACATCCTAAAATTATACAATTAAATGAATTTCAAAGTTTAATGGAGAAACTCGGCCAGGCTGGTAAAGTTGATGATATTACAAAAATACAAGAGTTGATACCATCGGTAAGTTAGAATTGCATGAATGAAATTATAAGTATTGAAATTAGATCCAGAATATTTTTATATCGCATAAACTGTTCTGCTATAATCTAAATAATGTGTATTTTAGTCTCTTTGAACTGCAGATATAGTAGTAGGATTAAAGTGGTAATAATAGAATTTATTGTAATAGTGTAATGTTATGATTACAGGCAATGTCGTCGACCTTGTTTTTCAATAAATATTTGCTGAAAGCATATATGGCTGCAGGAAAAATTGAACAGTTTTTAGAAAATCTTGAGAAGAAAGTTATTTCGACTCCTGGAAGTAAATGGCCTAATTTACTTCACAATAATGTAATGCTTAATATACTAGAATCGGAACCAAGCGTTGTTGAAAAATGTAAGGAATCAATCCCATTTTAAAAAATCAAACACTACTATTCTTATATACATATTTAATGCTTTAACATTTTAAATGCCTTTAAAGCTCTATTAAAATAATGTTTTAACTTATTTTTAGTTGCGTATCATAACTATTATCTTTGCAGATAAACCGTATGCTGAGAAGTTGGCAGAACATGGCTTCATAGTACCCATGAATATATTATGGTGCTATTATTTCTTGAATAGTAATCCAAACGCTGAAGAAATATGGTCGAAATATTTGGTAAACAGTGAAAAACTGTTTACAAAATTGATTTTGTATACTGTCGACAAGAATAATGATATAGAGCTCTTAAAAGAATTAGTGAAAAAGGTGCAGGAGAGTAACATGTCTCTCCAGAACAGAGCTAATGCATACAATGATATGATCTCTCTTTACAGTAAGTTTAACATGCTGACACAGTGTACCTATTAATCCAAAATAGCCAATAGTTATATATTACCCTAATATTAATATTGTCACTATGATGGATAAGTATAAAATTTGCTCAGTACGTATCTTATGTGAATCTGTATAAAATACCGTTCGATATAACAAACGATAAAGATTTATTTACATGTTCTAGCGCAGTTGATTTACATTTTTATGCCTTTCTTTGCAGATAAAAAAGGTTTATTTCAAGAGGGCCTAGAACTTTTAAATGAAATTGTCAAAGAAGTACCTTTAGAAACCGTGAAAGCTTCGATACTGCAACGCTTGAAGGAGGGTATTGAGAAATCAGGACACTCTTTTCCTTACATTTTGGAGCCACGGTAATCATTTTAAAATATTTGTATATTATTTCATACAGAAACAATGTGATTACTACGTATCTGCTATAGTATCTATAAACGATTACCTAAGTAGAAGTAGAATCATTTTGTCTTTCGATAGCTATCTAAGTACATTAATTTTTCTTTTCCAGTCAAGCTAATGCAGCTTCTGCATAAGTGAACTTGTCACGAGATTAGCAATATATTATTTATCTATTATAAAATTGAAGAACCCAACCGAAGTGACGTACGGAATTAGTACTAACTTTTCTTCTTTCTTTGTTCACATAAGATTTCTTCATTTAGGACACAGTGCTTTTCACAATCTATCATGTAGAATATCATTATCCACAAACTTCATTGTTTGATTCTGTAAGTATATATAAAATTAAATTTTGTCGTTGTAACTATTATGCTGTACTATTTACTTGTAAAAATTTATATAACGTTAAACCTTAAGAATAAAATACCAAAAAGTAAAATTGAGGTTTCGATAAATGTCCTGCGGTATCCTAATAAAAAAATTCTCAAAATGTCATGTAAGTGAATTATATGTATTAACGAAGTGTTTTGCTTTAAATAAAAAATTAAGAAGATCATAATTATTAATAGTGAAAATTGGTTGCCTACTTGGTACTGCCACAGAAATGAGCCACAATGGCATCATACGAATATTGTAAAAGATCTTAAGGGGAAAGTTTTCGTAACAATATTGACAGAAGACAAATTAATCTGTGAAAAATTTATTTGTACGTTTATGAATGCATACAGAAATGTATAACATCGTTGATCATAAATACATTCGTAACTCTATATAAAAACTATTTAAATAAAAATTAGTCGTATAATTGTAAGATAATCTCAGTCACAGTTACATACGTTTATTTTGATTAATTGCTAATATATTTGGACTCTAATCGAAGTATTCAATATTGCTAGTACAAAATTACAAATTCTGCGCGTAAGCAGTAATATTCATATTTTCGTACTTTTGTTGTTTTACAAAAAAAAAGTGTCAGATTGTACACAATCCTTTGATTGGTAAGTCTTAAGGTAAAATTCTGTTATATAATACAATATATACACATTTACACAACATTCATTTATCACTATCATTGCCATGGCAGGACTTAGATCTATTAAACACAAAATCCCTCTACTCGGATGACGACAAATACTTTGGCATAAGATCTTTTTGTTACACGAAGAGATGATCACTCTTCCTCAACGTCTTAGTAGTTTTAATTTATAAATAGTTGGATTCTTCAACATCCCTTACACTACTTTGTCGTTCATAAAATTGCTGTTGGCAATTTAAAGTTTTGCATAACTTTTACATATTGTGTACTTTGCCTGTGAGGACATCAAGTTCGTATACAATTTCCTCGGGAATATCTTTGCCGACCTGAGCGTTTAAGTAGTTTCTAAGTTCTTCAGCTTCCTGTTGCCAGAAGTTATGTGGAAGTCTGAACAGTTCCTCCTCGTTAATCTTTTCATTAAGACCATTCAAGTTTAAAGAGCCTGGTTTAGGTATTAGACCAATGGCAGATTCCACGGCAATATCCTCTCCATCGATTCTACGGAGGATCCAGTCCAGGACACGGGAGTTTTCACCAAAACCAGGCCAAAGGAATTTACCATCCTGACCTTTCCTGAACCAATTCACGTGGTAGATTGCTGGCAGCTTTGCGTTCTTTGTGTTAGCCATATTGAGCCAATGTTTAAGGTAATTGCCAAAGTTGTACCCGAAGAATGGTCTCATTGCAAAAGGATCATTCATTATTACTTTTGCCTGGAACACAAAAATTCATTCTTTAGATGAAAACTTTTGATAAAAAGTTTATACACTGTTTGTACACATCATATAAAGTAAGTATTATTTATATGAACTTTTATAGACAATCAAAAGTAAGTCATTTTTTTGTGTCACAATTAATATAACAAAACTCACTTTATGTTCAGCCGCTGCCGTGGCTTCTGATCTCATAGTAGCTCCAATAAAAACGCCATGCTGCCAATTACGTGCTTGGTAAATAAGGGGAACTCCTTCTGGTCTACGACCTCCAAATAGTATTGCATCGATAGGAACACCTTGAGGATGTTCCCAGGAGGGATCGATTATGGGACACTGTTTGGCAGGAGTACAGAATCTCGAATTTGGATGAGCAGCTGGAACTTTGGAGCCACGGATCCATTTCTTGCCAAGCCAATCGACGATCTGATAACAATTAACAGTCAAGTTATGCTTTGCCGATAAGAGATTAATAACAAATGACGTCTATAAATTATAATCATCTTAATGTTAACTTACTTCCACATCTTCATTGATCTCATTCTCCATTCCTTCCCAATAAACACCGCCGTCACTGGTAGTCGCTACGTTCGTGAAAAGGGTATTTTTGAAAATGGTTTTCATAGCGTTCGGATTGGTGGTTGTGCTGGTACCAGGAGCAACTCCGAAGAACCCATTCTCAGGATTGATAGCACGAAGTCTGCCATCCTTATCAAACTTCATCCACGCGATATCATCTCCAACACATTCGATCTTGTATCCAGGAAGGGTAGGCTGCATCATAGCCAGATTTGTCTTACCGCAAGCACTGGGAAAGGCGGCAGCAATGTATCGTTTTTTCCCTTTTGGATTTGTGATACCCAGAATCTATTAAAATCATACAGTTTCCAATATTAACATTATCCTATTGAAACGATTGATAACTTACAAACTAAAATACCAGCAAATGAATCTCAACAAATATTTTATGTGTTTTATCATGAAATTCAAATCATAGATAAAATCCTGATTAAACATTAAGATATAAGGAGATCGTGGCAATCTTATTAAAAAAATAGGAGGATGCAAAATAGTGTATGGCTGCGATAAGATGAATTCTCTCGACAAAATATTGATCGTAGTTGGGTCCTCCTAGGAGTATGTCTGATTGTGAGAGTGCGTCATTGTCATGAATATCGGAAACTCACCAGCATGTGTTCAGCGAGCCAACCTTCGTCTCTGGCAATGGTCGAACCAATTCTCAAGGCAAAGCATTTTTTACCCAGAAGTGAGTTACCACCATAACCACTACCGTATGAGACAATTTCATTTGCGGCAGGTCTGTGTAGGATGATGGTTCTCTCAGGATCACAAGGCCATGAAGAATCCACAGGAACCCTTGACTCGCTAGTGGGATTTCCCACTGAGTGGAGACATTTGACGAAATCATCTTCACCCAAAATTTCCAAAACTTGAGCTCCCATTCTGGTCATTATTTTCATAGAACAAACGACGTAGGCCGAATCCGTTACTTCAATGCCAATCTTGGATAATGGTGAACCCACTGGACCCATGCTGAACGGTACCACGTACATGGTGCGTCCTGAATAATATATAAGATATATTACTACAGATGAGATTATACTTTGTATATCACATTTTAGGAGTACTCCAATCGTACTAACCTTTCATACATCCGGGAAAGCGCTCCAGGACAGCTTGGTTCATACCCTCAGGTGAAATCCAATTTCCTAGAGTTCCCTTGACACCTTTCTGAGGGGTCGGGATAGTCTCACTTTTAGAATCGGTACTAATGAAGGTGCGACTCTCCACGCGAGCAACATCAGCAGGATTTGTTTTTGCCAACCAACTAAAGTATAAAATAACTTTGATTAGTTGAATCTTTGTAAATCTTTAATTCAAATTAAAAAAATTATTACTCACCAATTCTCGTACTTGGGTAAAGCAGTGATGGTGCCGTTTTTCTCCAGAAGCCTAAGAAGATCATTGTTCTCGTCTTCGCTACCGTCGCAGACGTAGACTTCCTCAGGTTTGCACAGAGCGATACACTCCTCAAGGTAAGCACGTATTTTCGGAGCAAGTGGTATTCTTATGTTACTGTGTACTGGAGTTCCTTTGATGTGGTCGTAGAGACCATCAGCGAAGGCCGGTCCCTTGCCAGCATGAGTAACCACGGAAGCCACCCTGTAAAAGAGACATTCAATCAAATTAAAGATGGCTGAAGACAAAGAAAAAATCATTAAATCGTTGTAAGATAAATGAATACAAGAGCAACTGGAAAAGTAATTTGAATTTTCCGCCAAATTGAAACGACACCGTCGTGATTGCTAACTGTGTAAGACTTCAAGTTGTCTGCAACTATTAGTGTCTTGTCACTTATTAGGATTCACTGTGAAAAAAATAGTCTTGCAAAGAAACGTCAATAAATTCTAAATGAAACAACAAATAATTCACGACAATGAAACACTGTCTATTTTTCCATCCCAATTTCAGTATATAATTAAATATTCGTAAAGGAGTCACAAAGTAAAATGACTTACGGATAATATTTTTCCACGGCATAAGGCATGTTTGTTTTTCCAAAGGATGTTGTGCGAAGTGAAAAAATGGAGAAACAAACGTAATTGTTATTCCGATTGTTAATCCTCTCGACGTAAGCCTCGTTAGGAGAACAAATCTTCCTCGTACATTTAATTCGATTTTGTATATTGCTATTGACCAGCGTAGTAAAGTTTCTTTTGCTTGAACTATATCCAGTTGAATGTTGTACAGTTGCGTTTCGAATGCTCTTGCTGATCTGCAACCTCGTCGCTGTCCACCTGACGGTTGACATATTGCCGTATTGCAGCCTGCTGGGTTTTATATATACGACGGAGTTCGCGGCTGAATAAGCCTCCGTAAATTCTACGTGCTGATTGGCTGAATGTCTCACGCCGAATTTTCAAGTTTACGTGTGGTGGGGAGTCTTAGAACACTAACGATACTTCTTCTTCTTCTGATGTCTCGCTAGTTGAACTTCGGTCGCAGCTGACGTAACATCGGTACAATTCACATGCAATCCTACTTACAATTGCAACAGTATGTTCGTTTGTCGTTAGCTGACAATTTCAGAAGGAATTTCAATGGGTTTTTGACTTTTAATAGATACTTGAAACCTTTTTACCTTCCCTGATACTCCGATCTAACTTGTACTTGCTAGTTGTCACTACTCGTCTCGACGCACTTTCATCGAGCGCTATGCAACAAACAACTGCTCCGTCCGGACTTTTGATTTTATACGAAACCCCGTTACTGCTTCGTAGCATTCTATTTTTCGATTGCACTTGGTTTCCCCTATCTGAAACACGTCCCTGATGTTTGTCACGAAAACCAATGTTTTAGTCTGTCTGAATTCCGATTTGGATTTATCACTTAAAACTCGTCAATTTCGTGTCTTGTTTTCCGCTTTTGTTTACTCGGTATTTTCTCATATCGTTATTACGTTGAAGCAGCATATATATCTTGCGAATACTATTTGTTTACGAAATATTATATTTTTTAAAATAATCTTTCAATTTTCTAAGAAACATTAGACATTAAAATATTGAAAGTAAGGGAATATTCCAGTGAAATGTTTCCTTGGTTATATTAAAATTGTTAGAATGTTTTTTTTATTAAAGTAATCTATAAAATGGAGTACACGAGTGATAAAAAATACTGCTAAGCTCGAGGAAATTATTATTTATTTATTAATCTGAATTAAGGATTTATTACAAAAAATTTTGTACAATTATATTTCATAGATAACTAACACTAACTATACACGTTTAGTAAAATGTAAACACGCATTTTTTTTTGTATTTTCGGCGAATCTCAGGAAGGTTAGGAAAATTCCTTTGGGAAGAAAGGCTAAATCATATAAATATACGAATGGCAAGAGAGGGCTCGACCATAGGAAAGGACTGGTTTGGCGATAATGGAAATTTCCATGTCAACTTTTTGGGGGTACTCATGGTACCCTGGTAGAATGAGGGTCTACAGGACTCCAAATGATATTATCCCATGGAAAATTTTCCAAGGAAGGAAAAAAGGTCCCTTAAATATATAGATACAACATAGGCTAGTCTTATTTTTGGATTATTTTTATTTCTTTACACGAGTACGAATTAATTAATCTTAATAATCTACACTTACGTATTGACTATACAGATCGGTTATAATTCAATGGAAACTAAATAATAATCGTTAATGTCCGTACTAAATAAATGGAAAAATCCATCATTTTATTATCAGTGTGTACTCGTATACATATTTTAATTAAATATTGCCCCAACCGCTCTCGCCTCTATCTGTTTATATGAAGTTGGTGCGTTGTAAAAAGTTCAACTTTGCAAAATTCTCATTAACACCGTGACTCCGTGTAATCTTGTAATATACACAAAAGCTGCTAACAAGTGTTGAGAATAGTTTTGACCTATTTTCTCATAAAAACTTTTTTTGTCTGATTAACGATTACATTCCATTAGGTTATATTGATCTCGTGACGACATAAAATGGTCGAAAGAAATAATTGAAAATTTTTGAAAATTTCTTCAAAATTCTTTCCATGGCGAAATATATTTTTTTTTCAATCAGATACCGAAATAATTGCCTTAGAATGTACGCAACAACCTGGTCACCTTATCAGTTCATAAACGAAAATATTGATTTACTTATCGATAACTGTGACGTAGTTCAATGAACCGATATTGGATGCCCTGAAAGGACGACAAAAAAAATCCAGGAGAAAATTAATTATTTATATAATTATTCCTGGAACGTTACGTTATTAAATTAAATAAACGAATGACGACTACCATTCATATCGTTATTCATTCTTTCAAATGATCGTTGAACTATGCGCAATATCTTCGAGTAACGAACAATGACGAGTTGATGATCAAACATACATAGGTACATTGGGAAAAGAGAACAATGGCACAGACCCAAGAGACAACAGGCACTGAAGTTCAATTGAATTTTAAAAATTTCCTGGAGGTGTCTTGGATAACATAGGAAAAATTCGTCAGCGATAACGTAGAATTATCTTGGTGCCATATACACCCACATATACATATATATATATATATATATATATATATATATATATATATATATTACAAGAATTAAATATTAGATGCATAATAGTAGTATATGCATTTCATACTGTATAAGATACAATAAGAAATATTAATTTACAGATAACTGTATTTACTTTGTCATATCATTAAAAAAACCAAAACCGAACGAAAAGTAAATTTTTGTACACGAGATTAGTAGAAATAAAAATAAAAGACAAAAATGTCACAATTGTCCTGCTACAATATACGCCTTACGGACGTGTCATGATTTGTTTGTTTTATTTTTCATATTTACCTTATTTCCATTTAGGTCGTAAAACCGAATAACTAGGTCATATACGGCAAATACGTAATAATATATTCTAGCGAAGCATAGATGACATAATTTAACATGATACAGATGAGCACAAGACGCCCAATACGGACATATGTCTGTGAGCGAAGATTTGAAAGAATTTAGTTATTTATACGAAAACATTACCCACAGCTGCAAGACGTTTTTCTTTAATTCTTTATTATGTTATGTTTGTTGTGTTTTATATGAGGATCCGGTACACGAAATATAGGTTATGTAAGAGGACTTCTCGAAGCTTTCTGATATACGCCATACTTTATCCACGGGTACCAACAACTTCACGGTTAAAATCGTTAACTGACTAATGAACGTGTCACGAAGTCATTGCGTGGCCGCACTGATTGTCACGAGCAGTCATTATCTTTGGTTGAACAGAACAAAAACATTGCGGTTTTTGTTGCACGGGAAAATCTTGAATGAATGACAGTTGCAGCTGTCAGGGGATCAGCTTTATATCGTCGTCTAAAATCTGGCTGATTATTAGGAATCAACTAAGTAGACTGTCGAGAAGTAATGAGGAAATTAGGTATATATACAATATATATATCTTTATACTCACCGACTATTGTTCACGGTTGGTGCGGACGTGCCAAATGGAATTGGTGTTTAAAGGAAAAAGTTGATTTCGTGTCAGTTCAAACTAGAATTTGAATACGCATAAAGGGAAACATGACAGTGCGTGACACGTGGATAAATGAGTGTGTGAAAGAACGCGGTTCGTAGTCCAGCTAATGTCTGGACTTGATAACACATTCCTCCTTCTGATAAAGAACAGGATGGAGGAGGCATGGCTGTTTTATGCGTTTTAATGGATTTTTATTAGGGAAAATACAGTGTTATGATCTAATGCGTCGGACTGAAAATTGTTGGTTAGGTTATGCAACGTCTCATAATATTATCTGCATGTATATTATGGTCATTTAATATTATAGATATAGCTTTCAGTAATGCATAGTCTTTATATATGTACAGTACTGGTCAAAAGTTTTCGCACAGTCAATACGTTTACTTGGCATTGCACCGTTCCAATGCTTTCGAGCACCACTGTATATGGGTGAGATTTTATTGCACTGATACGTATATTTAAAAAAATATATAAATTTATTTCATAATTTTTATTATATATTTTTTTAAATTACGAATATGGTAAACAAGATTTTGTTACTTGTGATATTTAATATATCATTTTTCGTGATTCTTGAGTTTTTTTGTTTCAATAATTATAATTCAAGCGATATCAGACACAATCAATTTGTTTGCATCTAAGTAACACCAAGAGAGTGTCACCGTAGTGCAGTGTCAATAGAGCGAAAAATGTATAAGCAGCGAAAGATTATTGCTTCATACGATTTCGTGTTATTCCTTGGGAATAATGACAACACTGATAATTTTAGAAGTTTAATTAATCAAATTATTGTGTATATTTTTGGACTCGACGTTCCTATCATTTTCTATTCGTCTAATGAGACGTTACGAAATTTTTATATCGAAAGACTAAATTTTCCTTAACCCTTCGATTCCTTGTTATCGAGAACATCAAAAGATATCAAAATGATTTAATTAATAAATGATCGTTAAGACAAGAAAATCAACATTGCCATATAATAATTATACATATATATACATATAACACAGGTAATGGATACTGATTAAAGTCATGCGAATGATAGTCATTTCTACTTTGCAATATATTTGACGCGTGATAACATCGCAATTTTACCTGCAGTTATATTTGGTATTGTCGAAAGATAAAATATTTTTAAAGTTAAGAAAATTTTTTTAAATGATATTAAAGTTGTTAAAAAAATTTCAAGGTCTCTTATTACTTTTTTCACGCATTTTACCAAATATTTTGAAAATTCCACTCTGATAATGATAGCACGTACCGAATGATAAGCTGGAGGCTTGGCAAGTAACTGTACTTCTGATTGGTCAAAACATTGACAAGCCCGACAAAGAGGCTCGATTGGAGTTATCATGTTTTTAGTTCGTCTATCGAGTATCGGCCGAAGTCGACGACCGTTCGTAATCAATCACGTTCAAATAATATATCATCCAATTCTATGTAATCCTAATAATATTTATCAGTAATATTTTTCATCAAAATAAAATCAATATCCGGTATTGCAATTAATTATCAAATTTTTAAAAAAATGACAAAACACTGAAATTTCATTAATCAATCCTATCAATTTTGACGATAAGGCTTGTGTCTTCAACTTGAATCAAAATATTAGAAAAACCATCCGCTTCGTGTGATTAGAAGACGAATAAAAAATTTCCAAAGCCGAGATCATTTTAATTAAGTCACAATAATTTCGAATAACATACACACAAAAGTAATTGGATGCCCGATGATCTTCTCTTTTAATTAGTAAGAATAGCGCAATGATAACGATACCAAAACTTTACCAGTGTCTCTATAAATTTGGCGTCGCCGATAGCACGTGAACCAAGCCCTAAAATAATTTCATATTATTTATACGTAAGACGACGATAATTCAGAGCATACGAAACTTCCTTAGTTTCCGAGAATTACGCGGGTCAAAAAGATCGCGACCGTCGGTCGTTTAATTAAGAGATAGTTTTCATTATACTATACATATCCAAAGGCATCTCCTCGTCATTAGTCCAGGGTACAGTGTCACGGAACACTCTGTCCCCTTGATATCGTATTGCCACAGTATACATATATATTAATACAGCCTGAATATTTCCAAAGAAAATAAGATCAGGGTTCACCCAAGTCCGTAGACCTGATTCTAATGAAATGTCTTTGCTAGTTCATAATTATTGTAAAATCGATGCAATATCGTTAGGTCGAAAGTTTCGAATGAAATAGTAGCGTGTAATGAAGTATGAATAAATGTCCGTAATAAAATCGAGGAAAATCCAGTATAAACCAGTTAACCGTGTTCCGGTTGGATAAACACAGAACTGCAGAGTTGCACTGGTGCAGCGAGCGAGTACGGTATCAAAAAAAGTATACATGTAGACAGTATGAAAAGTATATCTAACACCCTAATGCCAGTAGCTAACCTCTCTACCTTGGAAAACAACATTTCTATGCCGACTAAGAGTACTTGGATCCGGTTCGATCCAGTTAGAGTTTCGTTATAGGTCAAAAGTATTACGAATACACATCGGTTCTCATGATTTTCCATTTGCTATGTGATTGTCGGATGTATGGATATTATGTGGATGTAATATTGGTGCGTCTGTCATTTAAAATTAGACTAGGAGGTTATCCAGTGGAGTAAATTAATCGTATATCATTGAAGTACGTGCCTCCGGATTTAAGGCGAGACGAGATTAAGATATTGCTTAACAAATTAAAAATTATTAGGTTGGGGGCTCGCGGTCATTGGAATTCAAAACAAATTCGTTATATATTTAAGACGCGTGCGGAGTCACCTTGTCTTTATCTAGTAGCTCTTAAACCCCTCAAGATTACGATTCTAAAAATTTGTTGTAGACGCTATGGATTATATAATTATACGTTTCAATGTTTTGGCTAGTCTGACAGTTTGAAATTTATGCTGTATGGCAAAGTCCGAATGTGTCTTAAGACGTTTTGATTAATAGCTGGTAGTCACTGGGTATTTTGTTCAATTTGAATCTTTTTTTGATAATGATTGCGTTTTTAATGTTATACGTTAAAGAACATTTAAAAAATGTTATTGTACGAGCAGACTTTGACATTACGTAGTAAATTGGATGTTCTGGTTGAATTTAATAATTAATTTTTTATTGCTATGTCTATGGCTTTGATCTGAATCAGATAATTCATCGATGAAGATCCTTTGCAGACACTACGTGTTATCAGATTGCGTTTATATTGAGTATTTCTATTTATTAATTGGGACAAACGTGATTTTTCTAGATGATATTTTAAGGAATACGTCATTGAGATCAACTTTTAGATCTTTTTGTTATTGGACTTATCATTACGAAACGAAAATGTCTTTCAGTAATCCAGTATATTCTAGATCAGTCAGTTGATATGAAGTCCTGAAAAAAAATGAATAAAATATATGATAATAGTTGATTGCCGCGATGTGAACATATTGCGAAAACACATATGGATCTTAGAAAGAGGGACAGTAGCGAACATTGAGCATTATAGGTTAAATGTGACTCGATGATAATAATTTTGCAAGAAATGTGGAAATCCTTGCTGGGGGTCGACGTATCGTTTGAACGCAATGTTTTGATGAGCATTTAGCAATATTTATAATAATCTCTTGCGTGTGCTTATTCTGCTTTTTTTAATCATTACGAAGTCGAAAAACAATTCTTATTTCTATATGAGTAATAAAAAAATAAGTAGCCTATGCAACATTGTATGTGACAAACAATTATTATAAAATGAAATGGTTGACAAAAAAAAAGAAAAAGTATCATAGCAACATCTTATTGCTTTTTTATTAATCTATTTAGTTTTTCTAGTTGATCAAACAAACCTGGTTAGTATTGCAGGAAGAAGGAGCCGCACTTCAGTCTTAGAGTTTCGTAAAAATTATACAAAACGAGTTCTCCATGTGGTTATGTAAAATGCAACTGGCTAAGGTATCGGCATTCCAAAGAGTCGAGCCCCCAGATACGTCACGAATCGCGCGCAAGAAACACGGAGAACATCACGGGTTTTCATGTAAGCAAAATTCCAGTGCGTATTGTTATATCGTTTACTAAGTATGTAAATATGTTTTCATTTTCTATTAAGTCGCTATAGTGTTCCATGATAATTCTTAGACAAAGAGCAATTTCGCAAATTGATATTGACTCACGATTGATGGTTATGACGATTTGTCATCCGTTCATGGGTGATACGATAAACGAGGAATCATGGATATTCAATCGACTCTGTAACCACTTAATTCTGCAAGGAAATATGTGTTTAATTTGAATACTTTAGATATATGCACGTTAAATGGATGAAGGTATTATTTAAATGTACCGTGTGAAATTGATTAACTACACTTAGGGCTCTTTGGATGTAAGCCGGAGAAATGTATTTGAAAATGTATTTGAAAGCAGGAGACAACTGATTTATATGTATACAATTACAATAATGTATAAATTCATTTATTGCTCTATGATTTACATGCAAGAATGACCATTATATGGTAATACAGTACCCTTTATCGATCATCGGAGTAGTTTCTTCAAGTAGCATGAAAATCACAGTAGAATTTTATCTCTGAAGTAGAGTCCCTCTAGTAAGAGTCCGGCCAACACCCGGAAGGGACGCCATATTAAGGGCTTGTTTGGCGCCACCATGACATTGCGCGAGACTCGGTCTAGTCTCGCGCCAACTACAGACAACTCGCCGTACAGGGCTTGACACTACCCACACTACACAATGCGAATCTCTCCCATATACGTATTCACACACCATTTTATTCCGGAAAGAGCCCATAATATGGCGGAGCCAATCACTAACAAGGCCCACCGTTGGCCGGACTCTTACTAGAGGGACTCTACTCTGAAGTAATTGAGTGTGACATCTATAATTAAAATAATGTACAAAATTCAAAACTATCGGTAAAACAGAAATCCTTGAGATGGCGCATCGTACAACAGTCTTCACGTTCAAATAATTCCTCATGGAATCTCACGATATATAATTACTATCTCAATTATTATTCCATTATATGAAAAAATCTTATGTTAATTTGTAATTCTCGTCCTATGCATATATTCGTCTATTGTGGCCATCACGAAAGTGTTAAGGAAAAGGGAGGATTCAGTGTTATACAACATCATTTTTTAACTTTTAATCTAGTGAGATGAGCCATTGAAACGTTTCGTTGCGTAATATCCGTTCATTTTAAAAGTGTCAGACATTTCCCTGAGTGTGTGGAATTTGAAAACTCGTCGAGATTACGGTTCAATAAGGGATTTGGTCTCGGTGAATAACAAGAGTTTGAAAGGAATTTAGTGCCCGGGGTCCTTGAGAATTGTCATAACGGCCCTGGCTTGGTAAGCAGGAAGGGATGGAAAGTGCATCAGCTGTTCGGTGACAGTTCGCCAGCCGTAGAACAGTGGGAGTCGACTGGCAGGAAAAGTAATATGGCTGCTTGTTGAGCGCTGCCCGTACGTCGCAGAGAGACAAAGAAACAACGCAGTTCTCGAAAAAATCGTGGCCGCCGCGCTGTTTAACGTGATATTTAACGGGCGGTAAAAGCGAGGGAACCAAACGTAGAATGCTGGAGCTCGAGGTGGTGCCCGAGAGGTCCCTCGGCTGCGAGCAGTGGGAATTTATTTTAGGCAAGTGACGAAACACTCATCACATAGCGCGACTCTCCTTCTCTCGTATTACGCAGAATTCCCTGAAAATGAAAATCCACTTGTGGGATTACACAGCTGATTGATTATCTTCGTATTTTTGTGTGATTGTTCCACGGCAGTAAAGCGAATGACGCTCTCGATTTGCCTTCGTGCATATTCTCTTCCACTTGTAAACAGTAATTTTGACAATCCCATGTAAACAATGAGAGTGGGAGTTCGCATAAGCACTTGACCTCTTCTTATATAATTAGAGCATTTTTCCTAATATGCCCTGAGGAATCGTTGATATCAATTCCATTGAAATCCTATTTAACTTTGGTAGAGTAATCTGGCAATTGTTTTTTGTCACTTTGAATAGATGCTTTTCTTATGCTTAATAATGTACTTGAATTAAGGATCTTTTGTATTGTATTGTCATACTGTATCTTTTTTTTTCAATAATGTAATATTTATTTAAATTGGACCTTTGGAGTTTAAGCTTGTGATGTTATACTTGATTCATTTTTTATTTTCAGGAATGCATTTTTCTCAATCTGTAGCAATAATACAATCTCAAGTGGGCATTATAAGAGGAGTACAAGTCCTGTACAGTGATACTGTAAGTAGATGACGAAAATTTTACTTTTTCTCTGTTAAATTTTTTTTAGACATTCGTTGTCATTATATGCTTGTAATTATTTACATAATCATAATTTAATTGTCTTTTCTCTTTTCAGAATCCTTTAGAAGTAGATTTAGTAATAAATTTGCCACACGATGGAGTGCGGCTTATATTTGACCCTGTGGCTCAGAGGCTCAAAATAATTGAGATCTATAACATGAAGTTGGTGAAACTAAAATACTGTGGCTTGCCATTTAACTCACCAGAGGTATTGCCGTCTATTGAACAAATAGAACACTCCTTTGGAGCAACACATCCTGGCGTTTATGATGGTGATAAACAGGTACAAAGAAAAAGAAAGAAGATGGTGCATACCACATAACAATATAACGCAGAAGAAAAGATTTATAAAAATCTACATTTTCCATTGCAGGTGTTTGTTTTGAACTTCCGAGGTCTATCTTTTTACTTCCCAATTGACTCCAAATTTCAGCCAGGCTATGCTCATGGCTTGGGTTCCTTACAGTTTCCAAATGGAACCTCACCTCTCGTAGCAAAGACTGCAATTTATGTGGGAAATATGGCAGCTGGTGTCAGTGGGAGCGAAGCACATAAATTAAAATCACCAGCACCACCTCTGCCACTCGTAACTATTTTTACAATTCTTGTCTCTGTATATATTTATAATTTGCAACAAGATCAGTCAATTAAATCTTTTTTATGACAGAGTTGCTATCACAATAATTTGTACCCGGAGAAGGCTGAAGTTATTAGAGATAGAGCACGCACCCGAGGTCTAAGGTTACATCTTTTTACGGAAGGTAGTTCAGCAACAAGGGTTCTACTAGAACCGAAGAAGCATTGCTTCACCAAAGAGGTAGTAGAAAAGCAATGTATTCGTATAAATTATTTTGTAAAAAATAGTTGCAAATACAAAGAAAAACTGTGAATCTTTTTTTTTTTAATTAATTAAAGGTCTGGTTTGGTGACACGTGTGAGGACGTATTAAGCGCATTTGGTGCCCCGTCCCGGGTCTTCTTCAAAGCAGAGGACAAAATGCGAATTCATAGTTTGCACGCGCACAAACGGGACAAGATAAGACGATCTGACTTCTTCTACAATTACTTCACTTTAGGGCTGGTAAATATACTCGTAAATTCAATGTCTTTGGAAGGTGTACAATTCTTAGCTTCCACATATATCGTAGGACGTTCTCTTCGATGCCAAAACCCAATGCGTGAAGAAATTCGTGCTACACACGAATTACCCTGGGCATTACAATTTTAATATGTACCACCGTTGTGAATTCAATTTGACTCTACCACCGGAAAGCAGTCCTAGTACCGATCCCGGAAAACTCATTGACGTTTCGCCGTCCTCTGTCACGGTGAGTTTGCTTCTATCAATATTCTTAGTTATTCTTCCAATTAAAAATATATAGTGCATCTTGAATATTCATGAACATCGAGTATTGCTAATAATAAAAAAACGGCTTATTTTGCAGATCACTGCCTATACAAAATGGGACAGAGTTAGCGAACAGTTAAAAGGAAGTGCACGACCGGTTGTACTCAATCGTGCATCTTCTACCAACACCACAAATCCATTCGGCTGTACATTCTGCTATGGCGTAAGAGACGTCATTGTGGAAGTAATGGCTAATCAACACATTGCTAGTGTCACTCTCTACGCAGCGGCGTGACCCTCGTAAGCCGATGGATCCGGTACGTCGTATGATTCTGCTCCGTTCCGAGGAAAACACGTAAGAAAAATGTATAAACCAGAAAAAAAAATTCCATAAAATTGTCTACACGACGAGCTCGACCAGGAAAGGTCGTTTCGTCGGGAGAGTTATGGCGGTGCAAAAGGGTGAAGAAAATTGTGGATTTATTATGTATCCATAAGGAGTTCTCGTAAAACACAATTACCATATAGACACTTCGCATGTTGACGGCAACAATCTACATAAAAATGACCATCGTCTGGCGACGTACGATTCTCCGTTAAAATATCATGGATCCTGAAGAAAATCACGCTTCACCGTTATTAAAGAAAGTAAAAAAAAAATTATCGTCAAAGCGTTTCACATCGTCAAATGCAGAATTCCATTTATTCCAGTCTCCAGGGCTTGGAAATATATGAACCTAAAGGTAATCGTCGTAACGAATAATCGATGGAATGAATCCCGTCTAAAGCAATTTGTTGCGGCCATTGTACCTCTGTTATTCTTATGAAACCTTCTGTCTTCGTTTTCTCAAAAAGGATTGAACCTCCAAGTGATTAAAATGGATATAAAATCACCAAACCAATACAACTCTGTGCTTGTTGTTAGTTGAACACGAGAATAATATTACTCGAGGATAAAGTGAATGAGAAGCGCGATAGGAAAGACAGGAAAAAAACGTGCGCAGAATGAGGAAGCATGAGTGAAAGAGGGAAGAGAAAAGAAGAATAAAAGCAGAAAGTAATAAAAATTTCGATAGATAATAACGGAAAATGATTATGATAATTACTATGAATGGTAATCGTAAGGTATGATAATCCGCATAGATAACGTTAAACACATCATTTTCGTAAGTCGCCGTTCTTTTCGTTTCTGGTGCGTGGATCGACTGGCGATCAAGGATCACAGGACTGACTGAATCACCAAATGATATCAAAGATAAGAAGAGGAGGGAACAATTTGATGCAGATCAAAATCTCAAGGGTGACTGTGATGTCTATGAATTCTTCGGTGAATAACATTGATTATTCGTCCCCCCTTTATGTTGATATAAACTAACGTCTTTATCAGTGTTCATCGATTTGTCTATGAATCATATTTTAAGCGATCAGAAATTATCGCGTTTCCCTTCGCAAGATAATAAATACTTGTTGCGATGAACGTACACTCTTACGAAAAGTAATGAAACGATAGGAAAGATAGACGATGAAAAGAAAAAAAAAGAACAACAAAGTTGAAAACAAAGAAAAAAATATATAACTGAAAAAAAATGATTTATTCATTTCTAGAGAATACACAGTGTGATCTAACATTATAATGATCCTAGTGTTCATCGATTGAGCGTGGAGTGATTTTTCATTTTATAATTATTTAAAATTCGCGCGTTCGACGACTCGAGTAATTTCGAAATGCAATAATAATTATTTTGAGCTCTTATTGTCCCATTGGGATTTCGAGTATTCTCCAATTATTCAAATAAAATTCCTCATTTCTCCACGTGTCTCTGGGCGTACGTAAATTTCACATGTTCGGTGTGTTTCGAAAGCGTGCAAGTCGTTATCGTTCCCATGAAAAAACTTTAACGACTAACCACTGCCGCGCGATTCAAAGGAGTGTGATTTTCACGAGTTCGAAATACAACGGAAAAATCATAGTTATACGAATTTACACTATTCTCTCATTTTACTTCGCCTACACTACCTTCGCCTACACAAATACTAATTTATAATACGTTTCTCGTAACTCAACTGTCATTTATCAATGATGATTTCCTATCACCAATTCAAATGGATGCACCGATCCTACAATGAAGACTATGATCAGTATAGGTTGTCGCGTTACTATATCGATAGTTGTGATCATATCGAGCGAAGCAAATAATATCTCCTTAGCTACATATTTCTTATTTCCATATTAAATAAAGTACAGTCTGACATTGCGTACGGAGCGACTGCTGCCAAGCAAGTTGCATTAGCTAGCACGGTATATGTAGCCAATGAAATTGCGTGGAAAAGGAGAGAAGGTCAGGGAGAGGAGGAATAAAAGTAAAATAAAACAGAGAAAAACATCATCGTATATACGTACATAATTGCATGCATGTACATTGTACATACGTCATTGCATAATTACATAAATCGTCGCATGACCATATATCTGCATACACTCGTAATAGACACTAATGCATATAGCTAGGGACACGCATGCACCACACACTCACTACATTCGCAATCTATAAGAAGTATGTAAAAGAGATCTCGATTTTTAACGAAGTCAGTCTTGTATTTTGGGAACAAAGTTCGTTTGAAAATTCACCTTAAAATCTCGAATCGTATCATTACCGATACCGTATTATTCGGAAAATCGCACAAATTTCGAATCCAATTTTCGATTCGAGCTACGCTCTGTGTACGTATGCTGGGTATGTATGGTATGAATTCATGTGCGCAGGAGATGATGCGCGTATGATCGGACGTATGATGAGTGCGTGTGTGAGGTTAAATTCTTTTTTAAAATTTTCATTGTAGAGCGAATGCTGTTTTTTTTTTCTTTTTAAGAGATAAAAAAGGAACGCGCGTGGGTAGAACTTAAATTTGAATTGGATTATATCTTACCGATAAACATTTTTGTTATAATTTTTTGAATTGGATTGTAAATCGATTGTTTGTTTGAGAAAGTACGTACGCGCGTTGGCTGCCAGGTATACAGTTAAGTGCATGCATCTTAAGAGGAAGGATTAAGAATCATTTGTTGGTAAATTACTAATTAATTCGTTAACTATTTTTTTTTATCGATCGACGATCGATGTGAAACTACCAAAATCGATGTTCAAAGCCTCTCACGACAGGCCAGTAAAATTCTACATCTTGTATCGTCTGTGCTCGATCCACAAAACCGAATTTTCGTGCAATATGAGATTGTATAATGAATTTGGGTATTTAAACAAGTCAAACTGAAGTGCAGAAATTGATAAGATTTCAAAGATTCAACGATTTCGTCACGCGTAAGCTGTTCGATGAGAATCAAGGGAAAAAGACGTAAGCAGCAGTTGCGCTAGAGAATGAAAATTCGTTAAGATATATTCGTACTCGTGGAAATGAGAGAAACTGATAACATGCGATTTGAATGAAGTACCTATACCGTACTGTTTGACAATTATTAATTTTTGTTAAGTAATGTTATTCGATCGTAAACACTTCGCATCGCATACGCCTTTTGTATGTTTACCTGACAAATAAAAGATCTCAAAAAAAATTCCCTCCACGTAGTACATTTAAATGTATGTATTTTATCGTCTCATTATTCTAATCGCTACACCGTGAGACGTATCACAATCTTACAGACCTTCAAGCTCGGTAACTTTTCCTCCTGAAGTTTCCGCATTGAATTCAAAGTAATCCACGGGTTAAAAAATTAGACTGAAGAAAATCGAGCAGGCGCACGTGGGGCCAGTTCCTATGAATCAAAGTGGGGATTGGTGGAATCTATAGTGGGGAGACATTGTCATAGAGTGGGGGGACATGATAAAAAACGTTAGTGCGACGAACAGTGGAGCAGAGGGCTAAAGAGGGTTCATCCACTACGTCGGGGGAGAAACCTCCCATTCGGTCGCAGCTCTCAGAACGTGTGGGTCATTGTCGGAGCTTCTTGAGTCTCGCACTTTGGTAGAACATCGTAAGAAGGAAAAGGTTCCCCGTGAGAATTTTCAATCGTATCGAACTGTCGTTCAACGTTGTGTACAGTTTTCATAATACGCTGGTCGTTGATGCACGTGGGCAGTTTACTTGAAAACTTGTGCGTCGGACAGAAGCGCCGCGCTGTGGAGATTCGCTGAAAGAAGGTTAGGGGTGGGATTTGGTTTGGTGTGCCAAGGTGCAGCGAACCACGTGGCCGGGGAATCGATAGTGCAGTGTTGTCCCGCAGGGGTCATTCAACCCGTGCCGGGGTCAACTCCTCATGCGCTCACTGTACGTACTCACGTATCTATTTACGTATCTCTGTGTAACGTAGATGCACGTACTTCTGCAGAGCTTTTTGATCGATACGGATTCAACCCTTTTTTTGTTCCTCAATTATACCAGCACAGTGACCTCCTTCGAAATCTTACGACGATTCTGGAATTGTATCTGTCATATAGATTATTTTACGTGGTTTTTATTATTTTTACATTTTTTTTTTTTAATGTTTTTTTTCATATCCTCGTGGATTCTTGCGGTGAATTCTTATATATATATTTTTGACTTTTAAATAATGCTTTGTCTGCTTTCTATTTTATTTTTACGTATTATATATAGGTACGGCGTTCAATATGAGTTGTCGTTTTTTTTATTTGAGGGACAGCGTAGCTCAAAGAATGCGATAATATATGGATTTGAAACGAGCGTTTTATTCCTTGTTGTCGAACTGTAATATTAGTGCTTTATTCATTTCCAGACCATGATGGAATATTTTTATTTGTCTTTTTCACCCCCTCCCTCCCTTTCTCTCTGTTTTCTCTCCTTCACCCATCCGTCATGATAAAAGATAAATTTTGTTATTCTCTGGTTGTCAACTTTTTACGCTCCTCGACCCACCCTCGTTAAAGGATGGACTGTATCGAAGCCCATTTCATATTCCACGCTGTGTAAGCGATATTACCTTTTCACTCCCTAGCTAACGACACCCTTCCTGTTATCATTAATTTTTGATACAGAAATCAATGTATCTCAGCCTGCAGCTCTACGATCAACCGTTTGTAAAAGGTTAAAGATTGGGTAATAAATTTTCTGTTGTTTTCAATTTACTCCTAAGTAAGCGGTGTCTGTAAGCCGAATCGATGATACATAATGTAGCAATTACCTTTCTTATACGTGGCTCAAAGTGTGTGCTGTTGATCGCGTTATATTTAACGTGGCTGGTCTATCCGGTTAGATGGAATCCGATTAGGAAGTATAAGTAAGGAAGAACAGAGTGGACTGGTGGAAAGAGAAAGAGAAAAAAGTAATAAAAAAATGTTAAGACGTAGCTTACTTAACGTCCCACGCTTTCAAGTTGTAGATCGAAGAGGTTCCCCCTTAGCGGCGGTAGATGTCGCCAGTGTAGCCGAATTCCTATACGCAAGTTTACCCCATTAGGACCCTCATCATTTTCGCCTTCTAATTGGTACATTCGATTACCTCGCGACCCTTTTGGGCTTTCAAAGACATCACGGTCCAACTATTGGGGATTCATAGGATATCTTCGGTAAGGAAAGTAATAATATCCGACAGTAAGTATTTCTGTGTTTTCACTTGATTGAGGCTTTACCTCCATTGCTAATGGATTTAAGGCTGAAAATGAGATTGACGAAAACCTAATACGGCTGACAATTTTCAAGTTTACCTAATGCGATTTCATTTGGCCTTTAATGCGTTTGGATCATGATTTTTTTTCGTACTTTTGTCCCTTGTCCTAAAATAAAAGTTTTGCCATAATATTTGAGCAATTTGATAAAGCTCAGTGCTTTTGCGCTACAAAGCTGATTTCGAATATCAAAGTAGCAGCTTTAATGAAATATACAGTGAATCGACTTTATGGACTTACGTAAGGTAAGTTGAGAAAAGTATTACGTAACCTAAAATCACGGAGGGCATATTCTCACGGTATTACGAATATCTCATACAAGGCCACGTTCCATATCTTTGAAAATACAATAAGGTACGTTCTCCAAACGATACTATACATTATTTAGAAATGATATATAGCTGTGTACATAAATATTTGTATAATTTAAATACGCCTTAAGGTAACAGTTTATCGTAGCCGTGATACGCGTAAAACGTATTTGTCTCTACTTTCCATGGATTTCATTGTACGATCGTAAAGGTGGGTCTGCGAGGTTGGATTAGCCTTTGCAAGTCCGGCATGTTTTTGACTGACTTTTTTGTTTTTTTCGTGCTAGAACTTTTTCATCAATGTCAGTGGGTTAGGAATAAAATGCTTAACTCGATCTCGCGCCACTAAAGTGGCTTTCGGTCTTGTAAATGTTAATACGACTGACCACCAAATAGTTATGATTAACGGAGGAAAGAAATGTCGTTGTGAACATTTTTTGAAGAGTGGAAGCTCACTAAAAGATTTTTACCACAATGAACAGTCGATTTTACGTCAAATTCAAAGTTTCAGGCGGAATATGGATTTTCTTGCGATTCGACGATGCAGATAATTACGAAGGGAAAGTAATACAGTGTTAAACTTTGAAGGTTATGAATCCAAAGGGAATCGAGATTGTCTATTTACTGGCCGCAAATCGCAATAGCATTTGTAAGGATTGCTGCGCTTGAGAAGGATTATAAGTTTATCCCTACAGAAATGGAAGGTCCGTCGAAAAAGTAATTTTTACATAGACAGCCGTAGAAGCTTTGACGCTCGTCACATTTTTTTTTTGGACGTCCGAGAATTTGTGTTTGCATATAAGAAATTCGTGATGGATTAAATAAAACGGAAACGCATCTGTAGGTACAGTCACAGTAAAATCATAAATTATTCTTATCATAAAAACCATGTAAAATATAATTAGAGATTATTCTAAATGGACCGTTTCAATTTTAAGATCGATCTCAGTGCAGTGCTAAAATGATAAATTCATTAGCCTCCTTCGAGGCCAAAGGGTAAACTGCATAAAATATCTTGTAAAAAAATTCAGTAGCGTTACTGCCTCAATGAGAATTATGTATGTTGACAGAAGTGACGCTACTTTATGTTTGAAAAGTACATGTATTCTAACCTCACTACTGTGGAGATCGCGGAGAGAGAGAGAGAGAGAGAGAGAGTCAAAGACACATGAATAATATATCCTGCAGCTTGAATATCATAGTACTAAAATGAATATCAATGGCGGAAGCCTATTAAGCCCACGTGTCAAAGTGAACTCGTAGAGTGAATCCTTCTGTTAAAAAGCTTCGTTTCCATATCAACGAGTGACCAGTCGTGCTTGCGACTGACGTGCGGGATTGAAGCGTAAAGAGAAAAGTCCCTGCAAAGAGTAAATAAATAGTATATTACACTACAAGGGCAGAAAACTGAGCTTTCGGCTTCGCCTCGGGCATTCTATCGAGCAGTTCCGGGTGCTCAGTTTACTGTCCGCGTGGTGTATACTATTTTTTGCAACAATGTACGGAAAGTTCGCAGTTTATGCACCAAAAAGAAACAGAAACTGGCCGATTCTTGATGATTCTCGCAGACTCCGAACTCATCGAGAATGGACCATTTTGTGCTTGTTTTTTAGTGCACAAACTGTATACTTTCCGTGCAGCGTTGGAAAAAATATATTTTGCAATCTTATTAACGTCCAGTAGCGACATCTACACAAGTCGTACGACACTACGATGACATTTAGGCGACGCGCAACTTGCTTTGTGACGACCAAACCAGGCAGGATTTCGTTTTTCGTATTCCCATTATCATTAATTTTCTTCATTTTTATTTTTTTTAATCTCAACCTTTATTCCCTTGTTATCTGTTTCCCTTCAAGGAAGCCAGGTCAGGCTAATGGATACAAAAGGGTTTTATAGAGGAAGTATAACTCAACCGGCGTTACTTTTTCGCCGCGGCGGGCGGACGCCTCTTTCTGAAATTGTTTGCCGTTTATCATCGGCCCGGCAGGTAAAACTTTTTCTTAATTTACACTGTAGCGTATCTCGTTTATCTGAATTTCGCTGCTTCGCCTTCTTGCTGGTATAGAAGTTTTCCAATGTTTTCGATCTTAATGATTATAATTTTCTTTGGAGTTACATTCGGAATTTTTTTAATCCCTTTTTTTATTATTATTGCCTTTCCTAAGGGTCCCGTTACGTGTGCCGAAGCTGTGAAAGAGAAAAAAAGCATAAAAGCGTGCAACAGAAAAGTACCAAGGAGGAAGGAAGAGTGAAGGGGAGACATAGGGACAGATCAATTTACTTGAAAAGTACCACGGAGAAAGAGAAACCGATAGAGAGAGAGAGAGAGAGAAGAAGAGAATAATACAAAATGAGAAATCAACAGAGTACAATTCTCTCGAAAGTTCATCCTCCGGCTGTTCCCCAGAGAACAATTGAAACCACTCGCCCACAAGAGAAAATTCTTGATTTATATTGAAGCAATTCACTCGGGTTACATAATCCGGAAAAGTTGCTAGGACCAGAAAGCCTAATACGAAGTACGACTCAGGGGTGAAGTTTATCCTTATTAACGTAACAATCTTCGCCAAGTGTGTTTAACCGTCTAACTTACCGTAAAGATCCTTCCGAGATTCGTGAAAATTTCAAGAAAACGGGCCAAGCGCGTACGTGATAAATTTTCGTAAATTAACCAGCCAATTTAGTAAAATCAAAGGCAGACTTTCCTTGAAAAATTGTCGTCCCTTACGAACGGACGTTTTCCCTCTCTCTCTGCCGTGGCATATGAAAATAAATCGCACCGCCAATTTCTTTCGCTGAGAATAAATACCAACGTATTCCACCAGAGGGTTTCAACGGAGGAGACAAGGAAGTGAAAAAAGATTAAGATCAATGATAACGAGACTATTTTCTTCTACTCCTAACTTCGCTCTCTCTCTCTCTCTCTCTCTCTCTCTCTCTCTCTCTAACAATTTCAAAATTACTCTTTCGCTATCAAACTTGTTACGAGTTTGATTCTCGCCAAACGGAAAATCCTCTTGCGGCCATTCCTCATGTACGGATACACGTCCGAATTTCACTTCCCGTATGTACATGCAATATATACCACATATCCGTTTGCCGTATGTACGCGCATTTATACTAATGTATTTAGTTGGAATTAGTTCGAGGCTCCTGCAGACCGTCGAGGGCAACTGTACCGATGGTAATATACATATATACGTAGGCAGGAATGACGTTCTATCGGGTACATCCAGGTACGTGCAGGTACGCGCAGGTACGTATACTGGGTCCGCAGTTTCAGGAAGAAAGAATAGAGGCAGGTTAGGTGGTTGGCGCTGATGCACTGAAAG